AGAGAATTTAGATTGAGGGTTAACTTGGAAAGCGGAGGGGAAGTTGTACTGGAGCATAAGAGAGTAGTTAAATATCTGGGTTCATATTTGGACGAAAGAATGAAATTCTCAGATCAAGTAAAAATAGCGATTGAAAAAGCTAAAAAAGCATTTTTTAATTATAAGAATTTGTTTTATTCCCTTCAGCTGAGCGCAGAAGTTAAGGTCTTGTGTTATATGTTGTTGGTAAGGCCCATATTGACGTACGCGTGCCAGGTGTGGTTCAATATATCTCCTTCACAAATGGAAAAAATCCGAGTAGTAGAGAGAGCATGTTTGAGGGCGTGTCTGGGCATGTACAGGAGTCCGGAGTCTAACTTTAAAAAATATTTCTCAAACAATAAACTTTACAATAAAGCCAATATACCCAGAATTGATAATTTTATAATTAAACTCAACCGTGACCATTTTGCTAAAGCAGCTCTAATAAAAGAAAACCCATTTATTTACACACCTTTTTATCACACAGAAAATGAATATAAAGAAACGCTCAATTCTGGGTATATCCCACCGCATTGCTTCACCTATTTAGATAAATTCAATTACATTCAAGATAACGAAAATGTGCCGATCCTGTACCACGTGCACAGACACGCACTCAATAAATCAATAGAATATGACATGGATGACTGGTATGCTAATAGGGCGCACTTGTCTCGATTTTCGACGGCTTTAGCTGAAATAGACAAAAAATGTAACAAAAGGAAAAACAGAAAAAAATATTGGTGGTTATCAAACAATAATTTAATAGACGACCTGGAAGCATTATAGTCTTCCTCATTTTATTTATTTTGTTTTTGTTCTCAGCGTCTGAATAACACTAAACATATGTAAAGTGTAAGTTAGCTTTTTGGTCTTGCGGGATCACTTTTTTTTACTAACTCGATAATTTTTTTTACGGTAGTATGTGAGAAATGCTTATATGAAATGGAATGTGAGTGTATTACCTGGCATCAAATAAAAATGGTATTTCTTCGTCGAGTGCCCCAAGATTGGGCCGTTGCGAAACGCTTAAATATAACTGTGATGTAGCGCGGGTGTTTATTGTTTGTTACTGCGCCTATTATGTTAATTGTACTAAAAGTTTAATAAACATGTTTTAAAAAAAAAAAAAAAAAAATAAGTGGTTAGAGCTCCCGACCTTCAGTTTTAAAACAGAGGTTCGATCCCAGACGGAGATGAGATTTTTCAAAGTCCTCAAATATTTCAATTGGATAAATATAAATTCAATGTTAAAATGGATAATAAATAAATAAAAAAGATAAAAAGAAAAGAGATAAGGTAGAATAACATTTTTAATTTTACAAAAAAAACTGTTTGTTTGATCAACCAAACATTTTTGTTATGCCAACAAAAAACACTCAACCAAATAGTTTGGTTGAATCAAACAAATAGTTTGGTTGCTTAAATACCAACAAAATTTTTTTGTTGGTCCAACCAAATTTTGGTTGCTCTGACTAAACATTTTTCTCAGTGTATAATATTAGAATATTAGTACTCAAATATTTTAAAATTCTTATATTTAATTAAATTTAAATTTTATTGTGATATATAAAAATTCAATGAGCAAACGATTTTGATAATTTGTTAAGAAAAAAAAAAATTATTTTAGTAATACTTCGATGAAATAAGAAATGGGAATCAGAATTTTTCAAACGGATCTTCTAAAATTAAATTTAATAATCAATCTTTAATGTTTTTTTTACTCCTACTGTAATCAAAATAAATATCTAAAAATATTAAACTTACCTAAAATACAAAATGTTATCTTCTTCTTTTTTTTATTAGTTTGACCAAATTATATTTTTTAAGAGGAATTCTTTTATTACATTTCCTTTATTCTTGATATTGAAAGTATTTTTTTTTTTAAATAAATGTCAATTATTCCATTTATTATAAATTAATAATAATAAATTGTTTTAATATTCAAAGGAATTTATCAGTAATGTGAACAGAAAATAAACACATTAATTTTTTATCTGTAACAAGATTCTGGGAAGACTAAAACATAATTCAGTTGCAAATTATAAAGTACGCTAAATAGGGACCAGATAATATAATCACAAAGTTGAATATTTTCATCATTTTCTTGCAATGAAAAAAAAAAGATAATATAATCACAAAGTTGAATAGTTTCATCATTTTCTTGCAATGAAAAAAAAAATTAATTGACTTAAATAATCGATTAATTATTATTTTAGTTGAAGTGACATGAAAAATTATAAAATTTATTATGTACTTTAGTTTAATTTTTTTTGTTTTAGAATTTTTAGTTGAAACTTTTTTAAATATAAATAAATTTTTTTAAAAATATTTAAATTGTTGAAAAATAATCGAATTTTGAAAGATTTACAGTTGAAATTTTTATAAATAAATTCTTGTCAAATAATTTTTGAAATTTTTGAAAAATAATTGAATTTTTTGAAAATTGTAATTATTTTTAAATAATCAATAAAATACTTGAAATTTTCTTCACAAAATATTATTGTAACTCAATTAATTAGATGTGGCGTAGTTTGTAAAAGGTCCGGTAGAGGGCTTCTCGCAAGCGAGATTCGAAATTTTCGTTATAAAAGATCTACGTGTTCTTGAGTCAGATAATCTAGTCAATCAGACTTTTTAGTCTGATTTAAATTAGAAATAATTTAGTCTTAGGATAGCACAACTTACATATATAAAACATATGTTCAGCAAATTTTTTAGACTGATTTTCGAATCAGCAGAATTGTAATTAAAACCAAATTTTCTCTTAAAAATTTTAACGTGATTTTAAATAAATATATTTTTTTAAAATAAATTAAGTAGGGTCAGTCGGGGTAAATCCGAACGGGGGGTAAATCCGAACGCTAATTATTTCAGCTTAATTAAAATTTTTAAAAATAAGTTCGATATGAGAATTTTTACCTCAGATCCTCTTGAAGAGATTCTAAGTATTATCCCATTTTTTGTTTGTTAATTAGCAACAGCATAAACAAAGATAACAAGTATTGCAAAAAAGATTGAAAATCAAAGATGACACTCTTTCAGTATTTTGTCTCGTATTTGAAGAAAAAGAAGCTAAAAATTCATTTTATTATTTATAATTGTTTGTTATGAATACTAGAACAGAAACTATTTTTGATTTTTGCTTTCTGTAAAATTTTATTAATAATATCAGACCGTTCGTATTTACCCAAAAAAATTGGAAAACTGGGGTAAATCCGAACGGTATTTTTAATAATTTTTTTTTACATCAAAGCCACACAAAATTGTTTTTATTTGATTACACTATTATTTTAACATTATAAAAGTACATAGAAAAAAGTTTTTCTTTCTATACGTATCCTCGTTAGTAATTAATAAGCAGAAACTTAATCTCTGTTCTCTCGAAGGAGTGTTCCACTTTTTTTGCCAAATGGTTTGTTGAAAAAAGTTTTACAGGATCTTAATAAAATTTGGTATTCTACGGTTTTTGGGGTCGCTAATTACCAATTTGAAGTCAGTTTTTCAAAATTCAAAATGGCGGACGAGAATTAAAAAATTCATTGGATTCGCTCGAAAATTGTTACTCGGGGGGTTTCAGGATTAGCAAATTTGATCATTTTTAAAAATAAGTTTTAGGAAAGTACGCCATTTTGAATTTAAAAAATTTGACTTTTATTTTTGTATTTACATTCAATCACTCCAAAATACTTTCTGTACCAAGTTTTGCAAAAATCCGTTATGATTTGATAAAGTTATTGAAGGTTTTAATTGTGTAATGCATTTTAATTTTTAACCTGTTTGATTTTTGTATTTATATATGATGCATTATTACGTAATAGGTTTATTATCGTATTTTTTTTGAGTTTTTATATAAGTTTAACAATTGCAATACTTTAAATTTATTTTCCCTAAGATTTTTCTGAAATACAGTGGCGTTCGTATTTACCCCCATATTTTAGGAAAGTTGCAAAGTATCGAGGTAAATACGAACGCTAAGTTTCCTGCGATTGTAATTTATCAAAAATTTTTTCTACCCCATAAAATTGTTCTATGGAAGTAAAGTAACAACTTCATGCACCAGAATACCGGAAGTATTTTTTTTTTTAAAGAAAAAACTTATGTTATTGTTGAAACTTACTAAAAGCGTTCGGATTTACCCCAGTTGACCCTATTTAATTAAAATTTATTATAAATTACAGACAAAAATTGAATTTCAAGTGATTTTGAATCTTAAAGTTTTTGGTAATTCTAAATAATTAAAAAAATTTTTAAACAATTACTGAATTTCATATATTTGATTGAAAAGTAGTTTAAGAGCGGATCAAAGTCGATGCGATTTTTTCATTGAAGCTCTATGTAAAAAATTCCATTGACTTTGACCTGCTCTTAATTTAATTAAATTTTTAAAGAATTTCATTAAAATTATTAGAAAATAATTAATTTAAAAAATAATAATAGATAAAAAAAAATTGTTAAATAATTAAAATAAAGAAGATTTACTATTATTTACTAAAAAAAACATTTACAAATATGTATTTTTTTAAATATTTTGTTAAATTTCAGATAATAATTAAATTTTTCCGAATTGAAAATAAATTGTCAAATAATTTTGGATAAAAATTTTAAAAATGTAATTGAATTTCTGATGATTGTAATTATTACAAGAATAATCAATAGAATACTTGAAATTTTCTTCATAAAATTATTATCATAACTCAATTAATTAGATGTGGCGTAGTTTGTAAAAGGTCCGGTAGAGGGCTTCTCGCAAGCGAGATTCGAAATTTTCGTTATAAAAGATCTACTTGTCCTTGAGTCAGATAATCTAGTCAATCAGACTTTTTAGTCTGATTTAAATTAGAAATAATTTAGTCTTAGGATAGCACAACTTACATATATAAAACATATGTTCATCCAATTTTTTTAGACTGATTTTCGAATCAGCAGAATTTTAATTAAAACAAAATTTTCTTTTACTGCTTCTCAGGTGACTTTAAATAAATTTTTTATTTATTTTATTTATACACAAAAAAATAACACAAATATTGTATTATACATATTAATCTTATAAATATAGTTTTTAATTTAATATATAGTAATATTGGTTAATTAGAGATCATCATCTTTAAGATAAATAAAATAAAATAGTGTCTGTAATTTTTCGAAATAAAAATTTTATTTATTTCAAATATGTGATGCTGCAGTCTAATTTTTTTTCTCAATCATTTGTAATTGTCTTGTCGCAAATGGAATCACAGATCCTCTAGACACTAAATATAAGGAAAAAATTTTTTTTATTATTATTATAAAATTAATGTTTTCACGGAAAAAAAGAAAAAGTAATTTTTTACTATTTTCAAAGTATAACGGGAACTTTCCGAAGTTTTTGCGCTTCTCTGTCAAATTTTACTCCAAAAATAGTAAAATTGACTATTTCTATGGTAAATTTTACTGTTTCCGTAGTATAATTTTTACTATTTTTGAAGTAAATTTGACTATTTTTTGGAAGTAAAAGTTGCTAGAGATGAGTTTCTCATTTTATTCCGAAAGTAGTAAAAATTACTTTTTCTTTTCTCGATAAATATTTTTAAAAAAATAAAAATTGTGAAAAATTTTGCGATCTAATCAAAATAAAAAAAAAGAAATTAAATATTTATTTTTCCATTATTTTCTAGTTCTGATAAACCGAAAATGCATTCAAATAATGAATAAATAAATATTTACTCTGACTAAATAATTTTTTTTTTCTTTGTTATACAAAAGTCACAAAATTCTACACAAATCTAAATATAAAAGAGAAAAAAAAATTAAGATTCTTTAAAAATTTTCATTAAAAAATTATATTTTGAATTTTAAAAATATAATTGTATTTCTTCTTTTACCTGTTTGTTTAGATTGAATTGTTTTTGAAATAATGAAATTTGTTTTTGGTAAAATAATATTTTGCGATTGATTTTCTTTTTGTAATTTTTTGTCCTTTAATTCAAACATATTGAATATTTCAATAGTTAATTGTGAATTTGTTTTTATTAATTCAATAAATTCTTTTCTCTCACGTATTATTGGCAAATTTGAAACAATAAATTTCAATGATTCAGCGCGTAAATTTGATATTGCAAATTTATCAGCAAATTCAAGTGTTTTTATTGCATTTTCACATGACAATGTTTCATATAAATTATTGATGCAAATTATTTTAAGATTATTTAATTTATATTTTTCAGCAGCACAATAAAGATCCATTGCAAATTCTTTTAAATCATTTATTTTATCAGTATAAATAAATAATAGCATTCGTTGAAATATTTTTGCATTAATATCATCAATTTTAACAAACGATATTACTTGTTCACTCATATTATCATGAAATAATTCAGTAAATACTGAACTTCGTAATGAGAGAATTAATTTATGTGCCGTAAATACTTCATCCTCAACATGAAATGCAACATCTTTAAATGATTCATTTGAAAATGAATTTTCAATTTTACTTAAAAGTTCATCGGACAATAATGTATTGTTTAATGGTTTTAATGATTTTTGTAAAATATTTGTTAATTCATTGACAACACTTAATTTACAAATAATTGTAATATCCTGCGATAATTGTGAATTGTTGTCAATTAATTTTTTATATAATTCAGATGCTCGTATCGTCCAATTTATATCCGTATTTAAATTAGGTGAATTTGAAATAAATTTTACAATTTCTTGTGATAAATTCAAAATGAAAATATCAAAATAAATTTGTTTTTTAATATCATTTGTATTGTGTATGGTAAATTTGAAAATTCCCTCATTATTATCTTCATTTAATTCCGTTAATTCAATTTTAATGTACCATTGAATATAATCGATATTTATTCCTGGAAATTTTGTCGATATGAGAATTTTTTTTGTTTTACAAATTAATTCCAAATTTTTAATTAACCAATTTAATTTATAATTATTTATTTTCAATTCGGAACAACAATTTTGTTCATCGTCGATAATATTGAATATCGATTTTACACGTTTATTGGAAGACATTTTTTTTTTTTTTCCTTTTTTCAACTGTAAAAAATAAATATTTAAATAGAAAAAAAAATCCCTCAAACTACTTTATTTATTAAAACGAAATTTAATTTTTTAATTAATTCTCTTAAATAACAGAATTTGTATTTAGTAAAATTTTTCATAAAAAGCAATTTTTTTCATTGAGATATAAGAATAAATAAAATAAATCAAAATTTATTAGAATAAATATTTTATTTCTAAAAAAAAAATTCTATTTAGATAAATTTTTAAATGAAAAAAAATTTTCCATTTTTATTAAAACTTTATTTGATTTTTATTAGTTTGTTCTATAATTTTCATTTTGACAGAAATCATCAAATCAATTCTTCATTTGCAGACGAATATAAATAATATTATTTGATAAATTCTACCAATTATCAATTATATTATATTATAATTGACTATAAAACATAAGGATAATTACTTACTTCACTTTAATTGTAATTATTCATTTATCACTTTATGCTTCGTAATTCACATAGAAGAAAAATAAAATATTTTCAGAAAGCAAGTTTCTTCTTCTTCTTCTTCTTCTTCTTTTTTTGTGGCTTCGACTAGAAAGCAAGTTGAAGCCAGTAATGAAAACAAAAGTAGGGATGAGAATTTAAAATTTATCAATTACAGGGATAAGAAACAATTAGCATTTAACTAGAGTGGAACGTTCGAAATGTGACACATAGCGTACGCCACGAACTAATAAAATTATTATAGAAAATAATACATAATATTATTAATAATAATAATAATAATAATAATAATAATAATAATATGTATTCAATAACATTCCGTATTCACAACTTTTCAAAATTTCGTCAAACCGGAAATAAAATATTTATGCAATTTGGAGAAATTTTCACTAACTTGTAGGGAATTTGAAAAAAGACAGATTTATGCTTAAATTATGTAACATAGAAAGATATATATATATATATATATATATAAATTCTCAACGACATGTGACTATCTTCACACTAGTTTTTTCACAACATTCGCAGTAGCGTACTGTAGGGAATATCAGAAAAAAAACTTATTACCGAATTCCATTTAAAATCATCTTTTAAATACGAATTCTGTTTTAATTTGAGAAATTAAAAGAAAAAAAAACATTTCAAGAACATGAATTCTATTTATAAGAGAAGCACTATCTTTGTAAGTTGTATAAATGTTACTTGTATATAATATAAATACTTCTTTTTTTTGCGCATTAAATGAAAATTAGTAGAAAAGTTTAATAATAAACGTCAAAATTTTTAATTATCTATCTTTTTTTTGAAAAAAAAAATATATAAAAACATTTTATTTATGTAATATTAATTCGATTCATTCTTTTTTCATTAATGACGGTAATTATCTGATTTTTTATTGAGGTTATGTTCTTTTGTTTATATTTTCTTTATTTCTCAGTGGGAAAACTTTTTGTTTTGATTTTTTTTTCACAACTTTTTAAATAAAATACATCTTTTTTAAAAAGCAAATAATTCATATCTTCTTGATTTCTATTATTTAATAAATTTTTAACCAAAAATCATCTCTTGAATTAATTATTTTCAATAATTTTAATGAAATTCATCACAAATTTAATTATCTTAAACTATTTTTCAAATTAAAAAATTTTATGAAATTTAATAATCGTTTAACAAAAATTTCAATTCAAAATTAATTCAAATTCAATTATATTCAAAAATTTCAATTTAAAATATAAAATTTAATTATTTTCAAAAAAATTAATTTAATATCTTCTAAAATTTAAATATATTTTTCTAAAATTTTCTATCTAAAACTTTCTGAAATTTAAAAAGTAATTTTAATTATAACTATTCCGAAATTCAATTATTTTTCAATGATTTTTTATAATATTTTTCAAAAATTCAATTATTTGAAAAAATTTTTTAATTAAAAATTTTTAAAGTTCAATTTTTGTCTATAATTTCTAATAAATTCTTCAACAACAGAAATCAGCAAAAATTTTAATTCAAAATCATTTGCAATTCAATTATTTTTTTATTGATTTTTATAATATTCGTGGAAAATTCAATTATTTAAAAAAAATAGTATCTAAATTTATTTTCTATTTTTTAAACTGTAAATATTTATTAAAATTTTTTAAATCTTTTAAAATTCAATTATTTATAAAAATTTCCATTAAAAATTTCAAAATTCAATTATTTTTAATAATTTTAATATTTCTTTAAAAAATTCCAGTTATTTAAAAACATTTTTCAATTACAAATTTTATGAAATTCAATTTTTGTCTGTAATTTCGAATAAATTCTTCATCAACAGAAATTCAATTATTTTTAAAAGAAAGTTCGATTTTGGAATATTTGAAATAAATTTTCTTATTAATATTCTTATAAAATTTTCTTTTTTTTATTAAGGAAATAAAAAAAAATTAAATTTAGCCTCTAATAACAATAGTAATTTAAAATAAAATATTTATTAACAAATTAAATTTATTAGAAATAAAAATTTGACTTTTTCGTTTTTTTTAAAAAAATGTAAATCGACTAAAACAACTTTTTTTGCTCTTTAAAGTCCTTAAAATATTTATTTAATAAAAATTATGTTTTAGGTACGACCAATAATAAATAAAGCAATATCGAGCAGTTGTATTAATAATAAAAGTCAGAAAACAGATTTTGACAATATTATTAATCCTGAAGGTCACGAACCTTCAATTCCTCCTTATGTAGAGCGGGAGGGTGAAAATTTAACTTTGAAAAAATCTCGGTTCGTTACGTTTACATTCTCTTCTAATTCTATAAAAACACAAGTTTTTTTAAAAAAATAAAATATTCTAATTTTCAATTAATATTTAAAATATTTTTAATTTTTAAAATAAATTTCAATTATTTAATTTTAAATAAAATTTCAGTTTTTAAATTTGTAATTGAAATTTTATTTTTTAATTTTTAATTAATTTTCAATTCTTTAATTTTAAATAAAATTTCCATTTTTTAATTTTTAATAAAAAATTCCATTTTTTAATTTTTAATTAATTTTCAATTATTCAATTTTAAATTAAATTTCATTATTTTAATTTGAATAAAATGGCAATATACAAATTTTATTTTATCAATAAATTATTTTTTAAAGAATAGTAAATAAATTATTGAAAAAAATTATTGATGATATAAAAATAATAATTGAAAACTAATTAATTAAAAAAAAAAATTGTAGATTACTGTATCAATCACGTAAACGAGGAATGTTGGAAAATGGCCTTTTACTGAGTACATTTGCTAAAAAATATTTAGATTCATTTGACGAGAATCAAGTGAAATTGTACGATCGTTTAATAAATTTACCATCCAACGATTGGGATATTTTTCATTGGGCAACAAATATTAAACCAACGCCACCTGAATTTGACAATGAAATCATGGATCTTCTCAAAAAACATATTAAAAACGAAAATCGAGAGGCAAGAATAACGCAACCAGATTTATAATTAGACATAAAAATAAAAGAAATCAATTTAATTGACTGTAAATTTTAGTAATTCTTATTAATTATTTATTATTATTATTGTTATTAAATAAATTATATTAAATAAATTTCTATGTTTTTTGCATTTCAAAACAAATCCAATGATATTTTCTAAAAAAAAAATTCTATTCTTAAAATAAAGAAAAATATTTCAAAGAATCGAATTTGAAATTTCTTTGATATCACAATAGTAAAATTGTAATATAAAAGATTGTAATAATATTAATATTTATAACAATTTTCTATTCAAATTATCTAAAAATAATTCCAAGAGTAGAAAAAAATTTTTTTAATATAATTTTATTTTTTTCTATAAAAGGAGGGAGAAAAACTCCTGAGGTGAGTATAATAAAAAAATTCCAATTTTTTTTTTTAGAAAAAATATGTTTTGTTTTCTCTTTCTTTTTTTTTTTTTTTATTAAAAATACGACAAATCTGAAAAGTGAAAAAAAAATCCATAAAATTTGATTTTCAAACGAAATCTTGATTAAAAAAAAAATTTATAATTCTCTCTTTTCAGATTGATGAAAAAAACAATGAGTATATTCGTAGTTAATAAATACTTAATCTTTAATAATTGTTTGTAGAAAAAAAAATTAACTAGCTTATTTACAAGCTCTCTATAATACACGAAATTAATGTAACGTGATTTTTTTTTTTTTTTTTGAACATGTCTTATATTGAAAAATTACTCTAAAAGTTCTTAACTTAAAAAAAGCAAAAAAAAAAAAAAAAAAACATTTTATCGATGCTAATTGAAAGACGTGAATCGGGGATCTGTGAAATTTTTCTTTTGACCAAATTCAACAAGACCAAGACCTCGACTTGTCGAAGCTCCACGTGACGATGTTGAGCCTCCTCGAGATGTTTGACCTCTTGTTGGGGTTTTGCCCCTTGTCGCTTTACCCCGTGTTCCAGTTGATCCTTTGCCACGTTGTGAACTGGAAATAAAAATTTTTTTAAATTATTTTCTTTCTATATTGGAAAATGCGTTTTTTCTTTTAACATGTTTTTTTTACATTTTTTACTTACAAAATTTTTTTAACAAAATACGTAATTGTAAATGTTTTTTTTAAGTAAAAAATGTACATCTTCTTTATTTCAATTATGTAACAAATTTTAAACTAAAATATTTTCTCTAAATCAATTATTTTCAATAATTTTAATGAATTTCTTCACAAATTCAATTATCTTAAACTATTTTTCAATTAAAATTTTTATGTTTAATTTAATAATTGTTTATAATTTCAAAAAATTATTAATAATTTTTAATTGAAAATCACTTGAAATTTAATTATTTGCAAAAATTTTAATTATTTTCAATGATTTTTTATAACATTCTTCGAAAATTCAATTATCTAAAAGAAAAAAAAACTTTTGGGAATTCAATTTTTTGCATGTGATTTCTAATAAATTTTTCATCAACAGAAATCATTATAAATTTCTCTTATTATAATTATATTGTCTGAAATTTAACATAATCTTTTGTCAAATTCAATTATTTTCAAAAATTTCAATTTAAAAACTTCTTAAATTTAATAATTTTTAAAATTTTTCATCTGAAATTTTTTGAAATTTAATAATTTCAATTATATCTCTCCTTAGATTCAATTATTTTTAATGATTTTTATAATATTCTTCGAAAATTCAATTATTTGAAAGCATTGTGCAATTAAAAAAATTTTTAATTTCAATTTTTGTCTGTAATTTCTAAAAAATTCTTTAATTATTTGAAAAAAATTCCATTTCAAATGAATTGAAATTCAATTATTTTCAAATTTTTCTATTTAAAATCAACTAAAATTCAATTATTTTCTAAAATTTCAATTCAAAATCAATTAAAATTCAACTACTATCAAAAATTTAAATTCAAAATTAACTAAAATTATTTTTAAAATTTTCTATTCAAAATCTGTTGAAATGCAATTATTTTCAAAAATTTCAATTTAAAATCTTCTTAAAAATTTTCTATCTAAAACTTTTTGAAATTTAATAATTTTAACTACCTATAACTATTTCGAAATTCAATTATTTTTTAAATAGTATTTTTCAAAAATTCAATTATTTGAAAACATTTTTTAATTATAAACTTTTAAAATTTTTCAAATATTTAATTTATTTAAAAAATTAATATATATATATATATATTTAATATTGATTTAAAGTCACGTTAAAATCTGTAAAAGAAAATTTTGTTTTAATTAAAATTCTGCTGATTCGAAAATCAGTCTAAAAAATTTGCTGAACATATGTTTTATATATGTAAGTTGTGCTATCCTAAGACTAAATTATTTCTAATTTAAATCAGACTAAAAGTCTGATTGACTAGATTATCTGACTCAAGGACAAGTAGATCTTTTATAACGAAAATTTCGAATCTCGCTTGCGAGAAGCCCTCTACCGGACCTTTTACAAACTACGCCACATCCTATTACAGTCGAATCTCCCATAAGTTAATTCTGGTGGGGGGTTAACTTATGAGAGAATTCCCGCGTAAGGAGATTCGACTTGAGTTATGATAATATTTAAAGGCCTAAGCAGAATAGATTCTTGAACGGGAACGCAATCGTGAACGGAAACGTAAGAATGAGTGAGAGAAGAATAAAGATATTTGCTATCCTTCTCTTACACATTCTTACGTTTCCGTTTACGATTGCATTCCCGTTCAAGAATAAATTCTGCTTAGGCCTTTATGAAGAAAATTTCAAGTATTCTATTGATTATTCTTGAAATAATTACAATCATCAGAAATTTAATTACATTTTTAAAATTTTTATCCAAAATTATTTAATAATTTATTTTCAATTCTGAAAAATTTAATTATTGTCTTAAATTTTAACAAAATTTTTTGAAATTCAATTATTTATAAAAATTTCAACTGTAAATTTTCCAAAATATAACTATTTTTAACAATTTTTTTTTTAAATTTAATTATTTAAAAAAGTTTTATCTAAATACTCTAAAATTTAATTGTTAGAAGTTTAACAAAAAAAAAAATCTACAGTAGTTTATATATACAGAAAATTTATTTCAAATTTAAAATCTGCAATTCAATTATTTTAAAAAAAATTTAATTTAAAAATCCGCAAAACTTAATTATTGTCCGAAATCAGACTAGAAAAAATTTTTTTAAATGGTACTATAAGAATTTTGTTTTTTTTTAAATTTTGTAAATTTAATTTAATATCTAATAACAATAGAAATAAAATATTTATTAACTAATTAAATTTATTAGAAATAAGAAATTGATTTTGGAGATAATTTAACAATTTTTTTGAATTAAATAATTGAAAATAATTTCATTAATTTGATTAAAAACATTTGATGATAATTTCAAGTATTTTCAAAACTCTCTCCCTGTTTTATTTCCCCAAATTTTTTTTTCTCTAATTCAAAAATTTTCGAATTTTTGTTTATATATATTTGATTATTTAAAGTAGAAAAAAATAAAAATTTAAAGTAGTAAAATTTGCATTCTTAATTTATGGTTTCTTTGAAGAAAAAAAAATCCCCTAATTTGTGTAATTTTTTTTTTGTTTATAATTTATTCGGTTTTACGTAACAAAAAAATATTTAAGTTTTACTATTACATTCTAATTTTAATAAAGAAAAATGCTATTTAAATTTTTAAACTAAATCGATATTAAACAAAAAATTTGTACACTTTGGAATTGTGTTAAAAAAAAATATGAAAAAATTTAGTAAAAATATATATTTATAAATATTTACCTTGAGGCTCTTTTGAATTTTTTTGCTCCACCACGACTACCAGCTCTTCCTTTACGTTTTCTACTATAACTCGAAGTACTTCCGCTACTGTATGTGGAAGCTGCGTCAACTTGCCACAAATCACTTTCATCTTCATCTTCACTTTCATTTTCCAATTCAGTCATTAGCACTGCAAGCAAAATTATTTTTTTGTTAAATTTATTAATTGATTTTGTGAAGAATTATATTAAAATTATTGAATATAATTAATTTAGAAAAGAATTTTAAGTACAAATTTGTTAAATAATTGAAACCAAAAAAAGATCTTCTTCTAAAAAATACGTATTTTATTTTTAAATTTTGTAAAAAAAAAAGGGCGAAAAATGCTTATAATTATTTTTCATATCTAAAATATTTAATATAAAAAAAAAATATTCAGTTTCAAAAGACATACCAACTTTTTCGGCAGCATATTTTTGTGTAATTTCAAGAAGTGCCTTTCCATATTTATCAAAATTTGCTTTCGTAACGTGAGGAATTTTAAGCATTGATTCCTCATTAAGTGGCAATTGATTAGCCATTGCACGAATTGCAATCATATTCATAATTGAAGAAGCCGAAACATCTAAAGCCCCGGCAATTCCTCTAATAATCGACATTAATTCACCATAACATTTATCCTGTAATTCCTTTAATGCCGGATTTGTTTCTTGTTTAACAGTCGAAACAGTTGCAACTGCATTCGACGAACTATTCGTCTCTCGCGTATGGAAAGATATCTAAAATAAAATTTAAAAAAAAAAAAATTAAAATATAAAAAAAAAATTCAATTTTTTTTTTTATATCAAAAAAATTAATTAATTCAATAATTCGATTCGTTTTTATAAAATATTATTATAATTTCTTTTTAATATTACAACTATCATTATTAGAATTATTATTTATTATTATTTGGAAAATTTAACTTCTGGAAAAATAATTTCTTTTTAAAAATTTGAATTGAATTAAATTTAAAAAAAGAATAAATAAATTGAAATGAAAATTAAATATTACCTTTGCATTTTTGTTTCTCATAATTTCAGCTGCTTTGTGTCCAACTTGAATATAAGCACAAGCAATTTCATTGTTAATATACATTTCCTCGCAGAGATAACCCTCAATGACAAGTTTATGCAAAAGTCGTTCAATGTCTCCTTTATTCCATGATTTTGCTTTCCCATAAATTGGATGGTTCGTTAGACCTAAATTAAAAAACAAAAAGAAAAAAAAACGTAGAATTTATTAATTTAACACTTTTTTGTAATATTTTTTGCCTTCGACTTAATAACAAAATTAAATTAATTAAAATTAATTAAATTTGAAAAAAAAATGACAAACCTGCATCCCTGATTTTCTTGAGATCGCATCCTTTTAAAATATCAGTTAAATAAAGCAAAGTCAATCGAATTCTTCTTGCGTTGGTAATTTCTTGAACGGCTCTAATAATATCTCGTGCGTCTTGCGCGACATCCAAAACTTTAAATTGTCCTTTACATCGACAATTATCGCAAGCTGTATTTTTATTGGCAATACATTTTTCACGTTCGAAAATTTCACCAAAATAATTCAATTGAATTGCACGTCGACAATCGGTTTTATTCTCACAAAATGCAACCATTTGAAAGAGATTATCCATATTTGTCTTGAGTACAGCTTGTATTGGTTTATCCAATTCAATCATACGTCTCAATCTATGCATATCTGAATAATTATAAAATAAAACACATTCGGCGAGCTCACCATCGCGACCTGCACGACCACCCTCTTGATAATAGCCTTCAATTGATTTTGGAAGTGATGCGTGAAGGACAAAACGCACATTTGGCTTATCGATGCCCATACCAAAGGCAATTGTTGCGCATACAACTTTTATCTAAATCAAAATTTTTGTTTTTTAATTTTTATATTTTTTAATTTCAATATTTTTAATTTTTATACTTTTTAATTTTTATACTTTTTAATTTCAATATTTTTAATTTTTATATTTTCAGGCCTCAGATTGACTTTAAAGCACAAAAAAAAGTCATTTTAGTCGATTTATATTCCAAAAAAATGTCGAAAAAGTCGATTTTTGTTATTTTAAAAAAAATTGAATTGGTTAATAAATATTTTTACTTTAAATAACTAATGTTATAAGAAATTAAATTCATTTTATTAATTCTGTAATGAGAATAATTCTATAATGAGAATAATTTTATAATGAATATAATCAAGAAAATTTCTTTAAAATATTTCAGAATCAAACTAATTATAAGACAAATTTCTAAAAAAAAATTTTAAATTTCTATTTTTATAATTTTTTTAAGTCTTATTTAAGTAATTTATTCGAATTAAAAATTTTGTCATAGTTTTTTTTTTAGTTTTGAAGGTCAAAAAAATTGCAGGCAATACTTAATCAAGTTTTACAGATTTTTAAATAAAAAAATTTTTTAAATAATAATAATTTTGGAAAAGTTAAAGTTTGAAATTTTTAGAAATAATTGAATTTCAAAAGATTTTGTTAATTTTCAGACAATAATTAAATTTTTCAGAACTAAAAATAATTTATCAAATAATTTTAGATAACATTTTTTTTTTTTTTTAAATAATTGAATTTTCAAAGACTCACAATTTTGATTTTTGAAATTAATTGAACTTTAAGTGATTTTTAATTTGGAATTTTTTGATGATTTCATTAAAAAAAATTTATTAGAAACTGTAGACAAAAATACAGTAATTTGAAAACTTTTTAAGTGAAAAATTATTTCAGATAGTTGAATTTTCGAAGAATATTATAAAAATAATTAAAAATAATTGAATTTCAAAAGAGTTATAATTGAAATTATTAAATTAAAAAAAAATTATAGATGGAAAATTTTAAAAGCTATTAAATTGAAATTTTTGAAAATTGAATTTCAAAAGATTATGTTAAATTTCAGACAATAATATTATAATAGGTGAAATTTTTAGTGATTTCTGTTGATAAAGAATTTATTAGAAATCACATACAAAAAAAAATTGAATTTCAAAAGTTTTTAAATAAAAAATGCTTTCAGATAATTGAATTTTTGAAGAATATTATAAAATTCATTTTAAAAAAATGGAAATTTTTGCAAATAATTAAATTTCAAGTGATTTTGAATTAAAAATGGTTGATAATTATATTTGCTAATTTTTTTAAAAATTATAAACAATTATTAAATTTCATTAAAATTTTAATTGAAAAATAGTTTAAGATAATTGAATTTGTAAAGAATTTCATTAAAATTATTAAAAATTTATTAATTTAGTGGAGAATTTTAGTTAAAATAAAATAAAAAAAAATAAATAAAAAACTATATTTATATGTTGTTATTTGAAAAATTATCAAAAATTATTAGAAATAATTGAATTTCAAAAGATTTTGTTAATTTTCAGAGAATAATTAAATTTTACAGAAATGAAAATAATTTTATGTTTTGGAAAAAAAATGATTTCACATATTTAGATTTTCGAAAAATTGAATTTAAATTTTAATTTATTACCATTGAAAATTTGGAAAATAATTTAATTTTTAGGATTTCTTTTGAAAATTTAGAAAATAATTGAATTTCAATTGAAACTTTGGAAAATAATTGAATTTTAGTTGCTTTTGGATTGAAAATTTTGGAAAATAATTGAATTTTAGTTAATGTTAAATAGAAAATTTTGAAAATAATTGAAAATTTTAGAAATAATTGAATTTTAAAAGTTTTTATTTGAAAAATTGCTTTTAGCTAAATGAATTTTAGAATAATTAAATTTCAAGTGATTTTGAATTAAACATTTTTTGATAATTATATTTGCTAATTCTTATTTGAAATTATAAACAATTATTAAATTACATACAAATTTTAATTGAAAAATAGTTTAAGATAATTGAATTTGTGAAGAATTTCAATTAAAAATAATTAATTTAATGAAGAATTTTAGTTAAAATTTTGTTAAATAATTGAAATAAAGATGATCTAAAGAATATCTGCATTAAATACTAAAAAAAACGTATTTTGTTTAAAAAATTGTTAAAAAAAAAAGTCGACAAAGTCGCATTTTATTAAAAATAAGTCGAAAAAAGTTTGTATTTTTGAAAAAAAAGTCGGTAAAAGTCAAAAAAAGTCATATAATCCGAGGCCTGTATTTTTCAAGTTCACTATTTTTAATTTTCATTAATTTTATTTACTTGCTAAGACAGAAACTTAAAATTTAGAAAAAAAAATTCATGCAAATTAAACGAGAAAATTTTTTTTTTTTTTTTTTTTACTTCTCACCTCTTCAGCAACCCAACGACCTTGAACATCACTTCTTTGTCCGTCGGTTAATCCCGCATGATAACTTAAAGCTTTAATGCTATTTCTCTTTAATTCCGCGGCATAATTATCACAGTCATTACGCGAGAGACAATAAACAATTCCACATTCATTTCTAAATTTCGATCTTATCATTGCAATAACTTCTTCTATGCAACTTTTCCCCTTTTTTGCTATCACACTGTATCTGAGATTTGGTCGATTGAAACTTGACATGAACCTAAGAAAAAAAATTATATTTATTTTTATAATTTTCATATTTTTCATTTTTTTTCTTTTTATTTTCTAATTTATTTTACATTTAAATATTTACATATTTATTACTGAAAATTAAAAATATTTATTTATTGAAAATTTAAAAAAAAAATTGATAACTTAAGCAAAATATTTATTATTGACTTTTGACAATTTTTTATTATTAATTAAATAAATTATTTGTAGTAAAATGAAAAATTGAAAAATACCATTTTGGATGTGACATGCCAAGTTGATGTAAAATATCAGTCCTAACTCTTGGCGTTGCTGTGGCAGTGAGTGCAATTGTATTAACATTTGGATAATTTTCTCGTAAAAATTTCAATTTTTTATAATCAGGACGAAAATCATGACCCCATTGACTCACGCAATGCGCCTCATCAATGACAAATCTTGCAAGTAAATTCCTTTGATATAATGCAGTTAGTGTATTGCAAAATTTAACCGATGCCGAAAGTTTTTCTGGCGTTACATAAAGTAATTTTAATACTGGTTCTTGTTTCGAGAGTTCTCTATAAATTCTCTCGGCTTCCGTTTCCGTTATTGAACCCGATAAATGTGCCGCTGGAATCTAATACAAAATAAAAAATTTTTTTTTAATAAATTTTTAAATTATAAAAATTTTAAATCAAATCAAAAGAATTATTATTTTATAAAAAAAAAAAAAATGTAAATTACTTACATCGAGAGACGTGAGCTTTTGGACCTGATCGAGGATAAGACTTTTTAGCGGAGAAATAACAATTGTCAAACCGGGTGTTAATAATGATGGAAGTTGATAGCAAAGTGATTTGCCACCTCCAGTTGGCATTAAAACGAAACAATCGTGTTTTAATAATGCTGCATTTATTGCTTGCAATTGATTTGGCCTAAAGGAGAAAAGACCGAATTTCTGTCTAAAAATCTATAAAAAGAAAAATTCATATATTTTTTTTTAAAATAAATTTATATTGCTATCAGTTTAATATAAAATATAATATAATATTACATAATATAAATATATAATATGTAATAAATATTATATATATATAATACATATAAATATATAATATTTAAAAATAGTATTAAAAAAATTAGTAACAATTTTAATTGTAAAAATCAAAAATAGAAAATTAGGAACCTTAAACAATTCTGCAGAATGGGGATAATTTCTCGAGTCAAATTCTCCGCTTACTCCATCATTTGTATAGTTTCCGGTAAATCGACCAATTTCGAATGAATTATCACCATAATTTTCTTTTGTCGATTTTGACTCGTTTTCCTTTGGCTCATTTTTAACTAAAAATAATAAAAAAATAAAATAAATTATTACTTATATATGGGACGTGAGATTTTAATTCAAATTTTTTTTATTTCTCACTGGAACATTTTTTCGAAATCTTTATGAAAAATAAGAAATTTTTTTTATTTTATAAAAATTGTGGACATTGTAATTTTTTTTAAATTTAACGTAAATCAAAAGCCAAGTTATAAATTTTATATTAATAAATAAATTTTATTTAAATAAAATTGGTACAAATTTTTCTTTTTCAAAATTCTGATTGGAAAATTTTAATAGCGGAAAATTTAAAATAACAATTTTTTTCAAAATTCGTTTTTATTCAAGAAAAAAAATTTATTTTCTAAACTTTTTATAACACTTGGTGAAAGTAATAAAAAAAATTGTGTTAGATTTTCTATAATATTTCAAAATAATATATCAATATTATTTTAGAAAATTTTTTAATAATTCAAAGTTTTTTCATTAAATATTTAATGTGATTTCAAAGTTTTGTTTTTAGCATTAAAAAAAGAATTCGAGAAGAATTCATAGTTTTTTTTATGGTTTTTTTTTTGAATATATTGTAAATAAGCATTTTTATTTAAATTTCGAAAAAAAACATCATTACCTGCCACTGGAAGGTTTTGCGTAAAAGAATCTTCAATAATTTGCGAACCTGCGCTAAAATCATCAGCTAAAAACAAAAAAACAAAAAAAAAAAACTATTAGAAAAAATAAATATTATTTTTATTAATTTTAAAAAAAAAGTATTAGTAAAAATTTACTGACATTAGTTAGTAATTTTCTGATTTTCAACAAATAAATCGATAAATATTTTGAAAAATTTTTAAAAATGAATTTTTTTCAAAATTTTCAGTTTAAAATTTATTTACCTGTATTTACCTATTATAACAAAATTTTTAAAATTTTAATTTTTTTTGAAATTTAAATTCCTAAGGATTTTTTATTTTCAACCAATTTCGGACAATAATTGAATTTTAGATAGTTTTTAATTTAAAATTTTCTTTAAATAATTAAATTATTGAAAAATTTTATTAAAATTATAAAAAAGTAATTGATTTGGAGTATTTTCAAAAAATTTGATTTAGCAAATAAATTATATCGGTCGATTTTTATTTATTTTAACAAAATTTAATTGGTTAATAAATATTTTACTTTAAATAACTAATGTTATTATATATTAAATTCATTTTATTAATATAATGTGAATGATTATATAAAAATATTATCAAAGAAAATTTATTTCGAATAATTTTATAATCGAACTAATTGTAAGACAAATTTTCAAAATTTTTTAAAAAAAGAAAATTTTTAAAGTTCTATTTTTATAATTTTTTGAATTCTGATTTAAGTAATTTATTCGAATTAAACATTTTGTCATAGTTTTTTTAAATTTTGATGGCCAAAAAAATTTCAGGCAATACTTAATCAAGTTTTACAGATTTTTAAATAAAAATTTTGGATGAGTTAAAGTTGAAATTTTTAGCAATAATTGAATTTCAAAAGATTTTGTTAATTTTCAGATAATAATTAAATTTTACAGAAAATTAAAAATAATTTATCAAATGATTTTAGATAACATTTTTTAAAAGTAATTGAATTTTCAATGATTTACAATTGAGATTTTTGAAATTTATTGAACAAGTAATTTTTAATTTAAACTTTTTGATGATATTTGAAAATAATTTAATTTTTAGAAAATAATTGAATTTTAGATGATTTTGAATAGAAAACATTGAAAATAATTGAATTTCAATTGAAATTTTGAAAAATAATTGAATTTTAGTTAATTTTGAATTGAAATGTTTGGAAGTAATTCAATTTTAATTGCAAAATGCTTTTAAATAATTGAATTTTAGAAGAATATTGTAAAAATCATTAAAAATTAATTGAATTTCGGGAAAGTTATAATTGAAATTATTAATTTTTAAAAAATTTTAAATGGAAAATTTTAGAAATAATTAATTTCTAGAAGCTTTTAAATTAAAAATTTTTGAAAATAATTGAATATTCGAAAAATATTATAAAAATCATAAAAATTAATTGAATTTCGGGAAAGTTATAATTGAATTTATTAATTTTTAAAAAAATTTTAGAAATAATTAATTTCTAAAACCTTTTAAATTAAAAAATTGTATACTAAAAAAAACGTATTTTGTTAAAATTTTTTTTTTTAAAAATGTAAAAAAAAGGTCAAAAGAGTCGCATTTTATTAAAATAAGTCGAAAAAATCATATAATCCGATGCCTGAAATAACTATGTAAATAAATAAAGAAATAAATTAATAAACAACTAAACTGATAAATAACTAAAATTGATAAATAAATAAATATCGAGAAAACTTACGATTATAATCATCGAACTGCAACCAAGAATTCGATTTACTGCTAGAAGGCACAGCACTATTAAATTTAGCAATTCCTTTATCCGGTGTTTCATAAATATTATTTTTTACTTCAACTTTCATCTCAACAAAATTACTATTTATATTTTGAATTTTTCTCTCCTGACAATTTTCAATAATATTATTATTACTATTTCCTAATTGAAATTGTGGATCTTTCTCACATAATTCGCTTGTTAATTCCATTTTTGTTTTCACTGGTCTTTTAACTTTAAATGAACTTTTCTTCATTTCCGGTGACATTAATTCATTTGTATCATTTGAATTTGTCGATAATTTATCAATAAAATTATAATTATCATTTTCGAAATTTCGTTTTTCATTGTTTGATGCTTTTATTCGTTCTGTTAGTGAAACATAACTGAAACTTGGACTTTCAAATGTTGTATTATTTTGATTATTTTTATAATTAGTGGTAGTTGAAACTCTTGACGTTGGGGATTCAATGAAATCTTCAAAATCTTCAGCTGATGTGGGAAAATCGGAGGAATTGGAAAATTTTTCTTTATTTGCTTGTTTCACTTCTTTTAAACTTTTTCCAATTCGCAATGTTTTTGCTTTTATTCGTTTTGATAACATTTTTAAACTCTCGTAACTTTCATCATTAAATTTTGGAAATTGTCGTAAAATTTCAATTGGAATTAATGTCAAGGCGTTAAAATATTTTTCATATGCCTCAATTTGTAGATCTTTTAGTTTCTCATAATTTTTCTCCAAATTTTGTTGAGTTGTCTGAAGATATAAATAATAAATGATTAGTAAAATGGAAATATTGAAAAATATTAAAAATCAAAAAAAAATTGAAATATTGAAAAAATTAAGAAATTAAATTTAAATTTTTTCAAATTTTCCATAATATAGAAAAAAAAATAAAACTTACAGGTGTTTCAGAAATGACTGAATTATTTTTAACACTGTTAATCCATTTTTTAAGTTCCTCATCAAATCCCAATGGTTTCATATGAACTTTAACATCGGGTCCTTTTAATTCTTTTTTCGGTGAATGTTTCTTTGAAAATGTTATTTCTTTTTTTGGCGAATAACATTCATCAGATGAAATAAATTCATCGTCAGATGGTGTTTTTTTTTTCTTTTTAATATTCTCCAAACACAAACGTTGTTTAATAGGTGATGAAAATAATTTTTTCATTCCTTCAGAATTTTTTAAATTATTATTATTATTAGTATTTTTTATTGGACTTTTCATTAATACTTTTTTAACATTTGTATTTGATGCTATTATTTTTGATTTATCGTCATCAGTTAATTGTGGTGAATTTTTAACAATATCTTGAAATTTTTGTGTTGGCAATTTACAATTTTCTTTTTGTGAATTTGTACGAGCATTTTCCTCTAATGAATCCTCAACATAGTATGCTAAATTTGTTTCTGCATCGGTAAAAAATGAATTTTCCTCCGAACTTGGCTGTAAATTTATTTGTATTAAAAAAAAATTTACTTTCTTTTTCGATGAAAAAAAAAATTAAATGTGAAAAAAACAATAAATATATTTTTAATTTTTATTTTACACTTGTTCAAAAAAAATTTTTTTTTACATTGAAAACAAGAGAAACAGGAAATAAAAAAAATGTAATTCAAATTTTTAATAAAAAAAGTAAATTGAATAAAATAAAAAAAATACAAGTTACCTTTATAAAAAAAAATTAAATTAATCAAAATAAGTACAATTAAAAATGATGGTAATAAAAACTTAAAAAATAGAAATAAAAAATAGAAATTAAGTGTATAAAATTTTTTACAACGAAAAAATTTTAAATGTATAAAATAAAATTCAATAATAAAGTAGAATTAATAAATTATTAAAAATTAACTCACAATCGATATAATTGAATTATTCTTTTCCAATCCATTATTTTTTAATAAAGCAGGTTTTAAGGGCTTCTCAAAATCGTCATCTTCATCATCGGTTATAAAATCTTCAAAATTATTTTTTGAGTTCGGAGTACTGTAAATAATTAATTAATAAAATTACTTAATTCTCTAAATTGAATTTGATTTCTCAAATTCTTAAAATTTTTTTTTTTCTAAAGATAATAAATAATAATAATAATAATAATAATAATAAATAAGTAATTAAATAAATAATAATAATAATAAATAAATAATTAAATAATTAAATAATTAAATAAATAATAATAATAAATAATTAAATAAATTATTAAAAAGTTCATATGAAAAAGGTTTTCTATAAAAATTAGAAATCGTGAAAATTAAAAAAAAAAAAATAAATTAAAAGTAAATTTAATTATTTATTTATTATATTTAGAAAATCACAGGAAAATCAAATAAAAAATTTAGTTATAAATTTAAAACTTTTTTTTTAATAAAAGTAAATTTAATTATTTTTTTTTTTTTTATTCAAATTTCGAAATAAATAAAATTTAATTTAAAATTAATTTAAGAAAAAAAAAATGTTGAATACATAATTTTAGTGGCACGATTATTAATTTACAAAAATGATCTTACAATATTCACTTATCAATTATTGTTATTTACATTATTTTTATTATTGTCATCAAAATATTTTACTCAACGTGAGAAAGTACAAATAAAGAATTTCAAAATATTTGAATAAAAGATATTGAAAACTATAATTTTATAAAAATCGTGAAATAAAATTTAATTATTTTAACAAAAATTTGAAAAAAAAATTATCAAAAGAAATTAAAGAATATTATTTAAATTAAAATTAAAATTTAATTATTTTACTGTCAATAAATATTTTGAAAAAAAAAATTAACAAAATAAATAAATTAGTAAAAAATATTCATTAAACTAAAATAAAAACGTTATTTTTTTGTGAAAACTTAATTATTTCAGTTACATTTTGTTAATAAATTATTTCATTTTACAAAAAAAAAAAAATATTTGTTTTCGAGATAAAAGAAAAAACTCACCTGGAAGAAATAGTTTCTGCATTATTGAATTTATTTAAAAGATCTCTTAATCCTGGTTTTTGAATTTGTTGACTAGCTGGAACTTTTTTGGACATTTTTGCTTTTCCATTAAAAAAAAAAAAAAAAAGACAAAACCATATATTTATTTACGTCGGGGAAAATAAAAATTGTCACTATTAATTTCAATTAATTATAAACTTGAATTATTTTTAACATTTTTACGAACGTGAAACACTAACTTCTTATAAACAACAATAAATATTTATACACGAATTTTTAAATTTCTAAATAAGATGAATTTATAAGTTTATGTTTATATTATTACTAGGTTTTTTTTTGTTTATATAAATAAAACACTGACAAAAAGACGCACACACAAAACAAAACTGGATTTACAACAAATAATTGAGGTTAGGATTAACTGCATTCTGATAGGCGTGTGAAATGGCGCCTCTATTTTAGAATTATAAAAAGAGAAAAACTATTCTTTTTCGTGAATGAATTTCTGTTTTTTTTTTATTATTTTACAAATTATATTTATAAAATAAAAATATAATTGAAACTTATAATCCTTATAATTATTAATATTGTTTATATTAGATAAAAATCATTATTGTAAATAAATATTAAATTATTATTTAAATTTTACATGACTGGTTTATTAATTAATTTTTTTTTTGTTATAATTCATAATTTAACAATATTAAAAAGATTGTTAATTGTTTTATTGACATTGAGAATGGAAAAAAGAAAAAATTTTGTTCAGAGAAAATTAGGTTCAAATTGGGTGGGGGAAAATTCAAAAATGGACACAAGCCGAATGACTGCTCTATAGAAGAAAAATTTAATATTGAAGTTATTGAGATGATTTATTTTTAAATATTATATAATATAATTTAATATATATTTTATTTTTAAACACAGAGATATATATGTCTATCTTTCTCTGTCTCATGTTTTAACGCAAAACGCAGCATTTCAACGCAGGCATTGTGGACATAGCTTTACTGTTGCGTCTCTAGCGTGATATACGAAATTTATCCGTATAATGTAAGGAATTATAAATTGCGTCTCTATTCTACATTATATTCTATTCTATGGTTATAAAAAAAAGCGGGAACCCGGCAACAAAATGTGCACAGTGCCATTACAGAAGAGGAAGAGGAAGGTTAACCAGTGAATTGTTAATAGTGTGATAAAAAAATTTTCTATATTTTTTTTATAGAAAAAAAAAATACTTCAGAAGGATATTATCAAAAGTCACAATATTTTGACTGTGTAAGTTTTATTACAGTCGAAAAATAAGCGGTATAAGTAAATTAATAGTTTCTTTTTAAATTAAAGTGTAAGATTTCTTTCGCGATAGAGTATTTTAAAATGACGTCATCCTGCTTATCAGATATTAATTTTGAATAGATATTGTATTTAAAAAAACTTCAACAATTAAACAAAAATTGATAATTTAAAAAACAAATTATAATTGAAAAATACCAGGGTTGCCACAAGTAAGGGGACATTTTTATTGTCAGGGAAATTTGAACTAATTTACACAAAAAAAAATGTCAATTATATATACTTCCGGTAGGCGTAAAAAAAAATTAATTTTTGCCTCCGGAAAATATCATAGGATTATCATATTTATTTACCATTTTTCACAAATTTCTCTTATTTTGATAATTTTTCACTATTTTCACTTTTTTATGATTTTGCAAATTAAATTAAATTTTAATCGATAAAAAATTACGAATTTATTAAAATTTTCATCAAAAATGCAAATTCAATCGATCGAAACTTAGTAAACAAAATTTAAGTTCGATCTATAAATAATAATTGATTCTAATAATTGAAATTTAATAAATTTTAAATAAATCAAAAATTTTATTTAATCAAATTTTAATTAGTTTTAGTTTCAAATTATTTGAATTTCAGTTTAATTAATCAATTAAAATTTTTTTTTTTTTTTTTTTTTAATATTATTTTTAGGTCCTTTTATTGGTTGTTTCTACCTTTTTTTTTAAAAAAAAAAACTGCCAAATTCTCATTCGTCTGGCACTTTTGAGACAGGATATACATTATTAAGCACTAAAAACAGCGTAAAACTTGTAATTTTTAAACAATTTTCGATTTTCTTGACTTAAAATAATCCTCACTAAATTTTTAAGATATTGCTAAACCCCAATCTTTAATTTTCATTTTGTATATGGGACGTTCCATGTCAACCGGATCGCAGTGCTCTGTACATAATTGTATGGGATCAATTGAAACGTTTAAGGTCTTAAAATGTTCATCTCGAAGTACTTTAACATTTACAATATGGCATTTTTAAAAATCCAAAATGGCGGCCGAATTATGACACATTATATGGCTGAAATATGTAGAAAATGTATAATTAAAACATTATTTAAGAAGCAAAAAATGTCCGAATTGGCATTAAATTGATCACCAACAATGCTAGGGGTTTACAGAATCAAAAAATGCTGACACTTTTCAAAATTTTCAATAATACAAAATTGCTGATCCAAAATGGAGGAATAGTTTTAAAAATATGACTCAATTTACTCGAAACTTAGGACTCGGGGGTTTTTGGGGTCGCTTATTGCAAATCTGAACTCAGTTTTCAAAAATACAAAATGGCGGATCCAATATGGCGGGCTGTTTAAAAAAAATTACCCAATTCACTCGAAACTAATGACTCGGGGGTTTTTGGGGTCGCTGATTACGAATCCGATGATAGTTTTCAAATTCAAAATGGCGGATTTAATATGGCGACTAACTTTTATAAAATTAATTAAATTCACTTGAAAATTGCCACTCGGGGGTTTTTGGGGTCGCTGATTACGAATCCGATAATAGTTTTCAAAAATTCAAAATGGCGAATCCAATATGGCGAACTGTTTTTAAAAAAATTACCCAATTCACTCGAAACTTGTTTTACACACACATTTGTCCGTCATGTTGCATCCGCCATTTTGAATTTTGAAAAACTGACTCCGGATTCATTTTCAGCGACCCCAAAAACCCCCGAGTAGAGAGTTTCAAGAAAATCCGAACGATTTTTTTTAAAAAAAAGTCCACCATATTGGATCCGCTATTTTGAATTTTAAAAAACTGACCTCGGATTCTTAATCAGCGACCCCAAAAACCCCCGAATAGAGAGTTTCAAGCAAATCCAAACGATTTAAAAAAAAAAAATCCGCCATTTTGAATTTTGAAAAACTGACCTCGGATTCGTAATCAGCGACCCCAAAAAACCACCGAGTAACAAATTTTGTATAAATCCATCCATTATTTTTTGTGTTAATGTGAATTTTCTATACACGATCTTAATTTCCTGGATAAATTGTTTATAAACAATCATAACTTCTATTATTTAATGAACTAGATTCTTAACGTCGAGCAATGATATATTCTTTAATAACGCTCTTGAAATTGTTAAAAGATATTTCAAAAAGATCTATATTTTTATCCTAATGAAAGCACATTACATTAATTTCATTGCACATTCTGTAAATTGGTGCAGCAAAACCCACCGCTGATTGAACCATAGGTGTAGCAAAAATGGCTGGTAATAGCGTGACTGTGTTGTGGGTATTTTAAATTTTATAAGCTATAGAAGGTTTGGACAATCAATTATATAATTCAATAGTTTGTATAAAAAAAAATGGATTGATTTATAAATCAACGCTGAGCTAAGGTTAAGAAATCATTTGTCATATAATTATTTTTGAGCCGAATTTTTATTTGTTCGAATTGTGCATTTTGCAGAATTTTCATCAAAACGATTTTCTATATTACAGAATATTTATATAACCGAAAATTCACATCACAAAATTTTTCTTTTATCAGAATTTTTATTTGCTCGAATTTTCATTTAACATAATAGGCATTTTAAAGAATTTTTATAGGGTAGAATTTTATTGCATAGAATATTCCGATTTTCATACTAATAGAATTTTTACTTAACCGAAAAATCATTTAACAGAATTTCTAATTGATAGAATTTTCATTTGTCCGAAATTGCAAATGGCCAAACAATCAATCGACAGAAGGATTTCGTCCATTTGCAATTTTGGACAAATAAAAATTCTATATCAATTAGAAATTCTGTTAAATGATTTTTTGGTTAAGTAAAAATTCTATAGTATGAAAATCGGTTATATGGAAAAATATCAAATAATAATTCAAACAAATGAAAATTCTATGCGCAATGAAATTCTACACAATAAAAATTCTTTAAAATGCCTATTATGTTAAATGAAAATTCGAGCAAATAAAAATTCAGACAAAAGATAAAAATTTGAACAAATAAAAATTCTGTAATAAAGAAAATCGTTTTGATAAAAATTCTGCAAAATACGCAATTGGAACAAATAAAAATTCGGCTCAAAAATAATTATGATAAATGAAAGTTCATAAAATGAAAATTTTAATTAATAATTTTTAATTAGAACATAATTATGTTTACACGCCAGACAACGCTACATGGAATATGAATTAAAGACTCATTCTCAAATCTCAGATGCGCAGAATTTACAATAATTAAAGTCTAAATTAAATCGATAAATTTTACTTTTATCATAGATAAATTCTGCAAACGTGGATATTAATCAGTCTGATTTGAGAAATTAACTTTATAAAAAACAGAAGCAATTTCATGCGTTTTAAATTATCGCAAAATTTTAATTGATTTGAGTTTCAATTTATATGATGCTGAAGTCTGCACGTTTTTATAAACGAAAACGAAAAAATAATGAGACGATATGTATTACTTTGGCTTAAAATTAAAATTATTCGGGGGTAACTGGCTACTATGAAAATATTAATTTTTTTTGAAAGTTTGTGCAAATCAAAATTAGAAATAAATTGTCTTGAAAAAATAATTCTATTTTAATTTTTCGTTTTTGAAAACGTTGCGGACTTCAGCCTCATCAATTTATCCGAATTTCCATCTTTTCAAATTTAAGTTATAATTTATTCGAATTTTAATTGATTTAAATTTCAAATTATTTAATTTTTGATTAATTAATTATAAATTGTTATTTTTAACATTAATTGCTTTTAACTATATAAGTTTTTCTATCGCTTTTTTGTCACCTGTTTTCGGTAAATAATTCACCATTTTATCGATTTTTTTAAGAAAAAAGATTTTTTTCTAATCTTTAAAATTTTTTAAGAAAAATTAAAAAAAATTTATTCTTGTGGTAATCCTGAATATCTAAAATTAAAAATAAATAAATTATATAATTTCTTCTCTTGCAGGAGACATCTGCATAAAATTATTTTAGCTCGCCATCAGCGAAATCAAATAGCAATTAATATGAAGAAATACCGAAATATTGGAAAAATAATTTATATTGTACGTGTGAAAACGCAAGAAGATGAAATTATTGAAATAATTAAAAACTATCTGAGTGATGGGGGCAATATTAATAAAATAGATAAAAATGGTAAAACATTATTATTAATTGCAACTGAATTGGAAAAATTTAAGATAGTTAAATTTTTAATCGAAAACAATGCTGATATTAATTTAAAAGACAAAAATGGTAAATCATTTTTGCATATTGCCGCTGAAATGAATAATTTTGAAATAATAAAATATTATATAAAAAATGTTGATATTGAATCTAAAGACAAATTTGGTAGAACAATTTTACGTATTGCCGTTGAAAAAAATAATTTTAAAATGGTAAAATTTCTAATAGAAAACCATGCTGATGTTAATTCTAAGGACAAAAATAATATTTCCATATTAAACATTGCAGTTGATTGTGGTAATATTGAAATGGTAAAATTTTTGATAGAAAAAAATGCCGATATTAATGCTAATAATAATAGCATATCAGTATTAAAAATGGCAGTTGAAGATGATAATTTTGAAATTTTGGAAATTTTAGTAAAGAACAATGCTGATGTTGATTCATTTGACGAAAATGGTAGAACAGTTTTATTCACTGCTGTTGAATCAGATAATTTTAAAATCCTTACATTTTTGTTAGCAAAAGCAGATATTAATATTAGGGACAAAAATGGCAAATCGGTATTACACATTGCGATAGAATTTAATAATACAGAAATGGTGAAATTTTTAATAGAAAAAATTATTGATTTTAACCTTTTTGAATATGGTGAATCAATTTTGCAAATTGCGAAAGAAAATGATAATTTTGAAATTTTAAAATGTTTAATTGAAAAAAGTCCAAATGTTGATATTAGAGACAAAGATGGCAAATCATTATTGCATATTGCAGTTGAATTTAATAATTTGAAAATGGTTAAATTATTGATAGAGAAAAATGTAAATATTAACGCACAAGATGATTTTGGTAGATCAGCATTGTATTTTGCAGCAAAATCTAAAAATCAAGAGATGGTAAAATATTTGGTTGAGAAAAATGCAGATGTCAATATTAAAGACAAAAATGAAGAAACAATTTTGCACATTGCTGTTAAATTGCGTAAAATTTTAATTGTAAAATTTTTAATAGAAAATGGTGCAAATATTAATGCTCAAGACAAATTTGGAAGACCAATATTATACATTGCTATCGAAATTAATAATTTTCGAATGGTGAAATATTTTTTATTGAACAATGCAGATTTAAATTTTAAAGACATAAATGGCAATTCAGCATTGCAGTGTGCTTTTGAATTTGGTAATAGTGAGATAATAAAACTTTTAATAGAAAATAATGCGAATGTTAATGCAAAGGATAAATATAATAGATCGATTTTGCATAAAGCGGTGAAATTTAATAATTTTGAAATTGTACAAATTTTAATTGATAAAAAAGCAGATGTTAATGCTCAAGATGATTGGGGTAGATCGGTTTTGTATTTTGCAATTGTATTTGGTAATTTTGAGATAGTGCAATGTTTAGTAAAGCATAAAGCAAATATTCTTGCTGAAGATAAATGTGGTGTTACAGCATTCTCACTTGCCCTTGGTTTTAATAATACAGAGATGATAAAAATTTTGACAAAAAATAACATTCGAAAGACATCGAATACTGGTAGAAAATTAGCATTAAAAATAAAAAAATGGCTGTTTAGTTAAATATATTATGACAAAAAAAAAGTAATTTAAAATGTCGCTGAAGTTACCATTCGACGAAAATTTTAAAAAATTTTCAGACTTCGGATTATTCGAATATTTGCAGTTTTTTTTTTTTTCAAGAAAATTTCAATTTTTGTCTGAAATTTATAATAAATATTTCTTCTAATAAATTTTTCAAATATTTAATTTATTTAAAAAAAATATATATTTAAATCTTATTTAAAGTCACCTGAGAAGCAGTAAAAGAAAATTTTGTTTTAATTAAAATTCTGCTGATTCGAAAATCAGTCTAAAAAAATTGGATGAACATATATGTTTTATATATGTAAGTTGTGCTATACTAAGACTAAATTATTTTCAATTTAAATCAGACAAAAAGTCTGATTGACTAGATTATCTGACTCAAAAACAAGTAGATCTTTTATAACGAAAATTTTGCATCTCGCTTGTGAGAAGCCCTCTATTGGGCCTTTTCTAAACAACACCTAAATATTTAGAGATAATTAAAAATTTTTTTAAATTAAATAATTGAAAATAAATTTATTAATTTGATTAAAAATATTTTAAGATAATTTCAAGTATTTTCAAAACACCATAAAATTTCCGTTTTTTTTCTACTAATTTTCCTTTTTTCTGCGTCAAAAATATTCTATTTTTTTGCGTATTGACTATTTAAAGTAGGAAACCCTAATGTAAAGTAGGCAATGCGCCTTTAATTACATTATGTAAAATAAATAAATAAATAAATATTTAAAGTAGGAAAATTAAAATTAAAGGTAAAAAATTTAAATTAGTAAAATTTTCATATTCTTAATTTATGGTTTCTTTGGAAAATAATTCCTTAACTTTTGTAATAATTAAATTACATTGGTTATTCAAAGTAAAATATTTATTATTTAAATTTAATTAAAATAAAAAGAAATTTATTTTTTCGAAATGTAAATCGACTTTTTTTTTGCCTTTTAAAGTTGATCCGAGGTATAAATTTTTTGTTTTCAAAGGCCAAGAAGACTTTTTTAAAATAAAACTTTTTTATTTTGATCTCAAACATTTAAAATTCCCAACCAAAGTGGGAAAACGATTTTTTTCGTCGAATCAAACGTTGGTAACTTCAGTGTTATTTGTTAATTAAAAAAAAATCAAAATTTGTGATAAATTTAAAAAAAAATAAATAAAATTTGTATTATGTATTAAAAGAGCGATCTTAAGGACGGAAAAAAAATTTCTAAAATGAGTGTGAAATGAGAGTGAAAATAAGTTTTAAATGTTAACTTTATATATGAACGATTTTCAAGTAATTGTGCTAAATTTCAAAATTTTTAAGAAAAAAAAAGTTTTTTTTTTGTTTTAATTTATTTTTACATTATTAGGGTATAATACTATATAGTTATATATTATTTAAACAATTTTTCTATATTATGCAAAAATCTTACGAATTATTTTAATCTGGGATCTAGTTTATATTTTTGAAAATACTCTCTATATTTTTTCAAATTATAATTAAGAGAATATTTTCTCTACTTCGATTTGTAAACACACAAACGTAAAACGTATATTTTATTACTGTTATTTATTTATTTATTTAATTTATTAATATTAAAAATTAATTTATATTTTTACGTATTAATTGGTTTTGAAAACTTACACTCGAGAGTTACGTGCAAAAATCATCCATATATATTGAATTATAATGTTTAATCGAACTCAATTGTGTGGTTTTTTAATATAAATATTGTTTATAATAACTTCGATTTTATTGTTATATTTTATATATTTTTGTTACTCAACTTCCCAGACAACTTCCAATTAGTATTCAATCAATTTTTATATTATTTCGAGTCAATTCGTTTTTTTAGAATGAAAATTCAGTTTTAAAATTCCAAAGGAATTTTTTTTTTATGAGTTTAAATAGAAATTTTGATTCGGCTAAAAACTAATTGGCTCGTAAGTGAATATGTTATGTAGCAAGCCGGAAATTTTACAGATCGAAATTCCCGGGCTTGGTACAAGGCGTTTTGTACAATGTTGTTAAAAATGAAGATAGGAATGAAATAGAGAATAATAATTCACTGTTTTTAATTATAAATTTTATATTATACTATCTATTTGTACAACTCAATAAATTATGTCATTTCTGTTAGAATTTTTTGTTTATTATTGAATATTGATTGACAATTATGTCAAGAAAATGAGGATATAATTAATTTTTGAATTCAAAATTAATTTAGTACTATATTGAAGTCTTACTCGAAAGCGTACATTATTTTTTTGATTTATAAAATAATTATGATTTCCATTAACAATTTTGAAAATAAATTAAGTTTGTTAATTTTTTCGGAAAATTTGATTTCAATAAGCGATGAAAAGTTTTATATTAATGATATAATTGAAAAAGTGATAGAATCAAAAAATAAAGACAAGAAAAATTCAAGCGATTATAAAAACTAAGATGTTGACTTAAATTAAAAATAAATTTTTGGTAATTTATAGATGTTATTATTAATGTAACCGACGATAGTAATTATTATCAAGTTGGTACGAAGGATTTTTTTTAAATAATAAAAATGTAAAGGAGGAAACAATATAAGGAAAAAAAATGAAAAAAAGAGATTTTTACTAAAAAGTATAATATTTTTTTTTTTTATTGAAAAAACTTGAGTAATTATAAACATTAACGACTTCGAGACCGAAGAAAATAAAGTAACAATTTGATCACTTGGTAAAAAATGAAAAAAAAAGAAAAGAAAAAATCTTCTTTATAATATACTTTCTCAAGCGTCTCTTTTAGCACATAAACGAGAAATATATTTATATATAATATATGTGTATCAATTGAATAAATTCGAATATATTTATTTATACAATATATATGAGTACTCTTCTTGCGAAACTAGCGCACATATTTATTTTTTTTTTAAATTTTAGTCAAAAAATTGTAAACCTATAAACTTTTTTTTTTTCTTCTTTAAAGAGTAGGAAATTATACAAAATACGTTACCTATCACATCTTATAGCAATATCACTTCTCTATAGTATTTTTTTTTTTTTTTTTTTTTTTGTATCAAATTGTTAAGGTGCTAAAAAAAAGACAGACAAAAAAAGATACGATGGTCGGTGAAATGACACATTAGGAAACACTTAATTTATACGAAACTAATCTAGGGGAGTCAGTTGATTCATTAATTTTCTCCAGTCAGATTTGAGTGGAGAATCGAGGTCTCGGCAAATCACCAAAAACTGGATCGCCATGAACACTTTTGGCTAGAGCTTTAATTGAAGCTCTAATATTATGCGGGTCTAGCGGATCCATTGATTCCTGATAATAATAAAAAAAAAAAAATTTCATATATTAAACATTAAATAGAAAAAATTAACTAAATTTTAGTTATGTAAAATTATAATTTTTAAGAGAAAAACTTAAATTTTTCTGTATTTTTTATAATTGTTTTAAGTGTTTTTTTTGCCTATAGTAAAAATTACACAAAAATTATATTTCTTAGTTTCTTAAAAAATTTAAAAAAATTTACGACCAGAATTTTGGAAATTTTTTTTTTTTAATTTTAAAGTAGATTCTTTATGCGAATAAAAAAAAAAGATTCTAAACTTTTGAAGTAATTTAAAAAATTGAATTAAATTAATTATATATATATAATTATTAATTTATTTATTATTATTATTTATTATTTATTAATTTTATTAATTGTAAATAAGTTGGAATTAATAAAATAATAATAAAAATTAGTAAATAAAGAATAATAAAAGTTAATAAATAAAAAAAATAAATTTAATTATAGTATTAATTATTAATATTGAAAATTACTTTTTCATCATCTTCGTCATGTGGTAAGCGCCTATCAAATGGACGAAAATCAGGTACAGTCACTGGTAATGATTTGGCTAACATTGGATAGCCTCTCTTTTGGCTTCTGGGTATATTAGTTCCCTCGTTTTTCACCGATTCTATTTAAAAAAAAAAAAGAAAAATTATTTTTTATCAATATTTTGAAAATCAGCTCTTCTCTCGAGGCTTAATTTTTCTTTTAAATATTAACTATAAATAATAATTTGCAAATTTATACATTCTGACAATATAAAATTTATTATAAAATTTTCAGCAAATTTTAGAAAAAAAAAAAAATTCAATGTGTATTTTCTGACAATTTTAATGAAATTGAAAAAAAAAATTCAATTTTCCAAATTTTATGAAATTTCATTTATTTAAAATTTTTTCAATACTAAATTTTTCATATCAAATTTTACGAAATTTCAATAATTTAAAATTCATTTTAATTAAATATCTTTGAAAATTGAATTTTAAAAATTTTAATTTTCTAAATTGTAATTCAAAATTGTTCAAAAAACTTAATATTTTTAGAATTTGTAAAAAAAAACTTCTAAAATTTAAATATTGAAGAAAAAAATTAAAATTTCAAAAATTTTTTTAAATTATAATAATAAATTTCAAATTTAACAAAATTTCAATTTATAATCTCTTAAGATTCAATTAATTCTAAAAATATTGCCTCGTATAGATCTACAAATATTAATTTTATTTAATTATTAATTTAGGAAAATAAATGAGCTAAGTAATTCAATTATTTATAAATTTTCATTTAAAATTCTTCGACAAATAAATTGCTGTAAATAATTTTAATAAAGTTGAATGAGTTTCAATAATTTAAAAAAAATTCTTTTGCAATTCAAAATTACAAAAAAAATTTAATTTAAAATCTCACGAAATTAAATTATTTAAAATTTTTCGCTAAATTAATTATTTTCAATAATTTTAATAAAGTTAATTGAATTTTCAATTATAAAAAAATTCTCTAAATTTCAATATTATTGTCTAAAATTTTGTAAATAATCTTCTGTTATACAAAATTTACAAAAGAATTTAATTTTAAATTTCTTAAAATTTAAATATTTAAAAATTCATATTAAAAACTTTTTTTGCCAAATCAATTATTTAAAATAATTTTGATAAAATTCTTTGAAAATTCAATTATTTTTAAAAAATTTAAATTAAAAATTCTCTAAAATTCAATTATTGTCCAAAATCTGTAAAAAAAATTTTGTAATTCAAATTTACAAACAAAATTTTATTTAAAATGTGTCTTAAAATTCAATTATTTAAAAATTTGTATTTAAATTTTTTCGCCAAATCAATTATTCTCTAAAATTCAATTATTGTCCAAAATTTTGTAAAAAAAAAAATACAATTCAAATTTACGTAAAAATTTAATATAAAATCTATTAAAATTCAATTATATTTAAAAATGTTTATTAAAATTTTTTGAAGCCTCAAAATTTTTTCGCCAAATCAATTATTTTAAATAATTTTAATAAAATTCTTTGAAAATTTAATTTAAAATTAAAAATTCTCTAAAATACAATTATTTCTAAATATCTTAATAATAAATTTATATTCTTTATTTATTATGTTATTTTTATTTTCATAATTAAAAATAATTTGCATCCCCAAATTTAACTCAATCATACAATGAATTGTATCATTATTTTTTGATTTTAAGAGAATTTCTATTTAAATAAAATATTTTGTTAATTTTCATATTAAAGTGCATTGAATTAATTTGAAATTTTTGTAAATTGTCACTCTATACAAGAGTAATAATTTCCGAAAATTTTAAACTCAAAAAAAAAAAAAAAATATCAATTAGAAGTGGAGGAAATTTTGTCATTTTAATTGACATTTTCAAATTCATAAACTAAACCTTTATAGATTTTAATTTTTATCTAATAATTAATTATCTACTTTTCAAAAAGTTTTTTTTTTTCTAATATTTTAAAAGCCCTTTTTTCAAAATTGTATTTTTTCATTTTTGCCTCAATAGAGCATTTTTTTTTTATTTTCTATATCCCAGGCTTGTTCTTTTGTTTTTTCTCATTATTTTGAAATTGTGATCTTACCATCGGTATCAGATTCCAAATCGGAGGACAATAGACAATCATCCGAATAAACAGTGTCGTCCATTCCTTCGAGAAGAAAAAGTGCCTCGGCATCAAAGCTACTCGGTTCTCTTCGACGTGCTTTAACTGAATCAGTTTTATCACTGTGTCCATTCTAAAATAATTTTTTATTATTTTTTTTTTTTTGTTTTCATATTCTTCGAAATGTGTGTTCAGTATTGTTTTTTTTTTTTTTTTTTTTTTTTTTGTAAGAAGACTTACGTCACTTACGAGATTGGAATTTATGGACGACTTTGTATGTTGTGTCATAATATTCGATCCACTGAAAGCAGTGTCACTCGAACTTGTTTCAGTTGGTGGCCTTGCAGACAGTGAACTTGATACTGAGGTAGAGTCACTGGTCTTTAAATTTTTCGCTCGTCTTCGTGTTTTTGCAACCACTTTTGGTTTCTCCTCTTTTTTACATATCATTCTAGAACAATTTTTATAAATATTTTTTTTTTTTTTTTTTTTTGTAAATAATTATTACTAACAATTCTTTCTTTTTTTTCAATTTTGTGTTTTTTTCCTTTCTTTTTGAAATTTGTTTTTCTTTTTCAATTTTTCACCAAAAATTTGGTTTTATTTTTTGAAAGAGAAAAAATTATTTTCGTGTCGACTTTTTTTTTTTTATTTGAATTTTTTTAAATGTTAAAATTTTTAACACAATTTTATTAATTATAATATACATAAATTATTTTTTTTTCTCTCTACTCGCTAAATAAATTAAATTTTTTTTTTTAGTAGTAAATTAACAGTACAAACAAATTTCGAATTTAGTAAATAATTATTAGAAATTAACAAATTCAAAAATTAATTGTTATTCTAAGTTTATATTATTTTAACTCCTTACTTTACAACTAAAATGACAATTTTTATTAAAAAAAAAAAAAATCCGTATTTTTTTTTTAATTTTTTAATAGTTTCAAATTTTTGCCTTTTTATTTTATTAATGTAGAACTACAAGAAGAAAATAATTATTTGTTTTCTTTATGAATAAAATAACAAAAAAAAAAAATTATTTTAAATTAAATTTAAATGAACAAATTAAATTAAAATAAGAAAAAGTGTAATTAGAATAAAAGAAAAATAGGCCTGCGGTCCATTGGACCCTACAGTGACAAATGAATTAAAATGAAAATTAAAAAAAAAAATGAAAATATTTTAAAAAATAAATTAAAATGATAAATGATTAAAAATGAAATATTTTAGCAATTTTTCTGAAAATAAAGCATAATTTTAGACACTTCTATGTAATGCCAAAAAAATAAATTGGCACCACTGAGAGCAACCTAAATTTCGATGGGTTGAAATTTTACTAGTCTCTCTCTCTCTCTCTATGTCTCTCTCTTCTTAAATAATTATCATTAATTCTGTGTTATTTTGATCAGAGTTCATTGACCTCACTTTACGTAGATATTACGTATTTAAATAAACTGGAAATTTTAGCTTCATTTAACAAAGTCACACTTTAAAAAAAAAAGAAAAAAATGATTTTTTTCTTTATAATGGCAAAAAATTGAAAGCGTAATATTTATGACTAAATAATTGTTTTTAAATATTTTTTTAATTCACGAAAAATTTCCTTATTTTCGTTTCACTAATACCTTGCAATTAATCTTAACGACTTAATTAAATAATCTTGTAAATAATTGTAATTAATGTAATTAATCCATTAATCCATTTTTATTGTAATTAATCTTGTTTATAATTTGATGTTTTGTCAATAAATTATAATTTTTAATTTTTAATTCGGATCAATTTACTGAAAATCATTTAAAAATGTCAATAATGATGTATTTATAAAAAAAATCTAGTTTTAATTGTATGTGAAACTCGATGAATTTCTAAATTCATTCTTTTTATTTATTCATATTGTTGAGTTAATTTTTTTTCCTTTTATGATATTATTTATTTATTTAACTTATTTATTTATTTGACTGGAAAATTAATTTTATTTACTAATTTAATAAAATTTTTAAATATTAAAAAATTATTAATATTATTATTATTATTTCTAAAATCTAAATTGTAAATCTTGAGATATTCAATTATTCTTATAAATTTTTCAAAAAAAAAATATATTCTATGGATTTGCGATAAAAAAAAAAGATATAGGTATTAAACACCTTTAAAATTTTCATTAAAAAATAAAAATTTTGAAAATCATCTGTAAATTTGTAGAAAATTTGTTTTTATATAAAAATAAAATAGAATCAAAATTTTTATTTTTACAAGTGTATTTTTAAAGCAATCTTTTTGAAAACAAAATTTATTTTTAACTTTAAATTTTGTTTAAATCCTACAAAAATAGGTTCAAAATGTAATTGAATAAAAAATTTTAATTTAATCACACGTTAAAAAAAAATCCTCTGTTGATTAATTGGAAATTATTTTCAATTTATTAAAATTAACAAATATTAGTATATTTTTCTCCCTCTGGGAATTTTCAAAATGTTTTTTTTTTTTTTTTTTTAAATCAAAAACAAATATTTTGACAACTTTAAAATTTTTCAATTTTCGTAAAATAATTTAAAAAATTTAAAATTGTATCTTAAATTTGTAGAAAATATATTTTTATATAAAAAAAAGAGACTAAACATTTTTATTTTTTCTATTTTTGAAGATATTTTCTTTGGGAGGAAAAAGAATTTATTTCTCTCTGGCTTATAATTTTTTTTTTTAAATACTATACAAAATAACTCAATTATTTAAATTTAATTTGATCACCAAAAATGTATTAAAAATTTCTTAAAAATTTTTACAAAAATTATAATTTTTAAAAATTTTCAATTCAAACTTTTGTTTCTCTAAAAATTAATCTAAATTTTTTTTTTTTTAATAATTGAAAACCTCTTAAAATATTTTCATTTTAGGATCAGGAAAAAAAGAATTAAAATTCTGACAAAAGAAATCAGGGGAAAAAATAAAATAAAATTTTTATCAATCCTGAGTTTAAGTTTTTTTTTCCTTACCACAAAATAACTCAATTTGAAAATTGAATAAAAAAAATGTACTTTAATCATATTTTAAAAAAATAATAAACTGTTGATTAGTAGGAAAATTATTTTCAATTTTTTTTGAAATTAAGAGAAAAGAAAAATAGAAAATAAATATATTTACCTGCTCAACAGTCGATGATCCATGTAAGCTTGCTCTTGGAATTTTTCTAAAATTTTACGTTGCTCCATGGTGTAGGCGTGAATTTTATCATCAATAATTTGTGTTTCCCTATTGATGGCAGCTTGCAATTGTTGTTGAAGGCTACGCAAAGCGTTCTGCAGACTGCTTGGAATCTGTGATACTGCAAAAGACAGAGAGAGAGAGAGAAAGAAAGATAGAATCAGTTAGAATTTTACACAGTACTTGGGAGTTTTCAATTGCAAAGCGTGTGTATATCTCTCACTTCTCTATTCTTAGAGAGCGAGCAAATGTGTATATAGAATTAAGAATAAGAGAGCAAAAGCTTTACCAGGGAACGTAACCGGTGGCAAGAACGAATCCATGTCGTTTAACTTCTTCCGGTCAATTACTATCCTAAACACTGAACTGTACTTAGACGATGACTTTATCTGTTCCATCTCTTCTTTTGACATCTAAAAAAAAAAAAATAAGAAGAAATAGAAAAAAATTTCACAAATTTTTTTTTTGTCTTCTTTTTTTAATTTAATTGATAGGCAATCAAAAATTAATTCTTGCGTTGCGAAAATACAAATTTTCGTTATTTTAACGAATTTAAGGGGAGGGAAAAATTTTTTTTCCTTATTTTAAGGTGTTAATTTTTTTTTTTCAACTTTATTATGTATTATTAAATGATCGTGAAAATTTAGAAAAAAAAATTGTATTAACAAATTTTGTAATAGAATTAAAAAATACAATTAAAAAAATAATTAATATAATAACAATTCAATAAAAATTTGTTAAATTCAGGAAAAATTTCAATTTTTTATATTTTTCCTTGACAAATTTTTTTTTTTTACACTTTTTTCATTATTCTGAACAATTAATTGTAAAGAATTTTAAAAAGAATTTAATTTTTTCAAAAAATAATTACTAAACAAATTTTTTTAAAAATATAAAATAGGCAAAAATTATTTTACTTCAATTTTACATAATGAACCCGTTTATGTTTGAAATAAATAAATAAATAAATAATAGAATATGATTCGAGGTTCGAAAAAAAGGTAGAAAAAAATTAATAACTCTTTTTAAATGAAAATTATAAATTTTTTGAAATTTTACTAGTAAATTCAAAAAAAAAAAAATCTTGAAATTGAATTTCTTTCACACAATTTTTAATATTTTTCGACGTAATTTTTTTTTACACTTATTTTATGAAAAATTCTTTATAATTTTTTTTATAATAATTTGTTCCAAATGTTATTGAACAAATAAAATTATTTTTGTTTTTTATATTTTTCAAAAACTATTTTTTAAAGAGAAAAATGAGCTATTTTTCATAAAAAATTGGATAAAAATTACAATTAATGTTCAATAACTTTAAACAAAAAATAAAAAATATTAAATAACTATTTTTTAGAAAATTCAATTCCTATAGGATTTTAAAAAATTCTAATGAATTTCTTTTTAAAAGATTTCAAATTATTTTCAAAATTTTTTAATTAAAAATTTAGGAAGTTTCAATTATGTAAAATTCTTTTCATTAAATATCTTTGAAAATTCAATTATTTTCAGAATATTAATTTAAATTTTCTAAGAATCTTCATTTTTTTTCAAAATTTTGATTAAATTTTTCAAATAGAGGATTATTTTTAAAAAATTTAATCTTCAGCAATTATCTTATTTTATTTGTAACAAAGATTGATATTTATTTATTTACTTATTTCAAATTTTATTATTTTATTTTATTAAAATTAATTCCTCTTTTAAATCTTTTGACATTTAATTAATTCTATAAAAGTCTGCATATTGTAGTGCTTCAAAAATTTGTAAATTTTTATACAAAAAAAAAGTGTTTTCTTTAAATTAATTATTTTAACAATTTTAATAAAATATTTCGAAATTTCAATTATTTAAAAAAGAAATTTTTTAAAATTGAAAATTCTCTAAAATTCAAATTATTGTCAGAAATTTTGAATAAAATATTTCCATTTGCATTCTTCTATAATTAATTCTTCTATTAATTAAAAAAAATATTTTAAATTAAAAATTCTCTAAATCACATTTATTGTTAAAATTTTTGATTTTAAAAATCTTTAAAAATTCTAATTTACGGAAATTTCAATTTTAAATCTAATTAAATTCTTGAAATTTCTAAAAATTATTTACTCTCTCTGTTCCAAAAATTAAATTATTTATAAATTTTTATCTAAAACTGCTTCTTTCAAATTAAATTATTTACCATAATTTTAATAAATATTTTTAAAAACTTAATTATTTAAAACAAATTAAAATTATAAATTCTTTAAAATTTAATTATTTTCTGAAATTGGATTAAAAAACAAAATTTTTAGTAATTTTAATTTTCAAAAAAAATGTTAATTTCAAAAATTTAAACTGTAACTCTAAAAAACTTCAACTATTTTTATAAATTTTTCAAAAATATTAAAAATATTCATAATATTTAAAAATATTACTAAAGTTCTTTAAACATTCCAATTATTTTTTTAAACAAACAATTAAAATTCTAAATTCTCTAAAATTCATTTATTTTCTTAAATTTTGGAACAATAATCTTCGGTAATTCAAATTTACAGAAAAATTTAATTGAAAATCTCTTTTTGAAATTCAATTATTTTCAAAAATTTGAAATTTCGTCGAGAAGTTATTTTTTTTACTTCAGTTTGAATTCTTTACATTTGAACTTTATTGCATAAATTTTAATTTTAATCGTTTATGTTAAATATTTTAAATATTTATTATTTTAATTTCAAATTGAACATATAACTTTTTTTAATTTTTGCCAATTAAAAAATGATTTACTTTTTTATTCAAAAAAAAAAAAAAAAAAATTCTCTCTACCACTATTTATTATTTTATTTTTTTTAAACAATTAAAAAAGAAAATTACTCGAAAACAGTTAATTTGAAACAGTTATCGATAAAAATTTTCTCTTTAATTGTAGAAATGAATTTTTTTTTTTTTACAAATTTTCACAAAAATAAAATATTTCCATAAATAAAGTATTGAATTACATTAAGTAAAAAAGACCCCCCAAAAAAGGAGTAATTTACCCACCCTAAATTTTCTACGCCCCTGAATTCTATCAATTAAATGTTAGATTGTTCCGAATAAGAAAATGGAGAGGGAATTGTTTAATCGCCAGGTTAAAAATAATTCGTAATTCAACATCTTTAGCTTGTTTTCCGCTTTGATTTGACTGCGATACGAATTGTGAGAGATAATAATGTGAAAAACAGAATTATGTAAATGAGAATTAGAGGTAACTTTTTTTTTTTTTTTGCTTTTCGTTGTTTTTAAATAGAGTATTATCATCAAAAAATAGATTTTAAATAAAAATTTTTTTTTGTAATTTAAAATCTAATTTTTTATATTTTTTTTTATTCATTTTTGGTTACGAATTGAATTTTTCCCCTCCTTATTTTTTTATTATTATTTTTTTTTTTTTTTTTTTTTTTTTGATAACTTACGATCATTTTTGTGTTGATCAAAATTATTGCATTTCCATCTTCGGAGTTTACGGCGTGCGTGTACATCGAACAATTACAACAATAATGAGTTGTCCACGAGCCAATATTTTTGCATTCAACCAAGGTTGCCTGTTCCTTTTCTATTACCTCCAATTCTGGAACTGTTGCTACGCCCTGAAATTAAACATTTTTTTTCAATTTCTTTTCTGTTTTTTTTTTTTTTTTTTTTTTTTAATTTCTCAATAAACACTACGAAATATAAAAAATAAAAAAATTCATTATATTAATACAAACATTAAATTAACAAATTTAATATTTAATATATTTATTTATTGTATTATTATTTAATTATTATTTATTATTTTATAATTAGATAAGAATTTATTTTCTTTTTTGTTTTAAAGTTTTAAAATTTTTCTTCTTCCTTCAAATTTTTGCAATTATAAATTTTATTTTTCTATTGGGGCAAAAATTGGAGACAGTCAAAAAAGTTAGATTAACTTTAAATTTTTCTATTTTTAATCAAAATTAATTTTTAATTAAAAAACTTTTTAAGTAAAAAAATGTGAGTAATTTTATTTTTTTACAATTTCGAATTAATTAAAGTTACTTGTTTGGCTTCAAAATTTAGTATTATTCAAATTTATCTTTAAAATTCAATTATTTTTCAATTTTTAAGTTTTTTTAATTAATTTATTTCGGAAATTTATAATTTTTTTAAAATTATTTTTATTTATTTTTTTTGTCCTCAATTTAGAAACTTAAATTTAAAAATTTTTAATAAATAATTAAATAAACACAGTTAAATTTACTTTATAATTGAATTTTTAATTATTTGCGGTAAATTAATTTTTCGATTTTTTGGAAGACGTAAAGGTAAAAGAAAAAACAATCTTTAATTATTTGAATTTAAAAAATATTATATTTTTTTTTTTAAAATGTAAGTATAAATTAATTTTTCAAATTAAAAAAAATTAAAAAAAATTTTTTGCTTTTTAAATTTAAAATAATAAAAAATTTAAAGCTTAATATTCAATAAATAATTCTTTAATTTAAGTTTTAAAGAAATAAGTAGTAATTTTTTATTCAAAATAAAATTTGGAGTAATTTGTTTTTTTTTTATTTCAAGTAAATAAATATTTTATTTTTATTTATTTATTCAGTTGATGGGATTTATTTTAAATAAATATAAATATTTTATTTAAATATTAAAAAATATTTAATAAATTTAATCGTATTAAAAAAACCAATAAATAAATTATTTAATTACATTTTATTTATTTACTTATTTAAAATCTCTATTTTACTAAAATTTAATTTAATTTCAAAATACTTAATTCTAATGTTAATAAGAATATATATTGTTTGTTACTTAAAAATAAATAGTAAATAAATAAAAAATAAAAATAAATATTATTATTATTATTTAACATTAAAATATATTTAAAGTTTTTATTTAAAAAAATTAAAAATCAAACGTTTTTAATTTAATAATTTTCAAAAAGTGCAAATATTTCTTATTTTTGTTTCCTATTACTCTTTTTATACTAATTCTTTTTTTTTTTTGCATATTATTACTGATAACAATTTTCAAAAATAGAAAAAATCAATATTTTCGCAAAAAAAAAGTCAAAAAATGTCGATCGAAATTTCTCGAAAAAACACTAAATTATATTCTAATAAATAAATAAAAAAATTCCTTTATTAATAATCACAGAAAAAAACAATACGAGAAAAAAAATTATTCCAATTTCAAAAACCGTTAAATCGAGACAAAGAAAAGTTGTCGATTTTTTGCGCAAATTGAAAAAAAAAATAACCCAAAAAAGTAGAAAAAAAAATAGAATTTAATTATAGTACTACTAAAACTTAAAAAAAACAATGTTAAATAAAAATGTCAATAAACCGAACCAAACAAAAAACCAAACAAAAACAAAAAACAAACAAACTTACCTCTTGAAAAAAGGCGTCGAGCCTTTCATCGGGATCTAATCCAACAATGTCTTCGACAATGACCCTTTCGAGTTTATCACTTCTCGATTTAATCGACACATTAAGACACTTACACGCGAAATTCATTTTCTGTTGTCAAATTATTTAATTCTCTCTTTTCAAAAAAGAAAAAAAAAATTTATTATTGTTTTTCCACCTATTTACTTTTTTTTCTCCCACGAAAAAGACGCTGCGCCTATACTTATACTACTACTACTACTATTATAATCATTGAGCTGACATCGCGAATGTCAGCAAAAGGAACGACATACAAAATATCTCCGTAGAAACAAAAATTATTTCCCAAATCACTTTCACTGGATATATTGAATATTAAAAATTCGGAAAAAAAAAATTCTTTCATTCACCTCCAAAAAACACAAATATTTCTATATTTTTTACAATAAAGAATCACATTCCCGAGCAAAAAAAAAAATGTTTCGATGAATTGGTTTTTTTTTGTTAAAATAATCGAAATTAAATTTGCGGCTTATCAGTCACAACCTTTGCCGCTGACTTGAAGGTGGAATGCTTTTTTTTTTACGCGGCGAGAGAAAGAAAAAGACGGACAGAAAACAACACGAGAGTCTCTTACACACACACACACACACATACACATACACTGAAGTAAAGAGGGTTTTTTAGACACAAAAAAAAGAGAAAACTTGGATGAGAAAAAAAATTCGTTATTTTTTCTCTATGTGGAGAAATTTTTTATATAGGAAAAAAAAGAAAGTTTATGAATTTTTATAGTAAACACGCGCAGCGTACTTTCAAAAAAATTTTTTATTCTAAACCTCTAAAAATAAATGCGCGGGTGTATAAGTGATAATAATATATATGAGAAAATGAGCGTGAGTCGATGTGCGCGCGTGTGACATGAAATACAATAATACGTGATATGAGAGCGAAGGAAGAAAAGAAATGGAGAATATTGAGAAGGAATATGAGAACGAGAGAAACAGAAAATCAAAAGCCAATCAGCTGATTCCAATTTACACTTTGCGTCGTCTGCTAGCCAATAATAATTGTTTTCTTTGTTGTCAAAATCGGCAATAAGGCGGGATATTTAAAAATTGAAGTAAGTGCTGGAAAACAAAATATTTTTACTATTTCTTGTTCTAAATTTTTGAATTTTCTAATTAACATATATTCTGGGCTTCATTTACAGTCACGGGGAATTTTGTTTACTATATAATTATAATTAGATATCATTTTTATAATTCTAATAATTATCTAATAATTATCTAATAATTCTACTAATTTCTCTAATTTATTTATAATTTATTTTTAATCGAATTTTTATTTTATCGATTATTTTTTCCTTTCTCGTGGAAGCGTATTTTTAATTATCTTAATAAACGATTATTATAATTTTTTATTTATCGAAATTGTAAATTATTTATTTAATTTTTTTTATCATAAAAAAATTCATATAATTTTTTTTTATCATAAAAAAATTCATATAATTTTTTTTTATCATAAAAAAATTCATATAATTTTTTTTTTTTTAATTATTAATTTGTATATATTTTTTGTTTTTATATAATTTTGTAAATATTATTTTTCAATTATTAAATTTGCATTTTATTTCGTTTTTTTGAAACATATTGTTTCCCATCCTTGGGAATCACAGGGATGGGAAAGTGTGTTTTTTTTTAAATTCATCATTTGTTTCACGTAACTTATCGTAAGTGTATAAAACGTTGTTTCCCATCCGTGTAAACCGCAAGGATAGGAAATGTGTTTAAAAAAAAAAATTATACAAAATAATTGGATTTAATTAATTTTATGATAAATAAATAATTAAAATAAAAATAATTAATATTAAAAATAAATAGAAAAAAATTACATATAAATATAATAAATATTAATATAAATAAAATAAATAATATAAATAAATAAATTACAAAAGAAAAAATATTATAAAAAAATAAAATGGATTTTATTTTATTTTTTATTTATTCATAATAATAAAAAATTTGTTTTAAAATGCTATAAAAAAATAAAAAAGATTATAAACAAATTTATTATCATATAAAAATTATAAAATAATTAATTAAAATTATAAAAATTGTAAAATTTCGATAAATGAAAATTAAAAAAAATACAATAAATAAATAAAAAAAAATTTACTTATTTCGGATAATATTACAAAAATCAAGAAATAAATAATTAAAAAATACATGTAAAATGAATTAAATTAAACAATTATTAAATAAAAAACTGAGTATAATTAGGAAGAAAAAAGAGAAACACGCATTAAAATTTTTTTTTTTTTTACGAAAACAATGATTAGACATCTTTATTAAAATAACATCAATGTACAATATATATATATATATACGCGACATAAAAGATAATCTCATACGTATTTTTCTATCTAAAACAAAAACAAAAATTGTTTCCCTTAAAAATTATTTTTAAAAAAAAATCTTGTTAAAAAAATTGCCTCTTTTTTTTGAGTTAACAAGTGATTTACGTTTTAACAAAAATATAATTTAAACTATATTACAATTAAAGCATTCAATTATTTTTAAAAAATATAAAGAACTTATAATCTCTTTAACAATAATTATAATATTAATAATAATAATCATTATAGTGGTAATAAATATTTATAATAATAATAATTATATTCCTTTTTTTTCAAATTTTAGCAAAAAATTAATTTGCAGTAAATTATTATTGAGATATTCTTTTCATTTTTTTTATTATTTTTAATTATATTCTCTATTATGGAAAACTAAAAATTTAGAAAAAATTTAAAAAAAAACAAGAAAATTTTATTTATTTTCAATTTATATTCCATAACATTTTTTTTTGTTATACATTTATAAAATATGCAAAAATTTTCAAATTTTTTTTCGAAAGCAAAATAAAAAAGAAAAAGATAATATTTGAAGAAAACTTTTTTTAATTTTTTCTAATTTAAAAATATATTAATTATAATAACATTAAAATCACAATGGAAACAATAACGATCATTGTTAATAAATTGATTAAGTAACATTGCTTATAATACAAAATAAATAACAATTGTTACAATCTTTAGAATTAGGTCACTATTTTTTTTTTTTTTTTTTTTTTGGGGGGGGGGGTTTTTTCCTTTCAACTGTTATAATCAGAAAATGCGCACAATTTCTAGAAAAATAAAATAAAAGCTAAAAACTTTGCAAAGTATGTAATTTTTAGCAGAATATATGTACATATATATATATATATTTGGTTTTAATTTTAAAATGGATTGAGCTGATAAATAGAAATAGATTTTTTTTTCTTGTAAACTGCAACTAATTGAAAATGACTTTAGATAAATGCAATTTTTTTGAGTATAAAAATGATTCAAGGGCTGCGAAACAAATCCGTTATGCAATTTCTTTTTACAAAAAAAAAAGTTTAATTATTTTCAATTTCAAATTATTGATTATAATCATTATAATTATTTTTAGTTTTAAACAGATAATAATTATTATAATTCATTAATTTCAATTTCAAAATAATTATTTCCAATTTCTCTTCTTGTTGACAAAAAAAAATTGAATATTACATAATAATATTATTAAAAAAAAAATTGAAAATTTCATCTCAAAATGAAAAATACAACTTTTTATTCACTAATTTATTAATTAAAAAGAAAAATCGATAAATTTTCTCACAGCCCTTGTTTTTTTTTTTTTTTTTTTTATTTTTCGTTTTGCAAATATAGATTTAAGTCTTGTCTCACTTCACAACATTTAAGTGGGAATGTCCTTATATTATATTTAAGAAATATCACAGAAAATTTCTTGATTTTTCTCATATTTAAAAACCAAGTTTGCTTTTCCTTTTAAAGTACTCGTTAAATCTCATTGCAGCGTATCTGTAAAAATTACTTATTTATTATTTATTTAAAGTAAAATATTTATAATAATTAAATTTAATTAAAATTTAAAAATCGACTTTTTCAACTTTTTTTTTTTAAATTTAAATCGACTAAAATAACTATTTTTGTGCCTTAAAGTCGATCCGAGGCCTTATAAATGTTCTAAAAATTTGTCCACTACATTTATATAGAAATATAATATTTTATGAGCAATAAAAAAAAAATTACTGATTTTCACCGATTAAGAATAAATTTACTATTACTAAAAATACAATAAATCTAGTTTGAGTACCGTATAAAATAATAACAATTTTTATAAATACTTCTCAGAGCTAAAATATTGAATAATAAAACTGTTTTTTTTATTTTTTTTATTTTTTTTATTGACAATAATATTCGAGGTGAAAAAAATTATTTTTAAAAATTCTTTAAAGAAACTTAAAATAACTTAAAATGACTCAAAATAACAAAAAAAAAAAAAAACTTTTTTATATTACAAAAAATTTTTTTTTTTATACTTAAAATAACTGGCAAATTTTTACTTTTTTATATACTTAAAATGACTTTAAAAAAACTTAGAAAAAACTTATAATTATAATAAATTACAATTAATAGTGATTATTTAATATTTTTTTAAAAATATTTTTTATACTTACTCTAAAAAATCGAAGTCAATGTGAGAATGTTCACTCTGTATAAGTGCCCAGCATCCCCAAAAAAAATGCGAAAGAAGAACAAACTTTTTGACTTCACCATAAAGTTCCTCGACCTCTTCTTCAGTTATAATATTCGTTTCATTATAAGCTTCAAGATAAATTTTAAGCCAAGCCTTTTGTAAATTTTTGTCAGGATAAAGAGAATAATCAGGATGATCGGTTCCTAAAATTGAAATATATTATTTTTCACAATTTACCCATTTTTTTTTTCATTTTTACACAAAATTTCCCATCTTTTTCGTTTTTATTATTATTATTATTGTTTCTTTATGGAGAAATATCAAAAAAATATTCAAATTCTCTTTTACAAATTTTTTACATTTTTTGACATTTGGAACATTTGGTTTTTAAATATGAGAAAAAAAAATAATAATAATAATAATTACTATTATTATTTAAAATAATAATATTATTTACTTATTTATTTAATATTAAACGAGTTGTGGTCGGTTTAATTTATTTAAATTTTAGTATTTTTTACTTAAAAAATAATCGTTTATTTCAATGTAGAAAAGAAATAAAAATAAATAAAATTGCGAAAAACGAGGGCGAATTTACTAGTTAAAAATGTGTACACTTGACTACCTGAGTAAATTCCCCCTCGGCGAAAAAAAATAAGAATAAAAAGAAAATAACTTAAATAATGAAATAATAATTTTTATGAAATTTAAAAAAATTTTTACCAGCAAATTCAGCAAAATGATTAGCAATATCAAAAGCTTGATAATTATAAGCGGTGTATTCAAAGTCAATAAATGTGACTGAATTTTTTTTCTCATCATAGAGAATATTTCCTAATAAAAGATCATTGTGGGCATAAACAACAGGACTTCCACTATGTGAAAATTTTTCATACAAAAAATTATATTCATCTTTTAATACTGCAAAGGGTTTGATTGTCTCTTCAAATCTGCAAGTAAAACACAAAAATTTATCACTTATTTCAATTTTTGAACTTTTTTTTTTTTTTTTTTTTTTTTTTTTTGCTTAGGGACTATTGGGAAAATCTGTATACAGATACCTTGGCTTCCGCATGCCAAGGTTATGTGGGGTTGGTAAAAAAAAAAAGGAGAACAATAAACAAAATAAGCTGGCGACCTACTACCAGCCCCGACCCACTAAAACCCGTCAACCCTTCTTGGGAGCCCTTTTATCCACCCTCGGTACTGTCGTGAAGACTTTTGCCTTCGAGGGTGGCGCTCCAACTCTGTCGCAAAAGCGACTTCGTCCATTCCTGCGGACATCCTGCGTTATCAAAATTAAAATGAAAAACTAAAATCTATGTCAAGCGGAATCAACAGCACACCAGAAAAGAAAACAATAAAGAGTCAAGAAATAAAATAAAAAATAAATTAAACAAGTCAAAAATAAAATTGTAAATAGACAGATGAACAAACAAAATATAACATAAAACTGTAGAAAGACTACAATTTTTGAACTTGATCTTATTTTAATAATTTTTTAATAAAATTTTGGAATTTTCTTCACTGTAACAATCAGTTGGGAATAAAAAAGTAATAACAGGCCTAGGATTATATGACATTTTCCGACTTTTTTTCCGACTTATTTGAATAAAATGCGACTTTTTCGACTATTTTTACATTTTTTAAAAAAAAATTTTGAACAAACTACGTTTTTTTAGTATACAAAAAATTTCAATTATTTTTAATGATTTTTATAATATTCTTCGAAAATTCCATTTTCTGAAAAAATTTTTCAATTAAAAACTTTTAGAATTCAATTTTTTTTACGTGATTTCTAATAAATTTTTCATCAACAGAAATCACTAAAAATTTCTCTTATTATTAATTATTGTCTGTTTAACACAATCTTTTGAAATTCAATTATTTTAAAAAATTTCAATTTAAAAGCTTCTAAAATTTAATTATTTTTATAATTTTCCATTAAAATTTTTTTTGAAATTTAATAATTTCAATTATAAATCTCCTGTAATTCAATTATTTTTAATGATTTTTTTTATAATATTCTTCGAATATTCAATTATTTAAAACAAAAAAATGTTATCTAAATTTATTTTCTATTTTTTAAAATGTAAATATTCACTAAAATTTTAAAAATCTTTTAAAATTCAATTATTTATAAAAATTTTCACTGAAATAATCAAAATTCAATTATTTTTTAATAATTTCATCATTTCTTAAAAAATTCAGTTATTTAAAAGCATTTTTCTATTAAAAAATTTTGAAATTCAATTTTTGTCTGAAATTTCGAATAAATTCTTCATCAACAGAAATCACTAAAAAAATATCTTTTATTATAATTGTCTGAAATTTGAAATCTTTTGAAATTCAATTATATTACAAAATTTCAATTTAAAAGCTTCTAAAATTTAATTAATTCTAAAATTTTCCATTTAAAATTTTTTAAAATTTAATAATTTCAATTATAACTCTCCTGAAATTCAATTATTTTTAATGATTATTATAATATTCTTCGAGAATTCAACTATCTGAAACCATTTTTTTCTTAAAAAGTTTTTAAATTATTGTATTTTTGTCTGCAATTTCTAATTAAATTTTTTAAGAAAAATCATAAAAAATTTTTAATTAAAAATCACTTGAAATTCAATTAATTTCAAAAATTTAAATTGTAAATCTTTGAAAATTGAATTTTTAAAAAATATTATCTAAAATTATTTGATAAATTATTTTTAGTTCTGTAAAATTTAATTATTTATCTAAAAATTAACAAAATCTTTTGAAATTCAATTATTTCTAAAAATTTCAACTTTAACTCTTCCAAAATTATTATGTAAAAAAAAATTTGTTATTTAAAAATTTGTAAAACTTGATTAATTATTGACTGAAATTTTTTTTACCATTATAACTAAAAAATAGGATAAAATTTTAAATTCAAATAAATTGCTTAAATCAGACTTTAAAAAATTTGAAAAATGGAATTTTAAGAATTTTTTTTTTTTTATTTGTCCTACTTAAATAAAATTTTGAAAATTTGTCTTATAATTAGTTCAATTCTGAAATATTCGAAATAAATTTTCTCGATAATATTTTTATAGAATTATTCTTATTACAGAATTAAAAAAAATGAATTTAATATCTAATAACATTAGTTAGAGTAAAATATTGATTAACAAATTAAATTTTGTTAAAATAAAAAAAATCATTTTTTTTCGACTTTTTTTTGGAATATAAATCGTTTGAAAACGACTTTTTTTTGTGCCTTAAAGTCGATCCGAGGCCTTTAATAATAATAATAATAATAATAAAGAAAATATATTTCTTCTTACTTTAATTGTTTCTCGCAATTTGCAAATGCTTTTGGTACAAAGCTCAAAAATGCCTCAGTTTTTGGCCAAATAAATGGCTTTTGACTCATTTCGGAATGAATTGGCTTTAGCCTATGCATTTGAGCCATTCTTCTAGCAATTAGTTGATAAACAATGGGATCTCTAACAGTTTTAATGGTGAGTGTTTCACCTTCAATAAATTCATAAGCAAGGCCGTTATTGAATGTTGCATAAATTGAATGTGTATAACCAGCTTTATTCAGAATCTGTGAAAAAAGTCGACAAAAAAAAGAAAATTATTTACAGGGTAGATTTTTATGTTCCGGATCCCCTAAACATTTTCTTTTTTAATTCCATTTTATTTTTTTAAAAACGAAAAAAATGAGATTAAAAAAAAAATTTTTAGAGGTCCATAAAAATTCTTTTCTATAAAAAAAGTTTCACATAAAAAATTTTACAAAAATAAAATTAATAAAGAATTAATATACAATACATTTGATATACATAACATATATATAGATATGCTATTAATTTAATATAGGAGAATTATTTTATTAAATTTGACTTACCCGAATATTTCTAGTCTCAGCTTTTCGATCGATGAACAAATCGGTTTTGTGTCCGTAAATTCGAATTAATATCATTTCGCTGTAATGCTCTGGATACCATAGTCCCACTAATTTATTTGTTATTCCATCTTTAAATTCCTGTGAAAATGAAAAATTTTTTTCAGATTTTTTTCGTAATTTATAATTTTAGAAACTTTTTTTTTTAATTTTTATTTTTTATAGACGGGACAATTTTATTTATTTATTTTTTGTTACTACGATTTTTTTTTGTTTTCTACAAATTAGTGGAATTATTTAGTTTTATTAATAATTAAAAAAAATAATTTTATTAATTTCATATATTTTTCGTTGGTAATTATATTATTTAATATTAAATTAACTCGGAGTAAATGAAATAAAATAGGTCAGAAATGTAAATTTTTTTTCACATTTTCTAATTGAGCATTTCTATATAGTCATTGTGATCATAAAAATTTTATTTGGTCAAGGATTTACATGAAACTTTGCATTATTCGTTATCTTAGATATTCGTTTTCTTCGATATAGTATAACTAAAGAAAAAAAAAAAATAAATCGAAAATACTCTAAATTGAAATTTTCCAATTTTCGTAGGAATTAATTGTTTTTTTTTGCGAATTTACAATATTATTATTTATTTTTTTATTTAAAAAAAAAACCATTTATTTCTTTATATTTTCGTCAAAAGTCGTTTTTTTTGAAATATTTTAAAAAACATTTTGAATATTAAAAAAAAATTGTTTCTTTTTCGAAATTAATTGTTATTAATTTATTTTTTTTTCATTAACAAATTATTCCCCCCCCCCAATATCATTAATTTTTGTTAGCCCGTTTACATTGTAAAATAATAATAATAATTATTATATTTTTTCATCTTTTTTATTTTATATTTATAAAAAAGAAATTCTTAATTTATAATATTTTTCAATATTGTTTAAATATTTAAAAGTATTATTTAGTTTTTCTTTTGCAAATTTAATATTTTTTATAAATATATATATATATATATATATATATATGCGTAAAATTATCTTTCGCGATAAGATATATTCGAATAAAAATATATATAGCTAACTGTGAAAATAGCGTGATCGCTATTTTATTTTGCAATCGCTTTTGTTACGTTAAATCGATATATAAATATTATCTTGTTTTAAAATCCTTTTATACACAGTTTTTTATTTATTCAAATAATATATTCTTTACTGATAATAAAGATTAAAAAAAATATATATATTTTTTAAAACTGATTGTTAACTTTAATATTTTGTATAATAATAATTATATTTTATATAATAATTAATATAAAATAAAAATAATGTAAAATAGTAAAAAATTTTGGTTTATAGAAATAAATGAAAATTTAATTACACGACAATAATTAATTCATTAATACATTTATTATTAATAATCATTAATTTAATAATTTTTTTTGGAATTTATAGACATTTGAATTTCCTATTTTTAATTTTTATTATTTTTAAATCTAATTAACATAAATGATAATAAAAAAATAGTAATAAAACTAATAATAATAATACTAATAATAAAATAATAATAATAATAATAATAATAATAGTAATAATAATAAAATAATAATTATAATAATATTAATAATTATAATTATAATAATAATGATAATAATAATAATAATAATAATAATAACAATAATAGTAATTTCCTACCTAATAATTGTAATAATTAATAAAAAAAAAAATTATAAACCATATAAAAATAAAAAAGAAAGTAATTTTCTTTTGAAAATTGTATAGAATTAAAGTGGATCAATTTTTTTTAACATAAAAAAATAACATAAAAAATAAAGGCAATAATTTTGTGCATTAAAAAATTCAAAAATAACAAAAATATAAATATAAGATATAAGAAATAGAGAAGAAGAAGAAAAAAATGTCATACCTATATATATATCTAATTTACCTTGAATAATAATTGATCAATAGGCCAGGTAGGTCTGATAGTTTTGATAATTTCTTTTGCTCCCTTTATAACCTCATTTTCATCGATCGTTATATCAATATGAGGTTCTACAGAGACGATGTCCATAATTCACTTATTTTTCGTTAAAAATTATAATTTTTTTTCAGCTAATATAATATACAAAAATCATTCGACGAATTTCACCAAATAAAAAAACACAAACACGTGAGATTTAAAAAAAAAAAAATCGGAATTTTAATACATAACCTAAAAAAAAATTTTTTTTTTTATGGAAACGCACGATAGAATCAAATTTTAGAATAAAAATTATAAAATTTTATTAAGAAATCAATAAAAGAAAAAAACAAATAGAGAAAGAAATGATAACCTTCTTAATTAATGGTCTCGAACAAAATGAACGAGAGACGAGTTAAACATTATAATTAATTTGAAAGTCTATGTTTCACACACTCCTACTCTATTTTTCCTTTTTCTACGTCATATCATTATTATTTTTCAAAGTATTTACTGCGAAGGCTATATACAAATGTATGCACTTTCTCTTATCGCTTTTGGATATACATATACGTCACAAAATCATTTTTAAATATTACACGAGATTTCTAATTAGGTTAAAAAAAAAAGAGATAATAAATTTTGTATACGTTTCTTTTTTTAAAGTACCTCCAAGTCCCTTCGAAATGTCACAACAATAACAACAACATATCAAAGTAAAGTCACATGTGGCAATGCGGCTCAATTTTCCGAGATGTAAAACTTTAAAGTGCAAATTGAATCGATAAAATATTATATAGAACTCTGTGTGTGACGACAACGCGACAATTGTTCTTTTTTATTGCGTTTTCATTTTATTTGAATATAAAAATTTATTTTTCTTTTGATTTAATTTTAGTTTAGATTTTATTTATTAAATTTTCTACCAATTATTATTATTTGCAAAAAGTACAACTTGTAATTTTTGTGTATTTTTGAATAAGTGCGGGTTAAAATTACTGTAGCCGATCTTTGTTATTGGCGGAAAAAATGTGCGCGGTTTTAATTTAAATTAAAGAAATAAAAAACAAAACTTTTTCTTTTTCAAAAAGTAAATATTTGTGAGTCAATACAAAATTTGGAAAAATAGAATTTAAATGCGGTTCAAAATATTAAAAATAATGCGTAATTTACGTATAAAAGTGTAACATACGTAGTGTACCTCATGTCATTATTTTGGTGTTTGCGATTTGACCGGGAATATTTTTTATTTAATTTATTTATTATAGATTGATGTTTTTAAAACATGGATTCTCAATTTAAGTAAGTTTAAGTCTTTTTCTTTATTAATTGGTCAATAATTTCAAGTAGATACTATAAATAATAGCTTAAAAATAATAAATATTAAAACATTTTTGAGGTTATGTTGTTTAAAAACAATGTCAAATATATGCACGTGTAAATATATAATTAAAATAATTCTTACTTTTTGTCTATTTTTATCAATTGTTTAGACAAATTTATAATAATATTGCAGTTTATAAAATATATAATAAAATGACAAGCTAAATATTATAAATAACCTCAAAATAAATAATTTTCGTTCGTCTCTAATTTTTTTCGTTTATTTTTAAATATATTTTATTGGAAAAATTCTCAGCTTTCCAATGAAAATAAGGAAAATTTTATTTATTTTTTAAATACCCAAATTGGTAAAAATTGGGTATAATTTTGAGAAAATGATTTAAAAAAATTTTGTTGTATAAAAAATATTTCTATACGTACTTTTTATTTATTTATCATTATTTTAATAATTTTTTTAGTTATTAATTTATTTTCTTTATTTTTATTCCATTTTATACGGTAAAATAAGAAATTAAATACTTTTTTTTTTTAGGACAATTCATCCAGTAAAATATCTTCGAGATCATTTTGTAAGTGAAAATAATTTATTATTTATTTATTTATTTATGTACATTCTCCGCAGTCCAGATTTTTGGACCATAAATGGGTAACAAAATAATAATACAAAAAATAAAATGCATTTAATTTTAACAATATTAATTAGTTACTAATTAATATTATAATTAGTTACTGATAATAAAAATTTATTTATTATTAATAATCATCTCAATGCTATGGAAAATATTAATATTTATTTTTCCTTTTTTTTTTTTGATATTAGAAAATAAAAAATTATTTTTATAATTATAAAATTGAAATAAAATTATTTTCCTCGCAATAGAAGCTAAAATTTGGTAAAAAAAAAAATTTTAGGCGCAAGAAATTCGTCCAGATGGTCGAGATTTTGTGTCATTTCGTCCAGTTAGTATAAATGTTTCATCAATTAAACAAGCCGATAGTTCCTGTGTTTTTAAAATCGGAAACACTACTGTTATTTGTGGAATTAAAGCCGTAAGTTCTTTTAGAAATAAAAAATGTTTATAATAAATTTTTTATTTTAGGATAAAATTTAAGTTTTTAAATTAAATTTTTTGAAAAAACTTTTATTATTTTTCCAAAAAATATTATTATTTTGTATTAATTAATTTTGTAAAAATTTAATTATTATTATTGTAATTTTGTAATTATAATAATAAATTGTTATTTTTTCTTTTAAGGAACTTTGTACACCAAAAGCCTCAACTCCTGATTGTGGCTTTGCGATAGTAAACGTTAATTTACCACCTCTTTGTTCACCTAAATTTCGTCCTGGTCCACCGAGTGAGGAAGCTCAATGCGCAACAAAAATTGTTGATGAAATTTTATCAAATTCAGCAATTTTAGATTTAAAAGATCTTTGTATATGTAAAGACAAATTAGCATGGGTTTTATATTGTGACCTCGTGTGTATTGATTTTGATGGATCCGTTATCGACGTTTGCATTGGAGCCCTAATGGCTGCCCTTGAAACTTGCAAGTATTTTATTTCAAAAATAATCAAGAGAAATTTAATTTCTAAATTTTTGTCTTCAATTTTTTTTTTTATAGATAATTCTAGATTATAGATAATTCTTTACTTTATTTTTTTTTCATTAATTAAATTACAATGTTTTTTTGAGTAAAAAATATAATTTTTCGTTTAATTCAAAAATTGACTTAAAAATCTTGTCGATAATTTATTTCTTTGATTTAAATAAAATATCAAGATTTTTTAAGACAATTTTTCAATTTAGAAAAAATATTTTTTTTTGTATTTAATGTGAAAATATTTGGGGCAAGTATTTTCTTTTTATTTCATTATTGTGCGTCAAATTTTCTCACTTTTCGATTTTTTTTTTTTTTATAAATTAGATTTTTTAAAATAAATTTTGTTTTCTTTTTTTTCAATTTTTTTCTTTTATAAATTCGTATTGGATTGAAAAATGTTTTAATTTTTTAAAACAAATTTTGTTCTTTTTTTTCTTGCAATTTTTAATTTATTTTTCTTCTATATTTCATCAATAACTATTTTTTTTCTTAACATTTATTTTTGTTTTTCCATTGTGTTTGAAAATAATAATGAATTTTTATTGAGAAAATTTTTTGAAATTAAATTTATAAAGAATATATTAATTTTATTTGTTTTTTTTTTTCGTCCCTTTTATAGTAACATTACCAGAAGTTACTTACGATACAGAAACAAAAGTCATAGTCACAAATGCCGAGAAAAGAATTCCTCTTCCACTGAAACCGATAACCGTTTCATTGACTTTCGCATCGTTTGATGAGTGAGAATAATTTTTTTTTCATCTTTAATTAAAAAATTTCTAATAGAAAAATTAAAAAATTAAAACATAATTGAAATTTAATTTTTTAATCTCTAGGCGAATTTTAATTGTTGATCCTACAGAAGATGAGGAAAATTTATCTCACAGTAAAATAACAATTGCCGTTAATGCCAACGATATGTGTTTTGTTCAAAAAACAGGTAAAATATTTAGAAAAATTTTTACAATTTTTTTAAAAAAATATATGTAATTAAATAATTAAAAAAAAAAAATAATTAAATATTTTTCCAATATAGTCAAAAATAATAAAAACTCATCAAAATGATAAAGTAAAATTTAAAAAAATTAAATTTTAATATTCAATTTCTCGAAAAAAAAATCAAAATCTTTATTGAAGAAAAAAACATCATTAAAAAAAAATAAATAAAAATAAAAATTAACAATTCTTTTTTCAGTTAGAAAATAATTTATCATTAAAATAAATTTATTTTTAAGGTGGAGCTCCAATGGCAGACAAATTAATAACAAAAAGTATAGCAATGGCAAAAAAAAGAGCTGAAGCAATAAGAAAATTAATTGAAACCGCAACCTCATCACATAAAGTAACTTGATTTACATAACAAAAATTTTTTTTTACATCTTTAATAAAAAATAAATAAAAATTGTATTATATATATATATATAAATTATGAATTTTATTCTTTTCCTTAAAAAAAAATTAACTTAATCCTAGAAATATCATATTTTTGTGAATTTTTTTTTTTTCCGAAGACAATAAATAAGAAATGGAAATTAATTTATTTCCTTTATTCTTAAAAATGAAATAGCTCTCATTTTTTTAATTTTTTAATAAAAAATAAATATAATATGTAAAAATAATTAAAATTTAGCTCTTAACTTTTAAAAAAAGAAAAATTAAGTCAATTACATTGCAATAAAGTGAAATTTTCTTTCAGTTCAGTATAGTAAAATTTACTACTAGTACAATAAAAATTACTTTTAGTATAGTAAAATTTATTTTCACTAAAGTTTACTTTCAGTATTGTAAAATTTATTTTTAGAACAGTAAAATTTAGTGCAACTATGGCTGGAGAATAAAATTACTTTTAATATTTCACTTTTTTGCAGAGTAATTTTTTTTTTCTTTTTTTTTTTTTTTGTTAATAGAGACAAGTTTTCTTCATGACACGTAAAAATTCTTCTTGAGAAATTTCTCCATCACCATCGCGATCTGCCTCGTCAATCATTTCCTGTAATTCTTCATCGGTGAGATTTTCACCTAATTCTTTTGAGACGCGTTTTAAATTTTTAAATGTTATCTTCCCTGTATCGTCATCATCAAATAAACGAAATGCCTTGAGTACCTCGTCTTTTGTATCTTTTTCCGACATTTTTGTTGACATTAAATTTAAAAATTCATCAAATGACAATTTTCCCAAACCATCGGGATCAATGGTTGCTGTTAATTTTTTAATTTCCTCTTTCTTTGGTTCAAGTCCCAATGCACGCATTGCAACTTTAAGTTCCTTTGTGGAAATTTTTCCACTTTCATCGGGATCAAAAAGATCGAATGCCTCTTTAATGTCGGCGCGTTGCTCATCGGTTAATTCGAATTTAGCAATGCCTCTTTTTCGAGGGCCTCCTGTTGTTGTCTTTTTAGTCGACGTCTAAAAAAAAAAAGAAAAGAAATATAATTTATCTGTTAGAAAAATAATTCTGAAAATCAATTCATTTCATTATGATGTTGAATTTTAATTTTTTTCAATATTTTTTTTTTTTCATTTCGAAACAGTTTCAAGTGAATTGAATTTGCAATGAAATAATAGGATTTGGAAAAATTAAAAATCAGCTTTGGAATGAAAAGATTTTTAAAATTTAGCATTGGAATAAATATTTTGTTGAATTATATTAAAATTTAGATGTGAATACACAAACTGATTTGTTTCTTGAGAAAAATAAAATTTTTCTTTAAAAAAATGGAGTTTGAGTAATTTGGATTCAACTAGGTTAAATGCACTAATTACTGAGCGATTCGAGTCAAAACACCTTTTGAAATAGAAAATTCGACATTTCTATTGTATTAAGTAAATTGAAGACTTATTAAACTTAAAGCTCATGTTATTTAGATATTAAAAAAAATGTTTAACTTTATAAAAATCGTATATTTAAACAAATATGAGAAATTAAAACTAATACCGTAATTTTTTATTACGGCGCGTTTGTATCAATTACGGTGACCCAAAATTACGTGTATTTTGAAGATACTTTACACCCACCGTAATTAAAGCCAATGGAAATATTAAAAATGTTTCAATTACGGCGAGGAAAAAAATGTCATATCAAATCATTAAATTATCAGTTGTTTAAATGTTCATCTTTATTAGTAATTTTATCAAAAAAAAAAAAAAAAAAATTAAAATAATTTTTTTAATCATTTTGCAATTATATTACATATAATAGTAATAATTATTTTTTATAAACGCGCCGTAATTGATGCACTCGCCCTGGGACGCATAAATAATCTCTAAAACAAATTTGTTAAAAGTTACATTTGATAGAATTTTAATCAGTAGAATATTAATTTGCCAGAAAATCAATTTGACCGAAATATTTCGGCGCGAATTTTAAAATTAACCAATCACAATTTTCTTGATAATTAACTATTGGTTAATTTTAAAATTCTCGACGAAATATTTGGGTGAAATTGAGTTTCTGGCAAATTAAAATTCGAACAAATTGGAATTTTGCCAAATTAATTTTCGATCAAATTAACTTTCTGGGAAATTAATATTCGAACAAATAATATACATTCTGGTAAAGTAGATTTCTGTCAAATTGTTTATCTGTACTATTAATATTCTATAAAACAACGTTTCGGGAAAATTTAAAATCGGTGAAATTTAATTTCCAGCAAAGTAAAATTCGATCAAATTAATTTTCTGACCAATTAAAATTCAATGAAATTGACTTTCTGTCAAATTAATATTCTGCTGATTAAAATTCTATCAAATGTAACTTCAAACAAATTTGTTTTAGTTTTTCAGCTTATTCGACAATGTTTTAAGTATAGAAATTTTTTTTTGTTTCAAAATTATCCCTTAATTTAATGAATGCCAATAAAATCTAATTACGAAAAAGGAATCTAAAGATTATATAATAATAATAAGTATATTAAATTTCGTAATAATTAAAAAACAAAAAAGTCTACAAGTAAAAATTTTAAAGGAACGTACCATTGTTAATAAAGTAGCAACGATTATACAAAACAAATTCAGTGAAAAATATTAAAGAGCAATTTTCTTGATAAATTTGTTTATTTTCATCTTTCGTTTCGTTAGTGATTTATAAATTGTTGTTTTTGTTGTCATAGCTACACGTGGTTACGAAATCCATGAACAAGAACATTGACAAGATGCGTCAAGTCTTTTCATGAACAACTTTGATAACTATAGTCAATTTTTCATTAAGCAAAAATTTGTTTCTGATTATTTCCACTGCTGTAAAGCGCTACGATCGAAAATACAAAAATGATAATACAGTTGCTGTGTGATCAAGTCAATGTTTGCAGAAAAGGTAGTTGAGCACATTTATTTGCGAATATAAAACATTTTTTTTTTCATTTCATGGATTAATTTATTACTAATAGTTAATTTATTATGCTATTAGTAATATAAATTAATCCATTAAATGAACAAAGTGTCGTGTTTTTTTATTCGCAAATAAATGTGCTGCATATTACCTTTTCTGCAAACATCGACTCGATCACAATGGCAATTGTATTTCACTAGCACTACGCAGTTCTCGCAATATTGTCACTTTCTTTTAAATAAAAACTTTGTCACAATTTTTTCTATTAAAAATTAGTATATCAAATTGGATCAAAAAAAAGCATTCATTTTGATCGACTTTCTATCCAAAATAATTGATAGAATCTTATACAATATACACGAAATTGCGAATTCAAAAAACGGATTGAAAAGTATTAAAAAAATTTTCTATCAAATTCTATGAAAAACGAGTATTTGTTTTGATAGACTTTCTATCCAAAATAATTGATAGAATCTTATACAATATACACAAAATTGCGGATTCAAAAAACGGATTGAAAAGTATTAAAATTTTTCTATCAAATGTTTTAAGCAGGGAGGTTAGAAAACTCATTTTCAACTTAGAAAATTAAATTTTCCGTCACTTTTTTAAAATAAGATAAATGAGAAATGGGAGAATTTTTAACCTAAAAATATTTTAAATAATATAAATTTTAAAAGAACTTTTGATAAAAATTATTTAAATTAAAATACCTAAATTTATTAATATATTCTATATTGAAAATAATTAATTTGTCGAAGAAATTTTAAATAAAAATTTAAGAAATAATTGAATTTCACAAGAGCTGTACAGATTTTTAGAATATTAATTAAATTTCAGAAGATTTTGAACTGAACATTTTTGTAAATTTGAATTGCTGAAGACTTTTTTAAATGAATTTTAGTCAATAATTGAATTTTAGAGAATTTTTAATTGAAAAATATTTTATATAATTGAATTTTAGAAGAACTTGATTAAATATTATATTGATAATAATTAATTAATTTTTGAAATATAATTGAATTTTAGAAAGATTTTTAGAATTAATCAAATTCTGGAAATTAATAAATTTGTTTGAAGTTAATGTAAATGCAAAAAAAAAAAAAATTGAGAAATAATGAATTTTTTTTTTTTTTTAAATGTACTAACCTTAGTACTGCACTTTTCCTTTTGGATAGTCTCCTTCCTGATGTTCGATAAGTTCCAGATTTTCTTTTAGAATGGGTGTTGATTAATTTTTTTGTATTAGGAATAAGTCTCTTTTTTTTAGTCTCAACAGTCTCTATTATTTCTAATACTTCAATTATTTCCACTATTTCTTCCACAGCCATCATATCATTAACTTCCATATCATCAACTAATAATTCTTCCGTTTTTATTTCATTTACTTTTATTAAATCCAATTCAATATTTTCTCTATTTATTTCTTTATTTTCCTCTTGAAAATTTTCTATCTCAATAGGTTCAATCTTAATATTCTCCACATGTATTTCCTCTATATTTGTTTCATTAAAATTCTCCTCTTTTATATTTTCCACTTCAATGGGCTCCACTTTTATTTCCATTATTTTCAATTTACAATTTTTGTTTTCAATATTATCTCTAGTATTATTAATAAAAAAATTCTCCATCTTCATTTTCGAATAACATTGTATTTAACTTCTTTTAGTTTCACTATTCCGTTTTTTTTGTTTTATTTACAAGTAGTCGAAAAAGAAATTTGAAAATTGTTTCTATAATGTTTTTCTTTTTTATGAACGTAATAAACGCTTAATAATATTTAAACACTTTTTTCGGAGTTGCCTTTAGTTTTAAAAAATTTATTTTCTCCGCACTACAATGTCAGAAACGTAATATACGTAAAAAATGGACAAAATGCAAAAAATTAATCCAAGAAGGACGATTTTTTGAAGATTTCATGTAAAATTTAAGTAATGTCTTCATTTTAATAATATTCAAATTATTATTAGCACTAATAGAAATTAACAGAATAAAATGTTTCTAAATCACCGAAAATACAAAAAAAAAAAAAATTAACGCATTTTTTTCTCGGCATTTTCTTCTTCACAATTGGTTTTTTGATAAATTATGGAGAATAATTTTTTTCTTTGAAGACTGGTTTTTAGGAGATGAATAATTGAGGCTGATGAAGGCAGTATATTTATTTCAACTGTTATCTATAAATAAAAATTTTATTGTCTTATTTCTTAAATCTCAGAAAGGAGAAGGACTTGAGGGATTTTTATTATTTTTATCAACATTTCATTATTATTATTATGATTATTTTCTAAAAAGTTAGAATTTTCATTTTATAAAAATTCCATTTGTCTTAATTATTTTTGGCCCAAATTTTTATTTTTTCGAATTAGTATTTTGCAAGAATTTTCATCAAAACGATTTTCTATATTAAAGAATTTTTATATAACTTAAAATTCACTTCACAGAATTATTATTTGTTCGAATTTTTATTTGCTCGAATTTTCATTTAATAATAATAATAGCCATTTTAAAGAATTTTTATTCGGTAGAATTTCATTGCATAGAATTCATTTTTTCAGATGAATTCTCATTCTATCCAATAAAAATTCTTTAAAATGCCTATTATGGTAAATGAAAATTCGAGCAAATAAAAATTCTGTGAAGTAAATTTTCGGTTATATAAAAATTTTGTAATATAGAAAATCGTTTTTATATGGAAAATTCTGCAAAATACTAATTCGAACAAATAAAAATTCGGTTCAAAAAAAAAAAAAATTATATAACAAATAAAATTCCATAAAATGAAAATTCTAACTAATGATTTTTAGAACATAACACTAGTTTATAAAAACTAGCGTCATATCCTCTCTCGCTAACGCTCGCTCGGTTGAAATTGTTCTCATTATTGTTTACTTATTTCAGTTCATTCATATGTATTTACTCTATTTTTTAAATTAATATTATAATAAATTTATTATTATCTTTAAGTTTAATATTTTTAAGAAATCTTTAATACTTTTCATAAATAAATAATTTATTTTAATGAATATAATGATTTGTGTTTTGTTCTACATTAGTTTTTTTATGACTTTAAAACGGTTGAAATATAACAAATTTTAAAAATGTTATTTCCTGAAAGTAAAAAAAAATCACATTCTTGGCCCAGTGACGTCACGAAGACGACAAAACAAACATTTTAATATAATAGAAGATATTTGAAAAATTTTGAAATAACGATAACTTTTTAAAAAAACAATATTTTTTGATGGGATTTGAAATTGAGATGCATTTTACATGTGAATTACTGAAAAATAACAAAAAGTTGCAATATTTGCAAAAAAATATTTTTTGCAAAAAGTTGCAAAAAAAAAATTAGATTTTTTTCTAATTTATATGTTTAATTTATGTTTAAATTTTAATTTTGAATAATATCTGTACAAAAATTGTTGAAAAAGAATATGAAAAACGAAAATTCTTGGCCAAGTGACGTCACGAAGACGACAAAACAAACATTTTAATATAAGAGATAAAAAATTTTCACCTGCGTCATTTCACTGTCATTTCTCATGTAAAATTTGCTCCTGAATCCGAATATGAAGTCAGATATTAAGAAAGAAAAACAATTTTCGTGATATAGTTAAATTTCAATTTTTTGAGTTTCAAAAAAAAAGTGGGCTCACTAATTTGCAAATATTTCCGAATTTAGTTGACCGATTTCAATTTTCTTTGAAGCAAATTAAAGGTGATTAAATTTCCAATAAAAAAGAATTTATAACATTTTTTAATTAGATTGACGATTTAGAAGATATTTACGAATTTGTCTAGAATTTTAATGTTTTTTTTAATATCTTATTTATTAATTGCTTTAAATTTTTTTTATATAATAAAGAGAAAATGATGACTACTTACTTTTATATTTACACAATAAACAATAAAAAAATTGTAATGGCTTTTGTATTATTGTATAAAATATGACAATTGTTGTTTTAGAAGCGATAAAGTCTACTTCTCATGTAATAAGAAACAAATCATGTTTTAAATTTTTGGTGAAACTTAATTTTACAATTATTTAAAGGAATTAACAATTTTTTAGGTTATATTTTTGTAAACACTTTCTAATGGTGCTGTCACATTTTGTCACGTGTTCACAGGGCGTAGGAACAATATTCTCGTTACAGTGAAACATCTGAAATGTGACGCATTGCTATAGAGGAGTTATAAAGCTGCTGTCACACCTAAAAGATTTTGATGTTTTGCAATATTTTAATTTAAATTTAAATTTAATACTTTAATCAATGAAACTAAATAATACTTTTATAAACAGGTTGAGAACCTTTTTGTTGCTAACTGATGGAGCATTTACACCTTTGGTAAAAAAAATTTTTTACTTTGATTTTCCAAAATGCAAAAATCTGATTGATTGTCCATTATCAATCAGATTGTGAACAACCAATTAGGTTTGTGTATTTTGGAAAATGCAAAATAAATTTTTTTTTTACCAAAGAGGTGTAAATGCTCCATGAGCGCACATAGCGAGAATCTGGAAAACGTCTATTGAATCTAATGGAGCATTTACTCTCTAAATCTGAATCAGTCATATTTTTACTGATTATAGCAGTAGAAATCTACTAATTGCCATAGCGAGAATTGAGCAACTGACAATTAGTAGAAATTTACTGATACAATTAGTAAAATATCAATTACTGATTGAATCAGTAATATAAATATATGACGGCGGCCACAAAATCTACTGATTTAATAGTTAATTTTAAAGGTTATATGTTATATACAAATTACTGATTTACATATAAGTTATTTTCTATTGCTTGCATATTGACTAATTATATTAGTAAATTTCAAAAAATAACTAAAACTTCAGTTAAAATGAAAAGTACTGATTGAATTAGTAAAATTTCTACTCATTCAGAATAATGGAGCGGTCACACCTCGCCTGCAGGAGCAGTTGCCAATGGCAACCGTGTAAGAGTAAAAGAGATGGAAAATCTTCTATCTCTCTTACTCTTACACGGTTGCCATGGGCAACTGCTCCTGCAGCCGAGGTGTGACTGCTCCATTAGAGAGTACACCTTCGGCAAAAAAATTTTTTCACTTTGCATTTTCCGAAATACACTTACCTGATTGGTTGTCCAGAATCTGATTCATTGTGGACAACCAATCAGGTAAGTGTATTTCGGAAAATGCAAAGTGAAAAAAAAAATTTGCCAAAGGTGTAAATGCTCCATAATTATAATTTTAAAATGTTTAAATTAGTAATAAGTAATAATTTTATTAGTTCGTGGCCTATAGTGTAACCTATTTATTACAGTTTATAATTTCCTAAAATTTTCCGTTATTTAAATTAACAATAATAAATTTCTTCTTATCAAACTTATTGATATAAATATAACATTCCGTTTTATTTAAAATTCTGATAAAAGAAACGCGCATAGAGAGAAAGTCTTTCTTTTTCTGTTTTTACCTCTCTTTTTTTTATATATATACTAGCGCCTCCGATGGCCACAAGCGTTTAGAAACAGCGCCCTTGTATTTAAATTTTAGATTATCAATGCTTTATTTCTTATTTCGATAGTTTAAGAAGAAGAACAGAAAAAAAAATCCGGAGTCGGGAAGAATCGAACCCAGGTCAGCATTGCTGAAAATCCAGTAGAGAAGCCACACGACCGTTACACAAGTAAGTACTTAAACTTTTGTAGGAAACTGTAGGAATTTGTTTTTTTGAATGTAAATAAAAAAAATCATAAAGATTGTTTTTTTGATAAATATTAATAAACGTGGAAGATATTTAACTCTGAAATTTTTTAGCTTTTTATAAAAAAAATAATAATAAAATAGAAATAAAAAAAAAATTTATTTAAAATTTCGTTGATATTTACCAAAAAAAAATTCATTTTTTGATTTTTGCAAAAACTATTTTTTTTGTTTCATATTTTTTTTGATGGTAGTATATATACTTACCCCTAAACTCTCTGTAAGTTTCAAAATATAACTTTCCGAGAAATAAAAAAAATTTTTTGATCAATTTTTGGACTCAAAAAAGTAAGAACGTTTTTTAACGTATTTTTTTTAAAGCAGATTTCGAATCTACTGTTAGATTTGCTTTAAGGTGTAAAATTTTTAAATCGCGAATCCATTATGGCGAACGAAAAAAATAAAAGTCAATTTAATTTGATTGAAACATGTTAATCGGGAGTTTTTGGGGTCGCTAATTGCGAATGTGATTTAAAAATTCAAAATGGCGGATCCAATATGGCGGACGAAAAAAATAGAAAATCAATTGAATCGTGATTTTCGAAAAGGGCTCAACTCAAAAAAGCGTAAGTGTCATTTTCGCATAACAATTGACAGTGAAAATGACTCTTACGGTTTTTGGATTTGAGCCATTTTCGAAATTATCGATTCAATTTGTTTTGCTTGAAATTTGTTACTCGAGGATTTTTAGGTTGATGATCAAAAATATAAAGTCAGATTTAAAAAATTAAAAATGGAAAATCCGATTTATTTTTTAATTTTCTTTTGTCTGCCATATTGAATCTGCTATTTTCATTTTTTTTTAAAATCTGACTTTAAATTTGCAATCAGCAACTACAAAACATTACGTTAAATATAATAAAATAATCATTCTTTTTTTTGCTAAATTACATTTAATTACTTGAAGTAGTAGTACACCCAGAAGAAAGATTTCTTTGAAACAAAGAAATCATTTTTTTTAAATAACTTTTTGAATCAAAGATATGAAATTCATTTTGAATTAAAAAAAGTTTTCTTTGCTTTTACGAAAAAAAATATTTTGAAGTGTTTTTTGCATTAAAGAAATTTGTTATTTAAATAATAATTTCAATCTAATGAAAAATTTCTCTGAATCAAAGAAGTATTTCTTTGAGTCAGCAAAAAGAAAATTAAAGAAATAATTTCTTTAAATCAAAGAAATTTTTCTTTGATCCTAATATAACAATGCACAAATTTTTTTTTGATTCAATGAAAATTTTTTTGAAACAAAGAATCTTTTTTCTGTGTCTTTCGATAAAGTGTGAAATACTTTTTGTATATATTAAAAAAATGACAAAAGTAAATCCATAAATAAAAATGCGAATTTAATTTCAAATGAAGACATTCACATTTCCTTTATATAATTTTCTGCTGACAGAGTATATATGTTACATTTATTCAATCAATATATAGTGAGATTGTCTTGCTGGAAAATCAATTTATAAAATTCTTTAGAAAAATTATAATTCCACCTAACGGCACAAAGAGGAAGTGAAATATATTATCTTATATTCCAATCCTTCTGAATAAATATCGTCCTTATTCCATAGAAACTATATTATAGGCGCAATTTATCTTACCATGAAATGACACTATTAATATTTAATATGATAATGACGTTAAAAGGAAAGACAATACTCTAGTGTAGCATAACTTATTAGTTGAGCTGTAACTCTTGTCAAAGGAGGATGAGTGTCTTTGACAGCCCTTATTTTCGAATCAATAAGTTCTTCCTTACATGCACTGGACTATGGCCTTATCTTAGTTCCGAAAGAAAACTATTTACGCGAATTATTGTCAACACTATTTTAATTATATATCTCATTCCCACAGTAAATATATATTTTTTCAAAATTTTCTAATATGGGAATTTAAGGAGTTTCCTAAATTTTTTTGGTCAAAAAAATTGAATTTTTTTTTTATTTTTTGATAGGAAAGTATGTTAAGAATGTGTGGTTAAATCATTAGATCGTAATTCGATCATAATCTTAAGTTATTTAACAAAGTACATATATATATGCGTCTACAGATCGTATAATTAACCCTTTCGTGCCCACGATAAACCGAGCGAATGGATTTGCTTGAAATTCGTTACTCGGGGGTTATTGGGGTCTCTGATTACGAATTTAATGTCAGATTTTAAAAATTCAAAATGGCGGATCTAATATGGCTGACAAGTTTTTTAAAAAGTGTTTAAATTGGCTCGAAATGTCCTACTCGGGGGTTTATGGGGTCGCTGATTACGAATCCGGTGTCCATTTTTTAAATTTCAAAATGGCGGATCCAATATGGCAGACGAGTTTTTAAAAAATGCTTGGATTTGCTTGAAATTTACTACTTGGGGGTAACTCAAAATGACGGATCCAAGATGGCGGACAAATTTAAAAAATGCTTGGATTGGCTCAAAATTCTTACTCAAAGAGTTTATGGGGTCGCTTATTACGAATATGATGACAGAATTCGAAAATTCAAATATAAAAAAGGTTTTTTGGTTTGCTGATAATAAACCCGACATGATCATGGACCCAGTACGGACAATTCATCATATTCATATCATTTGATCATTTTCGAGCAAATCCGATTAGTTTTAAAATTTTCGTCCGTCATATTGGATCCGCCATTTTGAATTTTTAAATTCTGACATCATATTCGTAATCAGCGACCCCAAAAACCCCCGAGTACCAAGTTTCGAGTAAATGCAATTGATTTTTAACTTTCATGTCCGCCATATTGGATCCGCCATTTTGAATTTATAAAATCTGACATCATATTCGTAATCAGCGACCCCAAAAACTCCTGAGTAAGAGTTTTCAAGCTGATTTAGTTACTTCTGCTTGACTAATTATAACCTTTTGATATCAAAACTTTAAACGCTTTTTTCTCAAAACACTATATTTAAAAATGGTAACCAGTAGAACTCAAAAACTGTTTGACCGATTTCAAAAATTCAAGTTGCATTCGATTCAGTGGAAGTTTTTGCAGGTCCTAAATCTCTAATATATTTAAAATATTCAATAATCAGGTTTTTGTGAGTGATTGATTGTCAAAAAAATGGTGTTTTTCAGTTTTTTGGGTTCCAAAGCTTGCCATTTTTTTAATTTTTGATTTTTTTTAATATCTCGAGGTTTAGGACCTGTATTTGGTCTTAAACTTTAAAATCACGTTTGTTTTTTTTATTTTAGATGATTCTGCGATGAGCTACAGTGGTTACCGTAAAGGACTTTGATTTTGACCAGTGTACATAGCGACCTCTGTAGAAGGAGCATAATAATATTGTTTAAGATCGCAATTTTTTTTTAAATAGTTCTTGACGTATATAGTAACATGTAAAAACTTTTGATCAATTATATTTTAAAACTTATGAGTACACGATCTTTTAAAAACCTTCTATTTTAGGGCAAAAAAATTTAGGAAACCCCTTAATGATAAAGAGCGAATGACAATGAAAAATTTATATAATAAAATTTTATAAATTATTAAATTTTTTTTTTAGAGCAGCGGATTGTATGAAATATGGGGCAAACTAGATTTAATGGTTGAATGTTTTATTCCTGTTTTTACGGGTTTTGGATGTTTAATGTGTTCAATGACTTGTATATATAAGGAAAAAGAAGTGAGATTTTTAATTAATCCAAAAAAAACCAAAGGAAAATTTTAATAACATTATGTTTGTATAGATTAAAAAACTTTTGAATCATATCAAAAGGGATTGGGAATTTTTTTCATCAGAAGGAGATATTACCGCTCTTGAGTGTCATGCAAAAAGTGGAAGGATTTTAACTTTACTTTATTCTGGTAAAATTTGGAATGTGGAGAATTTAGAAGTTAAAATAGTAGAGGTGAACTTTTGTTAGAAAGTTATTTTTTTTTGTTTTAGATAAAAAATTTTTGCATTGTTTTTTTAAAAATATAATTATAGTAATTTAAAAATTTTTCAGGTAATTCTACTGTTAATTATTAACAGTAATTTTAAATATGCTACTGTTCTTTCTGTTTGAGGGCATTTTGAAAAGTTGTGATTTTTCTATAATAATTTTATTAGTTCGTGCCGTGGTGTACAGATTACGCCATGAACTAATAAAATTATTATAGAAATGTCACGACTTTTCAAAATGCTGACAAACCGGAAAGACGCAGCATTTATGCAATTGGATGTATATATAAAAAATAATTAATCTTTGTTTTAGGTTGTATGATATCTGCCAGTTTTATATTTATTTTAACTACCATTTCACCTCAAATTCTAGACATTCTTATACCATTAAATGAAACACGACCAAAAAAATTGGCAGCAAATGTAAAATATTTTTTTAGTTGGGAGGAATATTTTTACTATGTTGTACTTCATTTAACAATATCAAGTGTAGTTGAAGTTGCTGTTGTGATTGGATGCAGATCAACTTTTTCAGTATTTATTGAACATGCTTGTGGATTATTTGCCAATGTTGGGTAAACATTATTGTTGAGCCTAAAATACTGCATAAATGTTGTCCTTTCGGTTTGACAGCATTTCGAAAAGTCGTGACACTTCTATAATAATTTTATTAGTTCGTGGTGTTGTTTACATTACGCCATACGAACTAATAAAATTATTGTAGAAGTCTTTCCTGTTTGACGGTTGGTTTCCATTGTCGACCCACTCGCCAAAATCTCCCCCACGCTATTTGTCATAATTCTCGTCAACTACCGCACCCTGCTCTAGTAAAAATTTAGTAACTTTATTGGGATCGGCTAAACTGCAATACGCCATCTGGTGGGGACCCATTCTCTCCCTCCATTTTCTTTCTTTGTCTCTCTTCAATTAATAGGTTAGAAAGAGTAGAAAAAACAAAATGGAGGGAGAGAATGGGTCAAAGTTACTAGATTGTTACTAGACCACCGTTCCCAATAGTAACTTTTAATTTTAAAAATAAAGTCACTGAATTTTCACTAGAGCAGGGTGCGGTAGTTGACGAGAATTATGACAAATGGCGAGTGGGGATTTTGTCATGAAAAGTCGTGACACGTCTATAATAATTTTATTAGTTCGTAGCGTATGGTGTAAAGGTCTGATCAAAATACGTTTGCGAATTTGAAGCATGAATTAGAAAAGGATAGAGACATATTTCTGTTCGCGAAGCTATATTGTGCGTTGGCCTTAACATACATCACGAACTAATAAAATTATTATAGAAATGCCACGATCAGTAATAATTTTACTATAGTTCGTGGCGTTCATTACGTCATAAACTAATAAAATTATTATAGAAGCGTCATGAAAATTTTACAGGCATAGACTGCAAAAAATAATGCATAATATAAATATGGATAAATCTAATTGGAATCCACATTTGGAAGAAAAAATTTATAGAGATGTAACTTTTTGTATAGAATGTCATCAACATGCAATTGAGTGGGTTTTTAATTTAATTACTCGATTTGTTTTTCATTAAAACTACAAACATTTTTAAAAATTATTTATTTTTTTAAATGTTAGATTTACAAAAATTATTGAATCTTGTTTTTCTGCTTGTTTCTTTATTATCATGGGAATAACAGTCATTCTACTAAGCGCAACATTAATTCAGGTATTATTAAAAAAAATCTTTTGTAAAGCGATAAGTTTTTTCTATTTTTAAATACAAATGCAAGAAGTTAAAAATATTTCTTTTTTAAAATATTTATTATCGATTAATTTTTTTTTTTAAATTGCAAATTAAAAATAATTTCCAGAGTGTATTGCATATTGATCGATTTGATGATGCTGCAAAATTTGGTTCTTATTCACTTGGCTTAATATTGGATTTGTACTTTAATAATGTACCTGGTCAACGATTGCTAGATGGAAGTAGTTATTATCTTTCAAATCAAGTGTAAAATAAATCATTTTAATTTTCAAAGAAGTCCACAACCAATTGCATAAATTGTTGGTTTACATTGTCCCCACACGCAATTTCTCATAATCCTCGTCAACTATCGCATCCTGCTCTAGTGAAAATTTAGTGACTTTATTGTTAAATTTAAAAGTTACTAAAAATAGTCACTAAATTTTCACTAGAGCAGGGTGCGGTAGTTGACGAGAATGATGATAAATGGCGAGTGGGGACAATGGAATACAACCAAATGCTGTCCTTCCGGTTTTAACGACATTTTGAAAAGTTGTGACATTTCTATAGTAATTTTATTAGTCTATGACGCGTTGTTTACATTACGCCGCATGAATTTATAAAATTATTTTAGAAGTTCTTCCCCGGTTTGCCGGCATTTTGAAAAGTCGTGACACTTCTATAATAATTTTGTTAGTTCGTGGCGTTATGTAAACAACACCACTAAGTAATAATATTATTATAGAAGTGTCACGACTTTGCAAAATGCCGTCAAATCGATAGGGACAGCATTCATGCAATTGAGGGTAAATAAATAATTTTCGAATAATGTTTGAAATAATAATTTATTTTTTACTCAGGTTTGGTGGAAAGTGGTATAAATTACCTTTAAAATCGAAAAAACTACTAATTATGATAATAATGAGAACAAATTTTCCATGTACATTAACAGTTGGAAAATTGTTTGTGTTGAATATGAATAATTTTTCTAAAGTAAAAATATTTAATTTACTTTTAATAAATGGGTAACATCACTCAAAAATATTTCCTTTTTAATTTTGCAGAGTGGTGTTACCCCGATAAAGAATTTTTTTATTTTTGATCAATAATTATAAAAATCTTATTTCTTTTTAAAGGTTTTACACGCTTCGGTTTCTTACTTCACATTACTGTCTTCGCTGAGAACTTAAAATTTTTTTATACATTCTGATAATAAATATAATAAATTTAACAAATAGTAATTTTTTTTATTTCGTCGTATTAAAGGCCTGAGCAGAATAGAAACTTAATCGCAATCGTAAACGGAAGAATGGGTTAGAGAAGGAGAGTCATATATTGTTGTTCTTCTCTTACTAATTCTTCCGTTTGCGATTACGATTCCGGTTACGTTTCTATTGTGCTTAGACCTTATAATAGGTGAAATACCTGTTATTTTACCGTAAAAAACCATGTTTATTACTTTACGCATACTCAACCCTTGTGAAATCACATGGAGGCATAAAGTGTCAAATTTTGTAACTAGATAATGAGTGCGAAAGAGATAAAGAACACATGTCCTTCTCGCACTCATGGTCTAGGTACAAAATTTGACGCTTTACGCCTCCATCTAATTTTAATCTAAAATTTTGCGAATATTTATTCAACTTTTCTAATAAGAACCCTAAAAAGTCTTCTTGTAGAATAGGAAAGAAAAGAAAGTAATCCTTCCGAACTATTTTTATCGACTTTCTTCTTTTTCTTCTTAGAAATTGTACTTTTCTTCTTTTTACTGTCTACAGAGTCGTCAATTGTTTTTTCGCCTAGTAAATAAATACTCTCCTCATGTTCCACTTCTGTTCGTAAAAATTCCATCAATTTCATCAATCGAGTTTCCTCTGTATTCATATTGACTGAATTATGATGTTTCTTCCATGTACGAAGTACATCATCTGAGAGTGATAATTCAACTAAGGTACAAATAATTATTCCACAATTATCCGTCAGAGTACCAATTGACTCGAGAGCATTAATATATATCTGTAGTTTATCATAAATTTTTGGAAGTGAAATATTTTTACCACATTTTGTTGTATTTTTTAAAATTAATTCAAGAATTGAACGAATATAGGCTTCAATTAATAATTCATCGCGACCAAAACGCATTTTTAATTTTGTTAATGCTTTATCGTAATTGTCACCAGTGCACGGATAACTTTGTACTAATTCACTTGCCTTTGAATCCTTTTCCATTGCATTAATGAGATATTGAAATTTATCCTCCTTATCAAGTGATTTATCCTCGTGAATTTTTTTAAATTGACTCCAAAAATATAACCAATCTTTAACATTTCCATTAAATTTTTTTATTTCAATTTTTGGCAATAAAAAAGCTCGATTACCCTCGACATTATTTTCAGGAAAAGAATTTGAAAGTTGAAAATTTTTTGACGACGATTTTGTTAATTTATTTTCAACTTGCAATTTAGCACGTGAAAATTTCATTTTATACTCATCAACTTCATGTAATACTTGTGCAATTTCACTTTCTGCCATTTTACTATTTAACATATTTTCCAAATTTATTTTGTCAAGTTCCTCCAGTCGATTAAATTTTTCACTTAACAAATCTAAGGACAAATTTAAATCATCTTCCGATGGTGAATCTTTTTCTAAATGTTGATTTAGATTTGATAAAATTTTCAAAAATGACAATCGTACAACGTTACGAATTTTTTCATTATCATCCATAATTTTTTTTTTATCAATCGATACTGGATTAATGTTGTAAAATTAAGAAACAATTAAATTTAATAAAAAAATTTGAATTCAATTTTCTTTTATTGGATTATTCTTAATTGTTGATGATCTGCATTTTGAAGAACCATTGCTTTCAATAGTAGGAGATCATATTATTTCTCTGCAACAAAACTAAAAGATAATTATTTTGATTTTGCGATAATTATTTTCTAAAAAAAAAGACATGGCTTAAAAACAGAAGTAGGTTAATCGACATGGTTGGGCAGTCAACTTTCTGCTTATGAAGATGACCGTTATAGAAGGTTGCTATTGTTCCCACTCGCCACACTCGCCATTTGTCATAATTTTCGTTAATTACCGCACCCTGCTCTAGTGAAAATTTAGTGATTATTTATAGTAACTTTTAATTTTAACTACATAAATAGTCACTAAATTTTCACTAGAGCAGGATGCGGTAGTTGACGAAAATTATAACAAATGGCGAGTGTGAACTTTGGCGAATGGGGACAATAAGGCAGTCCAACTTGTGACGTAGCGTGACGTCACTTTTCAAAATGGTGGCTGGTCGGAAGACATGCAATGCTTTAAAGTTAATGAGGCGAATCAGTTTTTTTTAACATATAACTTTTATAAAATTAATTTTTGAACCCAAGTGTAATTGTAAAATATTTAAAATAGATCTCTATAAATAAAAAATATTTTACAATTACACTTGGGTTCAAAAATTAATTTTTCAAAAGTTATGTTAAAAAAACTGATTTGCTCCATTGACTTCAATGCATTGCATGTCTTCCGACAAGTTGCCATTTTCAAAAGTGACGTCAAGCTATGTCACAAGTTAGACTGCCTTATGGCAACCTTACTTATCGACAAATTGTAAATATAAAATATAAAAATATTATAGAAAACTACTTTTCTACATAGTTATTAGCTACTAAATTATAAAAAAAAACAGTGTAGGAAAGTATACTTTTCGTCATAGTAAAACACAAAATTTTAAAAATAGTGTAAAAAACAAGATTTTTAGACAGCATAGTGGACAAGACAGTTATAAGAGAAACAGTGCAGAAAATAGTACTTTTCTGCATCGTATGCAAAAACATTATAAAACACTGCAGAAAAGTGTATTTTTTTGCATCGTAAGCAGCAATATTATAAAAACAGTGCAGAAAAGTACACTTTTCTGCATCGTATGTAGCAAAATAGAAAAAAAAGAGTGCAGAAAAGTGTTTTTATAAAAAATTATAAAAACAGCAAAGTGGTATTTTTCTTGCAGATGTTACACAAATGCCATTTTATAGGGGAATATATTCAGGGTTGGATACTTCGCTGTGTTCTTAAAATAAAAACACTAGCGCCATCTATGCATGGACGTGGCGAGGTTTTCGTAGTGAAACCTAACTTTTTGTGCCATTACATTTTTGGAGGATCAAAAGTAGCGTCTGCTGTGACGTCGGTGTTTTTTGTAGGAACGAAAAAAGTTTTGTGAGCGATGTGATTGAACATAAAAAATGAATAAAGAAATTCCTGTATTGTATGTATTGTGGGGTTCATGATTGAAGAAAAAATGATGTGTAAAATCGAATAGCAAAACATGTCTGGTTATTGTTATAGCACAATTCGAAAATGTTGTTTCTACTTAGGGTTAGACAGTTTATACACTCAGGGTTAATTACACTTTGTTAATTATGAATTTGACACAATTTATAAATAAATATACAAATAAACATTGTCGCACACACATCTGCACACACACAGCACATATTCTGCCAAAGATAGGGTAACTGCACCAGTGGTGGATCATGCACCAGTGGTGGATCAACTGCGAGAATAATGGTCATTTGTGTTTACACGTTTGTAAATAAATGAACCGCAAGTGTCGGTAATTGTTAAGAAAGTTATACAGATCAATATTACAATTTAAAAAAAATTTTAAATTCATCGCGAAGAAAGCAGGACAACAATTACTAAAGTGGTGACAGAAAACAAGAGTTTTCCTTAACATGTAAGTTAAGAGTATATTTTGGAATAGAAAGCTTTGGAGCCATTTTAGGACAATTTTTAATTCTTTTCACAATAGGAGGCATTTCGTTTCATCCCCATAGAGCCCTGAGAACAATATTTACGTCTGTAAGTAGCGCGTGTCCATTGTTTTCGGGTGATCCACGACTGGAACCAAAAAAGTAACAAAATCTAGTGGTGGATCAGTCCTACTTTTCGCCTGTTGACGCATTGTTTTATTGAAAATTTTATGAGTTAAATTTTAGTTAACACTAATTCAAATGTTTATTAATTGGTAACACCTGGGGGTCGATTACGTAACTTTACCACATCCCACATCTCACTTCCCACATTTTACATCCCACATCTCACTTCCTACATTTTACATTCCACTTCTCAATTCCCACATCCCATTTCCCACATCTCACTTCCCATATTTCATATCCCACTTCCCATATTTCACATCTCACTTCTTACTTCCCATATTTCATATCCACTTCCCACTTCCCATATTTCACATACCACATCCCACATCACACTTCCCATATTTCACATCTCACTTCTTACTTCCCATATTTCATATCCACTTCCCATTTCCCATATTTCACATACCACATCCCACTTCCCATATTTCACATCTCACTTCTTACTTCCCATATTTCATATCCACTTCCCACTTCCAATATTTCACATACCACATCCCACATCACACTTCCCATATTTCACATCTCACTTCTTACTTCCCATATTTCATATCCACTTCCCATTTCCCATATTTCACATACCACATCCCACTTCCCATATTTCACATCTCACTTCTTACTTCCCATATTTCATATCCACTTCCCACTTCCCATATTTCACATCCCACATCCCACATCTCACTTCCTACATTTTACATTCCACTTCTCAATTCCCACATCCCATTTCCCACATCTCACTTCCCATATTTCATATCCCACTTCCCATATTTCACATCTCACTTCTTACTTCCCATATTTCATATCCACTTCCCACTTCCCATATTTCACATACCACATCCCACATCACACTTCCCATATTTCACATCTCACTTCTTACTTCCCATATTTCATATCCACTTCCCATTTCCCATATTTCACATACCACATCCCACTTCCCATATTTCACATCTCACTTCTTACTTCCTATATTTCATATCCACTTCCCACTTCCCATATTTCACATACCACATCCCACTTCCCATATTTCACATCTCACTTCTCACTTCCCATATTTCATATCCCACTTCCCATATTTCACATCTCACTTCTTACTTCCCATATTTCATGTCCCACTTCCCATATTTCACATACCACATCCCACTTCCCATATTTCAATTCCACATCTCACTTCCCACATTTCACATCCCACTTCTCACATTTCACTTTTCACACTTCACATCTCACATTGTACATTACACTTTTCTTATCACGCTTCCCACCTTTTATATCCCACTTCTCACATCTCTCCCATTTCCCACAAGATGTTGGATGTGGGAAGTGGTATGTAAAATGTGGGAAGTGAGAAGTGGGATGTAATATGTGGGAAGTGAGATGTGGGAAATGGGATGTAGGAATTGAGAAGTGGGATGTAAAATGTAGGAAGTGAGATGTGGGATGTGGGTTGTAAAATGTGGGAAGTGAGATGTGGGAAGTGGGATGTAAAATGTGGGATGTGGGAAGTGGGAAAGTTACGTAATCGACCCCCTGATTTCAAATTGTTAAATTTTTGTTGAATTAAAATACCCAGAATTAATAAATGTTATTTATCATTGAAACTGAAGCTTTAAGAGTTTCTATTTATTTATTACCAAAAATTCTAATAAAAAGATGATTAATTAATATTTAGTCACATTATACCTATAGAAATGAAAGAGGACGGGATATGGATAGAAAAATGAATTTGAAAATCTGTCCGTAAAGCCTTATAAAAGTTGCAAAACGTCTCAGTCTCGTAATTTTAAAATGCAATGTTTTTTAGTATGATTTTTTAAGTGATCCACCACTGGAGCAATCTATAACCATGACTGGTGCAAACAGTGATCCAGAATAGGATCATTGACAAATTATCTTTGATGGAGCATTAAAGTAAACGTAGGTGTCAAAATTAAGTCTAACCTTGAAGGAAATGTCTATTGGAACTATCTGGTCCATAATACTATAAAGAATAACCTCGAATTTGTCTAAAAACAACCTATACAGAACTTCAAAGTCAAAATAAGAAAGTTAAGGGGCTTAACTGATCCACCACTGGTGCAGTTACCCTATTAGGAAAATAATAACGTTAAATTAATTTTTTTAAAAAAGATTATAAACAAAGTCCAAAACGGCGTCCAAACCAGAGTATAGTCCCCTAAGTACACTCGTGGTGAGATATGCCTATACATATTTTTGTCCTCTTCTAACGCACGTGTTGACATGACAACATGTGAGTTAGAAAATGACAAAAATGTGTAGGCATATTTGGCCAAGAGTGTATATTAATTTTTAAATAAAATTAATTTTGTTCTCAAAATCGTGTATAAAAATAAAATAATAATTTTGATAAAGAAAATACAAAAAAAAAAAAATATATAAAAAGTAAACTCACATAAAATTTAATGTTGATCGAAAATAAAAACGAAAAAGATAATTTTTCTTTTTTTATTTACATGTAGACACAGCAACAGAAATATATCAACTGAATTTTATAGTTATTAAAATTAAATTTGTCAAAACAATATTCTACTATTCATGAAGAGTTAATTTAATGAATTAGACAGAAAATAATTTATAATCGTATAAATATATATACATATACACTGGTAAAAAACATTTTTCCACTTACGAACAAATCTTTACTTGTGTTATGGAATCATTATAAAGTCATTAAAGTTAATAGATAAATTGTTTATTAATAAATGGAATACATAAAATTAAATAAATTGTCAATGAATGAATCCGGTAATAATCATTAATTGAACGCGTATTACAATTATTAATAAAAAAAAAATTAATCCAATATTGTAATTGTAAATCTAATTTTACAAGATACAAATAATTGGCGGTGAACAACCTCACTAGGGATACAATACTACAGAAGGTTATAAGATAATACTTTTTATATCAATCAGATAACTAATTGTATTTATAGAAATATAATAGTTATATTAATTTGAAAGACAATATATGCATTGAAAGTTTTTTTTATAAAATAGTTGAAAAAAAACAATTTTTTAAATAAATGTTTCATATGGTCACTGGGCGTCGATTATGTAATTCCATTTTCACTTCTATCCAGATAGCACGTAAGCTTGCAGCAACCTTGCGGCAAGCTTGCCGTGCAATATTGCCAACCTTGCACGGAAAACATGCCGCAAGCTTACTGCAAGCTTTAAATGTCCCATCTGACCGAAAGCTTGCATGGTAAGCTTACCCAAAGATTGCAGTGTGAGGTTACTGCAAGATTGCTCAGTAAGCTTCTGCAACGTTAATGCAAGGTTGACAAATAACCTTGCTTTGAACTTAAATTTTTTTTTTGATGTTTCGTCTAATTTATATAATAAAATTATATAAATTAGACGAAACATTAAAAAAACATTTTTAAGTTCAAAGCAATATGTTATTTGTCAACCTTGCTACAAGCTTACCGTGCAAGCTCACTGGGCAATCTTGCGATAATCGTATTGTGCAATCTTGCAGTAACCTTACACTGCAATCTTTCGGTAATTTTACCATGCAAGCTTTCAGTCAGATGGGACATTTAAAACTCGCAGTAATCTTGCGGCAAGATTGACAATATTGCGCGGCAAGCTTGCCGCAATGTTACTGCAAGCTTACGTGCTATCTGGGTACTTTCACTGATTCTAATTGAGCCGCCGGAAATTAAAAGGGCACATAAAATTTGTACAGCCGGCCAACTCAAACGGCCGTACAAACTTTATGCGCCCTTTTACATTCCGGCGGCTCAATTCTTATTTTCACTTTATGTCAAAAGTGTTTAAAAAAATTAAGATTAATATTAAAAATTAAATAATTTAATTGTTAAAGAATTTCATTAAATATAAAATTTCACGCAGATAACATTTTTGCTGAGTGAAATGTTTTATTTTAATTTATTCTTCATTATCAATAATTTTTAATTAATTATTGTCACGTGGACATATGATATATAAAATTAATATATCAGCATGTTTTTACATATCTCATGACATAATATTATTTTTTTTTGTCATCTACAGTCATTAAAACAATATAAAAGTGAATTATTAGATATTCTATACAGGGTTTTAAAAAAATTTTTAAATTCATGTTAAAAATCAATAAATCTCAAAATGACCTTGCATATATTTATAAAACAGGATTCTGGCTACATAGTTCTCGACATCTGTAAATGTCGATTATAGGTATATATATATATATATATTTTTTTTTCTTCTTCTACTTTGTTATATCGCATACTACTTTTTGAGTTCTCACTTTAATTTGTCATAAAAATGTTTGTCGAATCATTGCTCTTAAAAGTCAATTAATTTTAAATTATCGTCTTATGCAAAAACCACTTGCATATAGTTATATCGTCTAATTGTATACATATATAGATAAAATTTAAAGCTACTTTATGCTTGTAAATCACAAATTGGATTTATAAAAAAATTCCGTTAAGAATGTTTTTTAAAATAATATAATAATATAATTAAATAATAATAATAATAATAATAATAATAATAATAATGTTTTAAATTATAAGGTTTATGTGACATCATCGAAACAATTTTAATTTTGTCGGGAACTTTACTCTTAAAATATTAAAAAGATTGATTTGGAATTTTCTGAAGATGTCTAATATATGACGAGGAATGTCTGTTATGTACTGAAAATGGTGAGAAATTAATTATTATAATATATTTTTAGAATTTTTTTTTAAATTTGAGGTTAGGTGTGCGACATCACTTTAAGTATTTTATAAGAATTAAATTCAAAAATTTTTTATTTGACGCTTCTAACTGTATAAAAATTTTCTAATGATGATTAATATAATAAAACACATTATATTATTTATTCTCTCCTTAAAGATTTTGTGGTTTGACTTTGAGCTAAGTCGGTAAATGTCGATAACAAGAATCGTGGTCTAGAACACGCTCTCTGTAATATATAATTTTATTAAAAAATTTTTTAATTACTGGATTATTCCGAAGATTCCAAAGTGTGTAAAAATTAATGTTTTTAACAATAATCAGATTAAAAATTAAAAAAATTTTAATTTAAAATTAATTTATTTACAAATAAAAATAAAAAAAATTAAAAAGAAAATATTATATTCATATTAATACATTATATATATTTAGTTATATAATATTGTATCATTGTATAAAAATCTCTGTCCAATGTCGATAAGAAAAAAATTCATCATCATTTATTTATTACTTGGATAACCGGTCATGGTCAACGACCAGAAAAATATTAAGAAGCTGATTTTACTATTCATGTTTATATGTATTAACTCTTGCGAATCATATAAAAGTCTCTGAAACAAACGTTCTATGTTCAGTAATCTTTTGGTTTTCATTCTCAAACAAGGCACATCTCACAAAAAACTACTTTTATAAAAATGAAAGCATTTTTTGCAATTTTCACTCTTTTCTTCGTCGGTGCCTTGGTAAGAATTATTTTCAAAAAAAAATTATTAAAAAAAAATTGTTTTCTTTCAAACAATAAAAATTAATCAAAAAAAATTTTAATTCATTTTTATTATTTAAATTAATAAAAAATGTTCAGAAATTTTTTAATCTTTTTAATTTAATATAAAATTTGTTTTTTTTTTAAATTTTTTAATTTTATAAATTATAATTTTTTTAATTCTATGTAGAAGTTACTTTAAATCCTGGAATTATTATTAAAAAAGTTATCTTAAATTTGTTTATTAAAATATAATATAAAAAAACTATTAAAAATTTTTTTAATTTAATTAAATTTTTTTATATAAAGGAAATTTCTCTTAGCAAAAAAATTCTAGTGTAGATTTAATTAAAAAATATTAAACATGAATAGACATGAAATTTGAAAACCAAAAATAACTTTTTTCAAAATTTATATATATACATAATATTAATAATATTTTGTTTATTATAAAAACTAAAAAATTTTATTTTCATTTTTTTTTGCTTTTCTTTTTTTACATAAAAAAATTATTTTCTTAATTAATTCAAAAATTACTGTTTTACAGGCCGGTCTCACTGACGAACAAAAAGCAAAGCTTGCTGCATATAAGGCAGAATGTATTAAAGAATCTGGAGTTGATCCCGGTAAGAATAAAATGTATTTTCTAATTTGACATTTTTTCACACTGTTCAATTAAAAAAAACTAATAAAAATTAAAAAATATTTTATTTTATATTATAAAAAAAAAATAGAAAAATTACAGAAAAAATTAAAAAAAAATTCTTGGAAACATTTAATTTATTAATTTAAATGTTTTCAAGAAAACATTTCAATTTTTTCTATAATTTTTCTATCTTTGTTTTTTTTTAAAATGAAATCATCATAACCAACGAAAATTTGCAATAAAAAATTCTTGAAAATATTTTTAAAGAAGAAAATAATTTCGTCACTTTATTTGCGAAAAAAAATCTATTGGCATTTTAATCCTAATTCTATGAATTTTTCTTTCAAAAATTTTACTTTTAATATTTAAGATAAAAAAAAATATTTATCTTATACTCTTTATTTTAAAGCTGTGGTGCAAAATGCCAAAGAAGGAAAAGCTGACGAGTCTGATACTAAATTGGCCTGTTTCTCATCTTGTCTGTTGAAAAAAATTGGAATTGTAAGAACAACCTAAAATTTTTTTGCATCTCTAAGATCCCATTTCCCATGGAATAAAACATACAATGTGTATAATACATTTTTTGTTAAACAATATATTTGCTTTAAAAAAATATAAAAGAACAAAAATTTAATTTGTTTTTTAAACAAAAATAAAAAAAAAATTTTTGAATAAAATATTATTGTTGAAAAGAATTTAATAAACAGAATTATAGGGGAATCGTTTACAAACAAAAATTTTATTTTATAAAAAAACAATTAAAATATGAAAATTGAAATTATTTTTTTATATGTGATTTTTGAAATGATAAAATTTTGATTTGTAACAATTTAAAGAGCAAAATGAACTATTTTTAAAAATTCAATTCTGCAATTTTGAACAAAAAGTAAAAAATGTTACATAATTATTACTGAAATTGAATAATAACTATTATTAAAAAGGTATAAACTTTTTCAGTTATATGTAATAAAATTGTTCTTGCTTCGTTAAAATTTAATTTCTATTATGAGAATATTATATAGGTAGAATTTTATTCGGAGTAGTTTAACAATTTATTTTAACTAGCAATTTAAACTAGCAAATTTAACTAGCAAAAAAAACTAGTAATTTTTTTTTTTTTATTAATTTCACATGAGAAATTTCGAATCGCATGATCCTTCTTATTATAATAGCCACTAGGAAAATTGTTATAAATTTATTAATAATGACGCTAAATTAGATGAATGCCGATGGAACAATTAATGAGGAAGTTGCTCGTTCTAAAGTCCCAGACTCAGTTCCTAAGGATAAGGCAGAAGAAATCATTAACGAATGCAAAACAATGAGTAAGTAACAAAAAATTCAAATTTGTGTATTGTTATAAGGTCAAAGAAAAATTTCTTTGATTTAAAGAAATTATTTCTGTATTTTGTTTGTTGACTCAAAGAAATATTTCTTTGATTTTATCAAATCTTTTATTTGAATCAGTGACTGAAATTTTGCTAAAAATTAATTATTTTTTAACTAATTCAGATTTAAAAAGTTCTTTATAATATTTATCTTTTTTCATTATGATTTCAGAAGGAGCAAATGATTGCGAAACTGGATTGAAAGTAATGAAATGCTATATGGAAAAGAAAACTTTCTCTATTCTTTAATTAAAAAATATTTATAATTTTTTTGAATAGAAATTGTTATACAACTCTAAATTATAGATTATTTCCTCAAAATTTATGTAAAATGTTATAAACAAAATAAATTGAATTATTTTATCAAATAGCCTTAAATAATTTTTTCCCATTTAATTTTTTTATTTAAAAGTAAGTTTTTGAATTATTTTTATATTTGTTTTAAATAAATATTTAATATATCAAAAATAAAATTTTATTTAATGCAAATAAAATTTTTATTTAAACAAAATAAAATTTATTTTAATGAATTAAATATTTGTTTGGCTCTTAGGAAAATATATATCATTTCTCTGGGTATACATTATCGTATAAATTTGATTGGTTGGAAAATAATGAATTTGCATTTTCTTTTAAGATTAAATACACAACTTATACGCATCTCTCGTGCGCAACAAGTTCTATCAGTCACCATAACCTGCAATTATTCTTTTGACATTTTACGATTCGGTAAAATGGTAATAAACACCATGTAGATACTTAAAAAAATTAAATATCAAATTATATTATAATTAATTTATAGATGTGAGGTATTCCAAGTGAAGTGATCAAGGTAAAAAAATTTCTCCGATCACGCTTAAACTCAGGGCATTTGTAGTACTCATAGATGATAATTTTTGGTAAAAATAGTAGTGAAAGTTTTTGGGTTTTACGCGGTATACTGCATATGGTAATAATTTTTTTTTCTTAAATATGAAAATAATTTTTTTTTTAATAATATCAGTTTTGAAAGCTTTTTTGATGTTATTTTGATTGGTAGTATGCATTTTAAAAAAAATTTTTGACTAAAAAAATAAAACTCAAAAATAAATTTGACTTTTTCGGGGTGAAAGGAACGATTTTTATTAAATCGAAAGCTGAGTTTTTTTCTTTAAAAGTGACGCTCCACGGTGAAAGGGTGCTTAGCTGCTTAAAATTTTAGGTTATGTTCATGGTAGTTTTTGCTTTATTAAAGATTTATTTTTGATTATTTAACATCAAAAGCATTTTTTACTGAAAATATTGCATCTAATAAATAATTAAATAATAATAGTTTGTACCGAAAACTAATCGCTTTTATTTATTTTTACTGCAAAGTTTATTTCTGTCAAAAACAGCTAAGCACCCTTTCACCGTGGAGCGTCACAATTAAAATATATTGTTGAATAAGTGGGGCATAAATGTTTAAATATTGACAATTAACATTTTTTGCCTTTTTCACCATTTTTGGATATTTTTGATAATTTTTTACTATTTTTCAAAATTCAAACATTTAAACATTTTTGTCTCATATTTTTATAAGAAATAACTCTAATTTTTTTTGGTCAAAAATTTTTTTTTTTAAAATGCATATTACTAATCAAAAGAGCATAAAAAAATCTTACGAAACTGATATTAATGAAATTTTTTTTATTTTAATATTTGAGAAAAAAATAATTACAAGAAAAAAACCATTTTTTTTCTTTGACAACTTCATGTAAAATTCCCTATATTTGGGAGATTCCACATGAAATTTACCATGATAATTTAAATTCGGGAAATATATTTTTTTTCGTTCTTTATATAAATAAAAAGTTTAATCATTACTTCCTTCTTTTTATAAGTGCTCACATTTTCGAATTATGAATTTTTTAAACATCTGTTTTTTCGCGTTGTTTAAAAATAGACCTACTTTTAGTTTTGCATTGACTTTCAAAATATGTTAACGAAAAAAATTTTTGAATTTGTTTATAAAAAATAACGCTGTTTTTTAAACAAACAATTATTAATATTCATAAAATAAGTTTAAATTTATAAATAAAATAATGATGAAATACTTATCTATATGTAAACAAATAAAAAATTTATACGACTATTGGTTATAGGGGAGAGTGACCAACAATAAGACACTTGAATTTTCTGAAAAATGACTTAAGGTCATGTGATTGTTATGATTTCACATGTAAATATTTTCTTCAGGTTTTTCGATAAATACTTGATAAATTAAGGTCATGTGACAGTTGTGATGTCACACGTAAATATTCTCTGCAGGATTCTTGCAAAATATTTGATAGATTGAGTTAAAATTTTGTGGTGAACTTCAAAATAGTAAAAAGATTTGTTGTCATGTGCCAGAGTATATGGGGCATTCCACAGGAAATTTTCATTAAAATGTATTTTTGAAACATTTTCTTATGTATTGTACTAATGAATAAAAAAATATGCTGTATATGAAGCATATTACAGACCTAACAGTCACATGACCTTAAGAGTGTCGAACGGTCTCTGAAATTATTTGGCATACAAAAGAATTCATAAAAAATCTATTATATTCATTATGTTTTGCTCTGTAATGTAGACATAAAGAGCCGATTATATGGACACAGCCTTAAGGCCATGTGCATTTTTTCAGATTCAGCACTGGACTATAGAGCTTAAACTTTCTTTTTCTAACGTTAAAATATAAACATCATTTTACTTTTGGTATGTTTTAATGTATACTATATAATATTAAACAATTTTTCAATTATAAACTGTGTACAATTTGCAAAAAAAAAAAATAAATAGAATTTATTTTGTTTTGTTAACTTATATATTCCAAATTTATATAAAGAAATATTTATTGCAAAACATTTAAAAATATTTATTTATTTTTCAGGACCATTTAGAAGATTTGCTGCACGACTTCAGATAAAATGGCATTTTTAGCAACATCCCAAAGCTCTATCTCAAATGATGTCATGAGGAGCTTCAATGAAGCAGTGAAGCAGAATGATCTGCTTCGCATTAACCAGCTTGCATCAAGTAGAACCGTTTAGCAAGCTGATAAATTTGGTGATACATTTCTTCATATCATCGCTAAAGAGGAAACACCTGAAGCTACGATCCTATTGTGTCAACTAGAATCAAATGTTTACCTTTGGAACAGGCAGAAGAATTCTCCACAGTTCTACGCTCTCCAAAATTCTGTCGACATGGTCAAAGTATTGTTAAATGATAATAGAATTAATGATTGGAATTTACTTCGTCAAACTTTAATTTTCGGTTCTGAGAAAGTTGTTTGTCTTATTGTAAACAGACTTCCTTTAAATTTTAACAAGATTTTTTCGACGGGTGCGATTTTAAATAATAATTTAAATGGCGATGTTAATGAATTTGAAAGCACCGAGAACGTTGTAAAAGCTCTTTTACAACTTCAAAAATATTCTAAACCTGAATTTCCTGATTATCTGGTATTAATTTTATTTGCAGCTAAGATTTTAAATATAAATATTTTACAATTCATTTTAGAAGATTGCGAAAAATATTTAGAAGAAAATACATGTTACGTAAGACCATTATTTAATAGGCAAGGAAGTGATGAGATAATAAAGAGATTTCTTACGATTGAAATTAGTTATCGGGGACGATATAGTGAAACTGCTCCGCATTATGCAGTATGTTTACAACTTGAGGAAGGGACGAGGTTCCTTTTAAATGAAGGAGAAGATCCAAATTGTAAAACACGAAACGAATTGACACCATTTCATTATGCCTCATATTTTGGAAATGAGAAAATATGTAGTCTTTTATTAGCTTTTGGAGCGGAAAGCAATCCAAACTCCTGTTATTCAAATGACCCAATGCATTTTCTTTGTAGCGAGCGTTATATATTAAACTTTGAATCTCATATTATTAAAAATTATCATCGTCCAAGCAATCCCGTACACTTTGTGTGTGGGGAACGCAGATACTAGACATGTTTTAAACTCGTCCTTTAAATATTTTATTGGCGAGATGCATAAATTGTGTTACGTACCGGACACTATTTTTTAAAGAAAAATTTTGTCTTTATTACTCAAGAACGGAGGAAATCCATTTATTCAAGGAAAATTTAGTTATAATCCCTTTTTCCGTGTCTGTGAAACTGGCCGTTTGAGGGAGATGTCAATTTTCCTGGAATATTTACCGATTTGCGAAATTCCGGAATATAGGGGTAACACTGCTCTGCATATTGCGGTCATGAACAATAAAATTGATATGATTGATATACTAGTTACAAAGGGGCATAGCATGGAAACAAAAAATTCCTTGGGACACAATCCCTTAATATCTGCTGTGTGGATGGAAAAACAGCCATCCTTACAAACAATCGAAAAACTGGTCTACCATGGAGCTGACCTCCATGCTGTGAGCTTTCAAGGCTGGACAGTTTTACAAATGTTGGCCTGTTTTAATAAACCGGAGGTAGTTCTGAAGTTATTAGAATTAGGTTCCGATGATTTGTGGAAAATGTCTAAATCTTCGGAATTACAGCGAGTGTCTAATCCTTGGTCGAGGATTGCAGGTTTTTATTGCGATTATTGCACTAAATATAATGAGTTAGATGACTATGTTGATAATTATATAAAACCTAGTGACCATGACAAGGCATTAATTTTTTTTGCTGAATCGATATTAGAAGTTATAACTCTGAAGAAAATTATGATTTTTAAAGATAGGCGTTTTTCGTATTACGATTTCTTGACAAGGAATTTTTCGACTGTTATACGAATTATTAGAAATGTGAAATTAACAAATGAGTTAATTTCCATTTCAAATATGAGTGCAAAGTTTCCATGCTATGCCTACTTAATTAGAAGATGATTTTTACAGATTGAGAATTTGGGAGAAGTTGTTGATCATATCACTAGTTTTTCGATAAATGTAAGTGGTATAAAAACTTTACCCATCTTTGTTGTTGACAAAATTTTTGATTATCTTTCGTACAGGAATATTGCAAAGTTTTTGGAAAGGCTTTGTCCAAAATGTAATGTACTATTAAAGTGGTGTCTCTTCATTCTAAAATTGAACTGATTATTGTATAATATGTTATTTCTTGTATAATACTTTTTTCATTGTATAATGTTTTTTTTTGTAATATGTTTTTTATTGTATATTTATTAAAATGTAAATAGTGTAAATATTGTAAGTATGTAAATAGTAAGTGTATATAGAAATTGTAAATGTATGTATATGAAATTAAAATTTATCGTAAGGGACATTTAAAAAATTGAATTGTTTTTTTTATTAATTTTTTATTTTTCTTCAAATTTAGCGACTTAATACATATGAAAACTCTGGAAATAATGATAATATTTAAACAAGTGTAAAGGTTTTATTTTCCAAATAGCACTTCATTACTTTCATTCCTGTAGTACAATGGTCTTGTCCCTCTGAAATTGTAATGAAAAAAAATATATTAAAATTAATTTGGTGTTTTTTTTTATTTTATCGAAATTTTTTTAAATTATTCAAAAATTTCACATTTTACTTACTCAGTCCTTTGCATTTAGTGAGAACTTGATCAACTTTTTCCTTGGGAATAGTTGATGGAATTTTGGAACGTGCAACTTCTTCATCAATTGTTCCATCCGGAGTCATCTAAAGGTGAGTTAATTTTATTTAATCATATCAAATATATAAAAAGTCAAATAATTCCCAAACAATTACTATTTTTAGAAAAAAAAAATTCTTACAATTCCAAACTTTTTCAATAAACAGGAATAAAAGCAAGCCAATTTATTATCGTTTTCATCAATTTTTCCTTCTCTAGCATTTTTTACAGCATCTGTAAAAATAATAAAATAAATATAAAAGAAATAAGCAAACTAAATTTTTTTAAAAATTATTTGTTACTATTTTTATATTTTTTATTCTGATCAATGATATTAGGTACTAATGAATATTATTATTTGTAAATATAAAAATAAATTATTGTAATCACAAAAATAAAAAAAATTAAATTAAATATTTTTTGTTCCTTACCAGGACTGACTCCAGATTCAGTAATACAAAGTGTCTTGTATTGCTCGTGGTCCTCCTTGAAATCGGCCTTTATAAATAAATTGATTTTATTAATTTTTTAAATACTTTTTCATATGAAATGTATATTAATTTATAAATAGTTATTTAAAATTAAGTTACAATTATAAAATTGTTTAATATTAAAATAGTTCAAGAATGACGGTTTATGAATAATAATTATATGCACTAAAAATAAATTTATTTAATTTAAAAAATCCGTTACTTGACTATTAGTAAATAAATATTTACTTGAATCAAATAATTTTTATTTGAATTAAATAAATTGTATTTGAATCCATAATTTCTGTATTTGAAAAAATACAATTTTATTGGGTTAAATAATATAATTATTTAATACAAATAAATATTTGTTTAGTTATTACATATAAATAATTATTTACTTAATACAAATAAATATTTATTTGATAATCAAGTAAATGATTATTTAAATCAAGTAAATTTTTTTTAGTGTAAATAATTCCAAATTAATTATATTCATATTTAAAAATATGAAATTAAAAAATTTCAGACTTGTTATTTACAAAATTATTGATTTTTTTTATCACGTTTTAGGAGTTTATATTATGTATAAAAATATATAATAATTTTCTCATGAAATTCTTTTATGTAAAGACCAATTAATTTGTATTTGTAATTATAATTAAGAAACGTAATACTAATTAATTTCATTGTACAAAAGTTGTATAACTTGTTAAATGATAATTTATTTCTGAATACTGTATGTGAATAAGATAACAGAAAGTAATATTATAAAACTAAATCAGAAAAAGAAGGATAAGCAAAAAAATTGATAATCTAATTTATTTTATATAAATAAATTAATTAATTAATTAAATTAGAATTAAATTCAACAATATATCAATAAATATAATTTTGAAATTTATTTAATTTAATAAAAATAATTAGTGGCTTTTCAAACTTTTTTACTTTTTCAAATAATTTTTTAATAATTTGTCAAGGTTTAAAAATTTTGATTTTTGAATATATTTTGCGTTAACATAACTCTCTTTGAAAATTTAAATCGACTTTATATATCTATATATATATATATATTATTTGGAATTATAATTTATTTAATTTAGAATTTTTTAAATTTTGATTTACAACTAATTTTTTTATTAATTTTAAGAAATACTTACATAACGTTAAAATTAAATTACTTTTCTAATAAATGATATTTAAATGATGAAATTTACAAGAATAAAGAATACATAAAAAAAATTTATTTGATTCAAATAATCCGTTGCTTATTATGAAATAAATATTTACTTGAACCAAATAATTGTTTTTTATTTAAATAAACTGAATTTGAACCAATAATTTCTGTTTTTGAAACAAATGACATTTAATTGATTAAAAAAAAAAATTATTTGATTCAAGTGAATATTTATTTGATAATAATCAAGTAACCAACTATTTGAATGAAATAAATTTTTTTTCAGTGTAACAATAATAATAATAAATAATAATAATAATAAAATTTGTAATAATTAAAATTTTTTTTAAATAAAAAATTATAATAAAAAAAAATTTGTAATAAATGATTGAAAATTTGTATTCTTACTAAAGCAGCAACGAAGCAAAGTGCAAGGATGGCAAAAATGGCTTTCATGTTGAATATTTTGTATATTTTTGTTGCGAGTTAAAACTTGAATTGCCAAAATGTGACTCGATTATGAACGTGGTTCACTTTTATATATATACGTCCAGAACTACACTATATAGTTAATATTTGTAAAAATTTTTGCTTCTTCTTTCTTCTAGTTGATGACCATGAAACGGCTGCAAGGTAATAAATACTTTGTTAATCGTGACACTTGGAAGAACAGTTTTTTAAGGAGATGCAATTTAAACTCGAAATGAATAATTTCGTATTAAAATAAAATATCATTTTTAAAGTTCAAAACTTGTTATAAAGTTTCATAAAATAATAAATTTTATTTTTATTTTATTACAAAAAAATATATCACAAAAAAGTAAATATAATTTTAATGGTATAACAATAGTTTAACTTTTATATTAAAAAAATAATAATAAATAATTGCAATTAAAAAAAAATTGTTCATGAAGAAAAATTCATTTTTATTTTAAAGAAAATTTTGGAAAAAAAATTAATAAATAATTGTTCAAACAAAAAAGAAATTATTAAAAATCTATAAAAAAAAGACGGCGAAAAGAGATTAAAAAATTTTTGGTAATTTTTTGCTTTCGAAAAAATATTGAAAGAAACTTATATCAACTTTAAATTATTATTTAAATATTATTATTAATTATATTTATTTCTATTGAAAATATAAATTGTTTTTAATTTCATAAATTATACCTAATATTTTTTTGTAATAACATTTTATATTTACACCCAGAGAGAAAAATGATATATTTGTCTCAGAGCCAAATAAATATTTATTTGATTTAAAAAAATTTATATTTGTTTTAAAAAAATTTATATTTGATTTAAATAAATTTTTATTTAATTTAAATAAAAAAATGTTATTTATGCCAAATAAATAGGCTAGTATGCTGTGAGACAAATATTACGTTTATTTAACTCAAATATATTATATTTAGTTCAAATAAAACATTTCTTTGGATGTAAATAAATACTTGAATATTATTTATTATTTATACATGTAATAATTAATTATTAATTAATTAATAATTATTTTAATAATAGGATAATTAAAAAAAATGAATAAAAAAAAGTAATAAAATAATAAATAAAATAAAGAATAAAAAAAAATATTCAATAAATATTATTGAAATTTAAAATAAATAAAAAAAATAGGAAATATGTTATAAAAATTTGTTGTTTTTAAAGGTGAGAATGAATACAACATAATTATTATTTACACACAAATGAAATTGCTTTTTTTTTTATTAATTCTACACAGAATTTCATTTTTTTTATTACTTTGAAGTCGATAAATCTTTTATAAATTAAACAAATACATATAGAACAAAAAAATAAACAATTTTCAAAATCAAAAAAATAAATATAAAAATTTATAACAGGAAAAATTTCCCATCACAATTTTTTTTTGTTTGGTAACAAATTAGAAATATAAATATAATGTAAATAAATATAAGTGAATAATGTCTTACAATGAAATTTTTCAATTTGATGGAAAAAATAGCACGAACACAACAATTAAATATCAGACACAGAACATATGAAAAATGTAAATACAGTCTAATTTTTTTTTTTTTTTTTTGGAAGAAAATTTGACATGAACACAATCAATTTTTCAATATTTTAAATGAATCATATATTATAATAATTTGTTTTGTAAATTAATTTTAAATATTTTCTGAAAATTAATTTTGTAAATTAATTAATTTTGTAAATTAATTACTTTTTGAAATTAAATTTCAATTAATTAATTTTATTTTTTGAATTTCTGTGCAGCTTTGACAATTTTTTTCCCCATTGATTTTCTGATGCTTGATGATGTCACATTAAATTTAATAACTTGTCTCTTTGCTGTCGATGATGATGATGATGATGATGATTTCGTCACTTTTTGAGATTTTTTTTTCGATGATAATTTTTCAGTAGTCGATTTTTTTTTCAATGATTCCTTTTTCTTTTTGATTGATTTCTCCTTTTTATCATCAGCTATTTGTTTTTTATTATTTTCATCTATTTCACGGGTGATTGTTGGTTTTTTCTTAATTTTTGAAATCATTGATTTTTTCACTGTTATTTCATTGGATATTGATTGTAAATTTTCTTGTTGTAAATTTTTCTTTTCTTCCTTTTTCAATTTGATTTTTTCTTCTTTTTTCAAATTTTCTTTCATGTCCTTGGTGAATTTAAATTTTCCATTAGCACCTAAGCCACTGGTTTGAATTAAAATACCATCGCGAAGATGATCTTTCACGCATTTTGTGATTCTTGTTTTTAAATTATTATTGGAATTAACGTCCACTTCAAAATTGTCAGTTATATATTTTTTGATCATATACAATGATGTTCCTTGTCTATCGTTGAGATCAAAAATTGCTTTTTCAACCATTTTTGCTGTTGGTGGATGTTTAATTGTTGAAGCAGCCATATTTTTACACACATATAAACTTTTTTTGAATTATAGTTTCATAAATATAGATATATTAATTATAATATTTATTTATTGACAAAAAAAATGTTATTTGAGAATTTTGAAAAAAAAAAATTAATAATTTTTCGTTTCTGATGAATTTAAAATTAATGATATTCACTTGTTGAAATCTTACGAGTGACTAATATTGATATTTAAACCAGACAATGAAGGGACAATTTGTAAACATGAAGACAAAATACATAATAGTTACAGTTTCTTTTATAAAATTATATTATAGCAAGTACAATTTTAAGTTATTTTCATTTTTCAATATAATTGGAGAAAATTCAAAGATATTATTTTTAGCGTTAAATTATTATTATTTTATATAAAATTTTAAATACAAAAAGATTTTAAATTATTTTTAATATAATTTTAATTTAATTAATTAATTTAATTTAATTTTTTTTTAAATTTTAGATATAAAAAATATTAAACGTATTTTATTATTATTAGATGTGGAAAAATAATTTTATTCACCAAATAATAATAATAATAATAATTATTATTACTATTATTGATTATAGAAAAAATATTATAATAGTATTCTAATAATTAAATAATAATAATAAATAAATATTATATAAATAAAACACCATTTAAAAAAAGGATTTCGTTGTTATTTAATATTTATCATCATCGTAAAAAAAAGAATTACCTATTCAAATTTAAATATAGAAAAAATTATTTTTTTTTAAAAAAAAGGAAACTAAAATAATAAATTTAGAAGATAAAAATTGCTTAATAGATATAAAAACTCTGCGGTTTTTTTTTCTTCGTGAAAATAATTGGTCAGATTAACTATATATATTATTCATACATTAAACTGGTTTTCGTAGAACGAAATATTTTTTTTTATTTTTATATAAAATGTTCTGTATATATTTTTTATATACGAAAATATTTTGAATTTTTTTGAAAAATACTGTTAATAAATGAAAAAATACAAAAATTAATATAGTTTAAATTTCCATTTTTAGAAAATTTCAAAATAATATTTAAAAGAAAAAAAAAATATTTTTTATTCAAAATAATATTTTTTTGTAAAAAATTTTTTTTTCTCAATAATTTCTATATTTAGCTGACAATGTAATTATACGTACATTGATAATTAACTATGTAAGCTGTATGTAATTTAAAATTCATTTATCATTTTAATTTTTTTTTTATATTTTTTTAAAATAACTGAACAATAATTGAAAATCACACAAGAGTTTTATTTTTTTTCCACTCCATACGATAATAATTTAACTTTGAATAATGTGACATTTGTAATATTATTTCAAAAATCTATTCTCAAATTTTATTTTAATTTTAAATTTCAAAATTTTCAATACAATGAAATAAATAGAAAATATTTTATTTTTCTTATAATGCTATTAATGCTAATTATTTTTTAATTTAATATAATTTAATAATATTTAACATATATATGTTTTTAAAAGTATATTGCGTTAAAAAAAAATATTTATTTGCATACAGTAGTGTAAGACTGGAAGATCTTACTCAGAGGTTTTCTTTCTATTTTTCCCTTTTTGTAAAAAAAAAAATTCAAAACAAATTTTTTAAAAATATTTTTTGCAGTATTTTTTAAATCAAATTTTTTATTGTTAAAATCATACTTACTAAATTTTTTTTCTTAATTATTTTAATTTTCTTTAATTTTTTTTATATTTCTTTTTTTTATTTTTCTTTTACGAAACTGACATTAAATTCACGTTCAGTAACATCGAAGAAAAACGATAATACAGTTTTTTTTAACAAATCTGATGAATTTTTAATAATTCTTCTGCCATATTGGATTTATTATTTTATATTTTGAAAATCTGATATTAGATTTGTAATCAGCGACCCCAAAAACCCCCGGGTAACAAGTTTCAAATAAATTGAATCAATTTTTTAACAAATGCCCACCATATTGGATCCGCCATTTTGAATTTAGAAAAAATAACATTAAATTCGTAATCAGTGACCTTAAAAACCCATGAGTAACAAGTTTCGAGCGAATATGATCATTTTTAAAAAATTTTCCGCCATATTAGATCAGCCATTTTGAATTTGGGAAAACAGACAACGAATTTGTAATCAGCGACCCCAAAAACCCCCGTATAACATTTTCAAATAAATTCTATCAATTTTTTTTAATGTCCGCCATATTGGATCCGCCATTTTGAATTTTGACAAACTAACATTAAATTCGCAATCAGTGACCTTGAAAACCCCGGAGTAACAAGTTTCAAGCGAATTTGATCATTTTTAAAGAATTCTTCCGCCATATTGGATCCACCATTTTGAATTTTGCAAATCCGACCTCAAATTCGTAATCAGCGACCCCGAAAACCTCCCGAGTAACGAGTTTCAAGCCAAATTGATCACTTTTCAAAAAATCGTCCGCCATATTGGATCCGACATTTTGAAAATTTTAACTTTGATTCCATAATCGTTATCAGCTACTTTGAAAAAGTTAATACTTTTATTTCGCTATATTGGAACAGCCGTTTTGAATTTTTCAAATTTGACTTTAGATTCTTCTTCAGTGACCCCAAAAATCCTCGCGTTTACAAGAATTAAAAAAATTTTTTAGTTAAAGATTAAAAAATAATTAATTTTTTTTTTAGTTAAAATTAATAAATTTTTGAAAATATTTAAAATTTTATCAGTAGTCCACTTTTAATATTTAAAATCTTAATACCGAAAATTTATGTAAAAACAAAAGTGCAATACGTACATTGCTCAAAAAAAAAAATTGTTTCCTTATTTAACAATTTCAGATGTCCATATGTCGTGTTATTGTTTTTTTTTTCATCATATTGTCAAAAATTTAATTTGTTTATACAAAAAAAAAAAACACACACACAAAAAAAATTTCTGCTATCTATTAAAATTTATTCAGGACGCGAGCTTTGAACGTAAATTTCCATGAATTTCTAATTACATAATATATGTATGTAAAAGGTCGACCTCTGCAAATAAATTTTCATATATAAACTTTGCGATTAAATAAATTGCAAACATTTCCACGAACATATATACTGATTAGCTTGAAATATATAGTATTATTATTATTATTATTATTATTATTATTATTATTATTATAATTAACCATATGTGCTTACAAAATTAATAAATAAATATATACGATAAGCTTTAAATTCATTTTGAGATTTAAAATTAATCAGTGATAGTTTTTCTCTTCAATGAGAATGTTGAAGCAAATTTGTAATTTTTTTATTGTCACCACTTTTTTGATCAATGGAATTATCTCCTTTCCATCAGTTGTTGAAGAATCTGTAAGTTTTTTCTGTACTTTTTAATTAATAACTTTTTGCAAATATAATTATAATCAGTTCCAAAAATTGTTTCTACTCCTAAATTCCTAAAAGCATATATGTTTGTGATTTTTTATAGATAAATTCAAATGTGGAAAATAATATAAGAGAACATGATGAAAATATAAAAGAAAATAAATCAAAACATTCAATTGAGGAAATTCAAAATGCCGTATATTTTCCCCCATCAAATGGAAATCTCATGCATCATATAACAGTGAGAATAAAAAATGATGTGAATAATACAAAAAATTGTGCAATTAAAGTATGGCGTGAAAATTCAACAGATTCACCAATAACAATTGAATGTGATGAGGAATTAAGAGAAAAAAGAAATGTATCACCAAATCCAAATTCACCAACAAAATTAAATACAAATGATGATGATGTGAAAAAATTTGCAACAATTGGAGTGGAAAAATATGCACACACAATGGTGAATTCAAGTGCCTCGTCATTAGAGGAAATTATCGATGCCTATAGTTATCCATCAGGACATAGTCTTTATTATAAGATAAAAATACAAATGAACAATTGCAATGGAAAAGAAATTGATAGTTGTAGAAAAATGAAATGTATTGTTTATGTTTGGAGGGAGAGAATACTTGATCATCCTGTGAGTATTGAGTGTGATCCAATTGTGTATCGAAGAAAAAGGATAATTAATCCCTTAGTGCGGGAATACAACGAAATTAATAATTTATTTAGCAGAAGAATGAAACGAGAACAGGATTTAAATATAGATGATCCGGAGATAAGGAAATATGTCGATATAGCAGTGGAAGGACACGAATCACCGGTACCAAATGCCAAAGACAAAATAAGTATTCTGTTGCAATTTAAAGAAGCAACATCCTATCCACATGGGGATAAATTACGTTACAAAATAAAATTGAGAATTGGTAATAATAATTGCACGAAGGGAAGTGATGATGGTAATTGTAGTTACGATTCTCAATTTGGACACGATGATTGTGAAATTAATGTCTATAGAGAGGACAACAAGGAGAGGGTTGAAACCCAATGCTCCAGAATTGGTAGAAGGAAACGTCAAGTTAGCAATTTACCATCGGTTAATTTGAGTATGGATGATCCGGATATTAGGAAATACATTGACGAGGTACTGAAGAATCATGTCTCGTCAGTGGATAAAGCGGAAGTTAAAAAATTAATTCTTCGAACATTCGAAGAAGCACTATCCCAACCTTCCGCAATTAAAATCCGTTATGAAATAAAATTAACATTGGGAACTTCTAATGGTAGCAAGGAAACTGATTGCATTTACGATTCTGAAATTGGAAATGAAATTAATGATCCGGAACCTCTAACAGAAAAGCTGTGTTCAAAAATTCTTAGAAGGAAACGTAAAGTTAACAATTCATCAACTAATTTGAATATGGATGATCCGGAGATAAAGAAATATGTCGATATAGCAGTGGAAGGACACGAATCACCGGTACCAAAAGCCAAATACAAATCAAGTATTCTGTTGCAATTCAAAGAAGCAACGTTATATCCACCTGGTGATAAATTACGTTACAAAATAAAAATGAGAATTGGCAATAATAATTGCACGAAGGGAAGTTCTACTAGTAATTGTATTTACGATCCTCAGTTTGGACATGATGATTGTGAAATTAATGTCTATAGAGATGATTACAAGGAGTGGGTTGAAACCCAATGCTCCAGAATTGGTAGAAGGAAACGCAATTTACCATCGGTTAATTTAAATATGGATGATCCGGAGATAAGGAAATATATCGATATGGTAGTGGATAAACATGTTTCACCGGTAGCTAGTGCCAAAGATAAAACAAGTATTCTTCATGAATTTAGAGGAGCTAAATCTTATCCCCCTTCTGATAAGATTCAGTATAAGATAAATTTGAGAATTGGAAGTAGCAATTGTACAAAAGGAACTAATGATCATAATTGTCAGTATAATGATGAGTTTGGTTATAGTGATTGTGAAATTGATGTATTTAGGGAAACAAATATGGGACCTGCTGTAACAACATTGTGCTCGAGAATTGATTGAAAGAAAAGAGAAGCTCCAGTTGAAGATTCATCATTAGTTATAGTATTTATGGATAAATTTGAGATTAAGAAATTCCGCTTAAAGAAATTTAGAACATGGAAAAATTATTTTTTTGAAAATCTACTGCTGTAATATGTTTTGTAAAAATACTGAAGAAATATATTTGGAATACTTTTTAATTATCTTTTTTTTTACTTTTAACGAAATAATTGTAATTTACTTCCATCATGGCCTAATTGACGTGAATTCTAATGAGCTTTTAACGTCTTTATGATAAAATTTATCTTAGCTTTTAAATTGATGGACTAAATAGGTTTTCCATATGTAAAACTATTGGACTAATTTAGATTGAATCTGCTTAATTGTTAATAAATCAATTAATTTTTTTTTGATCCCACATTTTGTATTTTAAAAATCTGATATCAAATTGATAATCATCGAAACCCGAAAAATCCTGAGGAACAATTTTAAACTTTTTATAAATAAATTTTTTAAAAATTCGATGAATTATGATAGTTGCCATATTGGGTCACTGAATTGCAGAATAATTGTACTGTAGATCCATTATAGTAAATTGTTATAAACAAATAATATGTAAACAAATTGTTAATTTAGACGTCAGATAGTTGTCAAAAATTCAAAATGGCGAATCCAAAATGGCGGACTTTAAAAAATTTTATTGGATTTGATAGGTTTTTATTACTCAGGGGTTTTTGGGGTCGCTGATTACAAATTCGACGTTAGTTTTCTAAAATTCAAAATGGAGGACCCAATATGGCGGTCATTTTTTAAAAAATTCATCAACTTTTATTGAAACTTGTTACTCGGGGGGTTTTCGGGGTCGCTGATTACGAATTTGAGGTCAGATTTGCAAAATTCAAAATGGTGGATCCAATATGGCGGAAGAATTTTTTAAAAATGATTACATTCCCTTGAAACTTGTTACTGGGGGGTTTTCAATGTCACTGATTACGAATTTGTTATCAGATTTTTGAAATACAAAATGTTGGATCCAATATGGCGGAAATTTTTTTAAAAATTGATAAAATTTATTTGAAACTTGTTACTCTATGGGGGTTTTTTGGGGTTGCTGATCACAAATTTAATGTCAATTTTTTCAAATTCATATTATTATAGACACTATATTAAAAAAAAAAAAACTATTATTGTTAAAATTGTCTTGATAATAATTTATAGTATAATCATATTTTCAAGACATTACATTATAATTTATTACATCTGTTCTATAAGTATAGCTGAATTTGATAAAAAAAATTTTTTTTAATGACTGATTATATGTTTAATGTTTACTAATAATAAAATAGCGGAAGTTTATAATGTACAGTATAATAATTTCTCATATATTTTTCAAAATATTTTACATATATGCGTAATGTATTTTATATTATTTTTATCATACTGTCTATTACGAAAATATATATAAAGATTTTTTTTTTAAACATTTTCATCGTAAACAATTTTTTTTTTAATTCAGAAGTTGTTAATAATTCTACTTAAAATGAATGTTTTACTTTTTTATTAAAAAAAACAACAAGAATAACAAGAACAACAACAATAATAATAATATGATAATAACAATAACAATAACAATAACAATAACAATAACAATAACAATAACAATAACAATAATAATAAAATAATAATAATAATAATAATAATAATATAAAAAAATGCAAAATCAGTTAAGTTTTTGAAAAAGAACTTCTTTTCATAATAAATTCAGTAATACAATAACTCAAGTGAAAAATATTGTTCGCGCATACAGATAGATAACTGCAATTACTATATATGACAGATGTATGAACTTCAATTGTATAGTTTGTAATGATAGTTAGAAATCGGCCGGTAAATATTTGTACTAAATATTATCGCGCGTCGATAAACAAGTTACCGACCGCAGAGCTTAAAGACGTAGTACCCGATTTCGCCGCGCGGGCCGCATCGCCAAAGCTCACTCGCGTGCGCTCAGCCCACCCAGCGGCTATATAAGCTGCGCTCTCGGCGAGGACCGTCACTCTCGTGCTACACGGAGTCCGGGTGGGTCTTACCCACCTGACTAGGAGTTTTACTCCGAGAATCTTTGTGGAGAGTTTTACTCTCGTTCGTCGGGTTTTACCTGTCGAACATATATCGGTTTTAATGTATATAGTGTATAGTAACGATTTGTAATATAACGTAACAAAATGTATAGTAAAATAATGAAATGTATAGGAAAATAATGAAATGTATAGTAACGTAAATTTGAATCTCGAAGTTTTAAGTAGATCTTTTGTTTTATTACCGTTTTAATCTCCGTTCTTAGATATACTCAGAGTGTTACTCTTTGTATAATGGAACACGAGTTTTACTCGTGGTTCACCGGTGTATCGCGAATTTTTAGGCAGTAAAGTAACTGATTTATGGCTCATCATAGCGAGTTGAAGCCGATTTTGTTAATGCGCGGCTCAAATATACGACGTTCCCGATTGATGCCGATTTTCGATTTCCGCGGCTCAACATTTATTTTGATAGACGCCGAAAAATCGTTACTCGAAACCGACTTTCGCGATTTACTTTAATCTTCGTACAACTTGGACATTGTAAATACCTTTGTAAATAAATAATTTGTTATCAGTTTGTAATTAACCAGTTATTATTGTCATTGCTTTTTTGGAATCAAAACGAACCCTGGCTCGGCGAGCTAAAACATTGATTCTTTAAATTACAAACGTTACAGATTTTGGCGCCCGAACAGGGACAGTTAGTCAAAAAACGATCGTAGTAATTTCATTTTTACCGATGTATCGCGTTTTCTTTCGATTAATTGTCACCTCCGTTTATCCGATCGCGTTTTAGAAATGTTTCCTCGTACCTTTAATGTTAAATTCATTTGAAATTGTTACAACCGTTAATTTAAAAATTGTAAATTCCATAGTATATTAGCATATCGTAATATTAACGTCATTTTTCGCTTTTGATTTATTGTATCCGTGTAACGTCTATGTAAATTTGTAAACCGGTCGACTATCCGAGAAATTGTCACGCGCACCGTAATATACGTTTTTCGTTTTCATACATTCATGTAAATAGACCCCGTTATATAATTTTTTTTGTTACGATAGAAATTTCGTTAACCCATACCGTCGATTCTAAGATAGCCTTCTTGTTACTCGAGAAATGCAATGTAGTGCATAAGGAGAACTATGCGTGCATCTTAGAATGATCAGTTCCGTATCCTGTGATAACCCGTGTGTCTAAACTCGAAATAATCGAACACATACCGAACGAGTCTATCAAATTGGCTATCAGAAGTGCTTGAAATAATTAGTACATCCCGGGTGCCATAGTGCACCACCGAAGTTGTTTGCACGTTACGAAAAAGGAATGTCTGGTCGTCGTTACAGACATTTCCTTTAACACGTCTTCAACGTTTTGTTTCGTTTCGTTTCATGAAGCCTAAACATACATCTGAGTTTGTTGAATTGTATCAAGAAACATTTGGTCCTAGTTCTGACCATTTTGTTAAGAAACTTGCAACATTCCGTTTGAATTACATACTCACTGACATTGTTCGTCGCTCATGAAATGGAAACCCTGTCGCCGTCAAGAAAATTCCATAAGTACGTCGTCTTATGTAATTATCACCGTTTTTATTTGTAAATATATAGTCCACAGTAACCGTTTAACCGAATGAACAACACTAGTTCATTATCTGTCTTTTCTTAGTATCGTCGTATCGTTCGAAAGTTTTGTACATAATTCGTTTAGTTGTAAATAAGTACCGTCGTTGTAAATCGTAAAAAGAAAAAAACGAAGAAGAATCCAGAGAAGCTACATCCAGTCCAGTCAGTTCCAGTTCAACCAAGATGTCATGAATACCGTTTTATATCGTATGTCTAAACTTTGTTTTGTAACGTATTTTCTGCCATTATTTTGTATTGTATCTTGTAAGTAAAATCGGACGAGTGTATGAAGAAAACTACACCGAAAGTTTTCTTCCTTTAAAGAAAGGGGGGTGTAATGATAGTTAGAAATCGGCCGGTAAATATTTGTACTAAATATTATCGCGCGTCGATAAACAAGTTACCGACCGCAGAGCTTAAAGACGTAGTACCCGATTTCGCCGCGCGGGCCGCATCGCCAAAGCTCACTCGCGTGCGCTCAGCCCACCCAGCGGCTATATAAGCTGCGCTCTCGGCGAGGACCGTCACTCTCGTGCTACACGGAGTCCGGGTGGGTCTTACCCACCTGACTAGGAGTTTTACTCCGAGAATCTTTGTGGAGAGTTTTACTCTCGTTCGTCGGGTTTTACCTGTCGAACATATATCGGTTTTAATGTATATAGTGTATAGTAACGATTTGTAATATAACGTAACAAAATGTATAGTAAAATAATGAAATGTATAGGAAAATAATGAAAGGTATAGTAACGTAAATTTGAATCTCGAAGTTTTAAGTAGATCTTTTGTTTTATTACCGTTTTAATCTCCGTTCTTAGATATACTCAGAGTGTTACTCTTTGTATAATGGAACACGAGTTTTACTCGTGGTTCACCGGTGTATCGCGAATTTTTAGGCAGTAAAGTAACTGATTTATGGCTCATCATAGCGAGTTGAAGCCGATTTTGTTAATGCGCGGCTCAAATATACGACGTTCCCGATTGATGCCGATTTTCGATTTCCGCGGCTCAACATTTATTTTGATAGACGCCGAAAAATCGTTACTCGAAACCGACTTTCGCGATTTACTTTAATCTTCGTACAACTTGGACATTGTAAATACCTTTGTAAATAAATAATTTGTTATCAGTTTGTAATTAACCAGTTATTATTGTCATTGCTTTTTTGGAATCAAAACGAACCCTGGCTCGGCGAGCTAAAACATTGATTCTTTAAATTACAAACGTTACAAGTTACATAAGTAGTTTTCATGAAGTAATTAGTTTAAACCGGTTTACTTGGAGCATATTGGAGTTTTCATAATAATTATTATTAGAATTTTGTCGAAACAAAATTTTTTTTTTTTTAATCATTCATTGAATTAATTTAACGGTATATACATTTGAATATAATTGAAATTTTTTTTATATTTATTAATAAAAGTAGAAGGAAAATAAAATTATTTTTTCATTATTAATTATTATAACAGTTTAGAAAAAAAAAATTTTTTTTTCTTCATAAAATAACTACTTCTTTTATTCAACTCTAATTAGCTTTTTGATTAATGGATAATTGACATAATTGCGACTTGTAAAGGTAATGTTTTTTTATTAATATATATTATTATCATTATTTTCCTTACTATAATTATTATTGTGGTGGTCGCGGTTTTTCTTTGCTATATTGAATTCAAATACTCCGTGCACTTATTATTATTTTTAATATTATTACTATTATTAATTTTCTTCTTCTTATTATTATTATTATTATACTATTATTTTTAAATAAATTATTATTATTATAAACAATTATTTAAAATACGACCGAGTGATAAATTCTAAATTTATTATTATTATTATTATATAATAATTATTATATTACCATTATTATTATGTTTTTAGTAAAATTACAAAAATATTTCCCTTTATTTAGAAAATTGAACATTTTTCATAATTAATAAAAATAATTTCATAACATATTGTTAAAAATAATCTAAAAGTTGATAAATTTTCAATTTTAAGTATTAATAAATAATTAAAAGAAAAAAAATACATATATGACAATAATTATAATTTAATATTAATTAAAATTTTTTACATTATAGTTGCATTATTGTTCTTTATCTACATATAGTCACTTTTTTTCAAAAAGATTAAATCGATTGTAGGAAAAAAAAAATTACAAGAGTAGATTATTAAACGAAAAATCCGATAAGATGTATTATAACATAAATATGTATAATAATTTATTCATAAAAAATCGTTTTTAATGAGATTTTTTTTTTTTTATATTACAAGTACAACTTAATTGTCAATATATATATATATATATATATATATATATATATATATATATATATATATATATATATATATATATATATATATGTATGTGTGAGTGTGCAATAATAAATTGAATTAATTATGCAAGAAACTAGATTTTTTTGATATGTATATGTATACATTATTTTATAATTCTATCCTTGAGATTGTATATAGCATGAATTGTATATGGACTTTAAAAGGAGTTTTGGATTACGGAAAAATTACAGTTTTCAATTTCTCACAGTGATGGTAACAATGACGGGCGTGCAAAATAATAATTGTCTTTTTATCACTGTTTTTTGCAGTGTTTTAATTGTCAATGCTTTCATTGAGCCAATTCATGGAAAGACAGTAAGTTACAATTTTTTTTTAATTTTTTCTTTTCGAATTTATTTTATTTTTTTTTTTAAATTTAATTTAATAAATTGTTAAAATTTTAAAAATAATTAATAAATTTTAGTCATAATTGTAAATTTTTAATTTCATTTTGTTTAACTTTTTTTTTTGTCAAAAATAGTAAAAAAATTTTTTTTAATGATACAAATTTTTTTATGCAATTCTGTTTTTTTTTTGTTTTGAAGTAATAAATAAAAAATAAAAGTATAGAATAGTTTTGCGAATTTACGGAATATTTATATAAGTTATTGTTATAAATATATTTTTTGCATGAATTTACAAAATTACTTTTTTATCGATTAATAACTAATAAAAATTAATAGTAATAATAAATAATAATAATGATAAATAAAAATAATAATAATAATTAAAAAAAAATTAGTAATAAATTCCGAAAATTAATAATGGCTGATACAATATAGTGGATTTTTTAAATCAATTCTTTGCTTACAACTTGATACCATAGGGGTTTTTTTTTGACTTACTGATCATAAATTTAATGTCAGATTTGTAATCAGTGATCTTGAAAACCCCCGAGTAACAAGTTTCAAACGAATCTGATCATTTTAAAAAAATTCTTCCGCCATATTGGATTTGCCATTTTGAATTTTGGGAAACTAACATCAAATTTGTGATCAGCGACCCCAAAAACCCCCTAAGTAACAAAGTTCAATTAAATTTTATCAATTTAAAAAAAATGTCCTTCATATTGGATCCACCATTTTGGATTTTGAAAAACTATCGTCAAATTGATGTTCAGCGACCTCAAAAACCCCTGAATAACGAGTTTCAAACGAAAGTGATCATTATTCAAAAACATTTTCGTCATATTGTATCCGATATTTTGAATTTTGAAAAACTGACATCAAATTCGTAATTAGCAACCCCAAAAACCCCTTAGTAATAAGTTTCAAATAAATATGATCAATTCTTTAAAAAATGAACGCCATATTAGATCCGCCATGTTGAATTTTGAAAAATTGACGTCGAATTAGTGATCAGCGACCTTAAAAACCCCCAGTGGAACAAGTTTAAATTAAAATCATTGAAATTTTTATCTAAATTAATAATTTCTTTACACAATTTGTTTATAACAATTAACTAATGTATTCATAGTACAATTTTGCAATTTAAAAGTTTCAATATAGCGAAAATTTTTTCTAATTCATCAAAATCGCTTGAAATTCATTACTCCAGAGTTTTTTTGGTTTGCTGATAACAAATTCGACGTCAATTTTTCAAAATTCAAAATGGCGGATCCAATATGTGGTACATTTTTTTAAAAAAATTGATAAAATTTATTTTAAACTTATTACTTGTGGGTTTTTGAGGTCGCTGATTACGAATTTGAAGGTAGATTTTCAAAATACAAAATCGCGGCTCCAATATGGCGGAAAATTTTTTAAAAATGGATAAAATTTATTCGATACTTGTTACTATGGGGTTTTTTTTGGGTTGCTGATTACAAATTCGGTGTTAATTTCCCAAAATTCAAAATGGCGGATCCAATATGACGGAAGAATTTTTTAAAAATGATCAGATTCGCTTGAAACTTGTTACTCGCAGGTTTTTGGGGTCGCTTATTACGAATTTGATGTCAGATTTTCAGAATACAAAATGAAGAATTTAATATGGCAGGCATATTTTTAAAAAATTGATAAAATTTATTTGAAACTTGTTACTCTAGGGTTTTTGGGGTCGCTGATTACAAATTCGACGTTAGTTTTCTAAAATTCAAAATGGCGGACCCGATATGGCTGTCACTTTTTTAAAAATTCATCAAATTTTATTGAAACTTGTTACTCGGGGGGTTTTCGGTGTCGCTGATTACGAATTTGAGGTCAGATTTGCAAAATTCAAAATGGTGGATCCAATATGGCGGTAATTTTTTTAAAAATTCATCAACTTTTATTGAAACTTGTTACTCGGGGGCTTTTTGGGATCGCTGATTACGAATTTGATGGCAGATTTTAAAAATACAAAATGACGGATCCAAAATTGCGGAAAATTTTTTAAAAAGTGATCAGTTTTGCTTAAAATTTATTACTCGGGGGTTTTTAAGGTCAGTGATTACAAATTTGACGTCAGTATTCCTAAATTCAAAATGGTGGATCCAATATGGAGGAAATTTTTTTTTTTTAATTATCAGATTCGTTTGAAACTTGTTACTTTGGGGTTTTCAAGGTTACTGGTTACGAATTTGATATCAGATTTTTCAAATACAAAATGGTGGATCCAATATGGCGGAAATTTTTTTTAAAAAATGATCAGATTCACTTGAAACTCGTTACTCGGGGGTTTTTGGAGTAGGTGATTACGAATTTAATGTTCAATTTGTAATTAACGGCACTAAAAACCTTCTTTAGTTAAGAAGTTTTCAGCGAATCTTTGATACTTTTGAAATTTTTTTTTTCTTAAATAATAATAATTTCCTAATTACTAAATTCTCTTATTTTTTAAGATTGTAAAGAGAGCATCAGATCCAGTTGTTGCAGATGCATCCTCAAAAGTCGACGTCAACGATGATAATGTAAAGAAATTTGCTCAACAAGGTGTTGAAAAATTAAATGAATCAGGAGATAAAGTGAAACTCGATAAAATTATTGATGCAACATTTTTCCCACCAGCTGGAAAATTAATGTATGAAATTAAAATGAATGTCAAGAGTGAAAAAAATATGGATATCGTAAAAATGTGCACTGTCAATGTTGAAAAAGGTAATCCTGATGTTTCAGTAAATGTTAATTGTGATGAAATCGAGGATATGCCAACAAAAGAGAAAGTTGATGATCCACAAGTAAAGAAATATGCACAAGAGGGTGTTGATAAATTAAATGAAAATTCTGAAAAAAAAGTTCATCTCAATGAAATTGTTGAAGCAACATTTTTCCCACCAGCTGGAAAATTGATGTATGAAATTAAAATAAAAGTTGAAAATAAAGAAAAGAAAGATGATATGAAAATTTGTACTGTTCATGTTGAAAGGGAAAGTGGTCCAAATGTTAAAATTCATGTTGAATGTGATTCAAAAAAAATGAAAAGATCCGTCGAAGAAATACCACAGGGATATATTGCTGATAAACCTGTTGGATTAGATGTGACGAAACCTGATATTGTAAATTATGTTAACGAAGGTTTAAAATTGTATGCTCAAAAACATCCAGATGACAAAGTTGATTTAGTCAAAATTGTTGAAGCTTTGTAAGTTATTTTTGAAAAAATTTTAAAATTATACATTTATTTCAATTAAAATTTTAAAAAAGAAAATTATTTTTTTTTATTTTTAGTCAAATTTTTCAATTTTTTTGTTTCGTTTAAAACAATTTTAATTTAACCGAAATTTTAGGCAAAATTCTCATTTATCAAAATTTTAAAATCTAATTTTTTAACTACGAGAATTTCCATTTTAATGAATCATTCATTTGTCCGAATTTTTATTTGACCGAAATTGCAAATGTCGGGAGAAACATAATCGACAGATAAGAATTTGGCGCGAATTTTAAAAATTGACTAATAACAATTTTTAATCGGTGTTTTTAAATTTTTTTTATCAAATTGAAATAAAATTTTTTTTTTATCTAATCTGAGATAAATAAAAATTCAGCTAAATAATAAATTTGATAAATATAAATTTAGGTTAAATAAAAATTTAATTAAAAATTCATTTTAATTTTTTTCAAACAAATTTTTGAAACGAAAATTTCAATTGATTTAATTAATTTTTTAATTTTTAGTTACACGCCAGTGAGTGTATTTTCTCATAGCATCAAAGTCCAATTTAGAAGAATGTTAAAGGATGGACAAAAAATTGAAGATTGCAAAGTTTTAGTTCCTGTGCATAATGGACCAGAACCAATGCAAGTTAAATGTGATAATTGAAATTTTTTTGTTTTCAAAAATCAATATTATAATTGTATAAAGAGAAAAGAAAATAAAATTTGTTTTTAAATTATATAATTATGAATGTTTTGAAAAATTGAAGAAAAATTGTAGGATAATGAAGATTAGGAATTTTTTTTCAAACTTTTTTTTATATGTTAATTATTTTCTAATTTTTCTTTAAAATTTTTGGAAAAAAAATAATTAAATTTTAAGTGATTTTGAAATAAAAATTTTTGTTAATTTTATTTGCTAATTTTTTTTAAATTATGAACGATTATTAAATTTCATAAAAATTTTAATTGAAAAATAGTAATAATAATAGAATAATACCTAATTGAATTTGTGAAGGATTTTATTAAAATTGTTAAAAATAATTAATTTAGTGAAGATTTTTAGTTAAAAATTTGTTAAATAATTGAAATAAAGAAAATCTGTATTGAATACTTTTGTTTAAAAATTTTGTTAAAGAATGTAAAAAAAAATTCGAAAAAGTCGTTTTTTATTTAAATAAGTCGAAAAAAGTCGGGAAAAGTCGAAAAAGTCGTATATAATCCGAGGCCTGTAATAGTAAAGGTTTCAAAATTTTTTTATTCAAATTGAATAAAATAAAATTTTACTAACCTGTTTGTAACTTTAATTTTCGGATTAACATTTGCTTTGGCATTCAAAAGAATTGGAACAATTTTTTCGTTATTTTTTGAAAAAACAGCGGCATGTAGTGGTGTTAAATAGGAGCCAATTACAAAATTTGGATTAATATTTTTTGAGATTAAAAATTTAACTATATTTACATGTCCATTAAACGCCGCGAAATAAAGGGCATAAAAACATTGTTCCTCTTTTGTTGAAAGTTTGGAAATATTGTTAAACATATTTTTCAGTTTTTTAATATTTCCTTTTTTTGCTGCCACAACAAAACCACTACAATAGGGTGGTTTCTCTTCCATTTTTCTCTATTAAAATAATTAAAATTATCATTCACAAAAAATAATTATCATACATTCTAAATTCTAATGATTATATAGGTTTCACAGTGATTAAACAAAACAAAAAAATTCGTAATAGTATAATGATTAATTTATTTAGACAAAAATGACTAATTCATTAGTTAATCTAATTTTTAGGTTATGTTACATGACTAAAAATTTAGTAGATTTATGTTTATCAAATATTTTAGTAATTTTTTTTCTTTACAAATAATTAGTTAAATTTGACTGTTAAATTAGTTGTTTTCTACTAAAAGTGACGAGAAACTATAGGGACCTAACGTGACAAAAAATTAATTTTCAGTTTTATATGCGAATCAGTAGTATTTAAATTGCTCTTTCATATACAAAAGTCAAAAATTGTATTTTTTTTAATTACTTTTTTTGTAATAATAAACAATCGTGGCTTTACATATATACATACCTGAAAAATTTCCGAACTCAAAAAGTCAAAAGCTCGATTAATTTCACCACGGTCTTAAAAAAAAACAGGTTTGTCAATTGTGGAAGAATTAAGGTACGTTTTACACTTTTTTTATTGTATCTCTTTTTTCTCTCGAGAAGTGACGTCAGAAACTGAAGGCAAAGATGCTAACGAAGTCACTAACTACGCTTGCGCTACTACAACTCTCTCATTGGTAGAAAAAAGCGCTTTTATTTAAAATGCCTTATTGTAAAATATTAAGAGAACGATAAAAAAATTGGAATTGTTAAATTTATTGTTTTTCATGTTTAATTATGTTTTCTTTATAAAAATTAATCTATTATTATTATTATTATTATTTGTCAATTTTAATTTAACAAATTTTTAATTATATTAAAAAAATTCCCTTAATATTAAATTAATGAAGTAGATACTTTAATTTAAAAGTTTATTTCTATAGAAAAAAAGTCATTTTAACAAAAAAGTAAAATTATTTCTACTAAGAATCTGAAAATAATTAATAAAAATTAATGTTTACAAAACAAATATAATTAAATATAAAACAATAAATTTAATCCTTATAATTTTTTTTATTGTTTTCTATCCAGTTAAGTTAAATTTGTCTTTAGCCTTTGAAAAAATTTTTTACAAAAATTAATTATTTGATACAAAAAAAAAAAAAAAAGATTAAAGATTTTTAGGTCTAGTAAATAATAATGTTTATTTGATTAAAATATACAATTATATAGACAACTGACAAGTAAATTTAATTTTGGATCAAATAAATATTACATAATTTTTTTCTTCAGTGTGTGATTATTCATAAATCATCTAATCGAATTAATAATTATATTAATTGATGTATCAATTATATTATAATTAAATATTATTATTCGCTGACGATGAACAATTTTTTATTGCGGGCAATCATAATTTATATACAATAATTTTAAGAAAAATTTTTATTTTTTATTCTTCTATTATATAGACTAGAATTTTTTGCAATTTCCAGCAAAAAGTTCGATACCACTTCTACTTCCAGGTTTTATTATTTTAAAATGGAAAGGATGATTAGCGGTAAAAGTTCTATCTGATTTAGGAAGTCGTCCTCCTTTAGTTAAAGCAAAAATTAAATTAATTATTTGAAAAAAAAATGCGAGTATAAGATAAATATAAAAATTCGAAGCACAGAAAAAAATTTATGAAAGTTTAAAGCACTTACCAGGTCTATAAAAACTGGGGAGGTCAGCTCCTTCGTCTACTTCAATAACAGTTTTGTCAATAACTTTATTCATAAAAATAGTCGAATTTGAAATTCCATTGAAATTGGCTGAATCATTAAACATTTCATTCATTCCCATCTGCCGAGAAACAATTAATAAAAATTTAATTACAAATGCTATTTTTTCATTTTTTATATTCTATATATTTTTTTCATTAAAAATAAAAAAAATATTGCAAAGAAACTCACTTTTTGTAAAACATCCTTTATTTCAACAGTATTTTCAATTTTAAATTTAGGTAGATTTAAATCAACCATATAATATACTCCTTTGGTACGGATTTCTTCGATAGTTGTTGATTTTAATTTTCTTTCCAATTCCTCGAGACCGTCAATTGAATTAGGAAGAATTATAAGCAATATATGATCAGCATTCTAAAAATGTTATAAAAAAAAGGTATAGCCTAATTATTTTGATTAAAATATTTTTATTTCCTTTCAAAAAAAAAAAATAAGACTCATTTTTTTAAATAAGAAAAAAATATTTCGTTAATTGCCGATAATTTCATTAGAAAAACATTTATTTTTTTATTTTTTTTTTTTTTTAAATGACTTTTTAGGTATTTACATATATATTTCTTTTACCGTATAAGGAATTTCAATGAAAGTAGCATTTAAATTTTTCAGTGTTCCATAAGAAAAAATTGATACTCTACGCATCATTTTCATTGAATAATTTTTTCCAGTTGTGTAAAATGTAGAATCAACTGTTCTATCTTTTTCAAAATATCCATCCCAAACACCTTTAAATTGGATATAATTAACCAGCAACATACTATCAACATTATTTAAATCATCTGAAAAAAACAGAAAACTGACGATTATTATTATTATTATTATTAAATTTGTATATTATTATATTAAATTATATTTTTATAATGTTCTTTCAATGTTGTTGGGAGTAATAAATACATATGAATTGAAATAACTGTTAGGGCGCACTCACACCTTTTGGCTGCCTGCCTGCAGGAGTTGTCATGGCAACGTGTAGGAGTAACAGAGAGAGAAAATTCAAATTTGAATTTACTATCTCTGTTACTCCTTCACGTTGCCATGACAACTCCTGCAGGCAGGCAGCCAAAAGGTGTGAGTGCGCCCTTACTAATGCTTTCATTGTTTTGAATTTGTTCCAAGATTTAAACGACAGATGGCGCGTTAGATTGGAGAAATTTGTATTTGTGAAACGCATCTATATTGCTTAACCCGTGTATGACACCGGCAATATACGCGAATCATGGTAACTCCAACTGTTTTTTGTATATTTATTATATTTAAATATTATATTCAATTTGTGGTAATTACCAATTATTACCACAGAAACCAAAAACGCTGAATGAATGTTTTAATATTGCTTCAGAAATTAAAATGCATATAAAAGATAAAAGACGATTTGAAAACGTAAGCAGTTAACCAAGAAACAATAATGACACATATATAACGAAATCAAAATAAATTAATTAAAAAATAAATATACTATTACTTTTAATTCCGTAGGAAAAAAGTGTCATTTTCTTTTTTTTTTCATTCACAAAATAGAATAAATCATGATAGGTAAAATCACTACACTTTGCACGATAAATTATTAAGAGCTTAATTACCCCATAATATTATTTAAATCAGCTAAAAAAATCATATTTAAATGATACATTTGTCATTAATGTAAAAAAATAGATTATAAAACATTAAAAATTTGTTAACAATAAAAACGTTCCTAAATTTCAAACTCACCGCAAATAGGAATAATCCCTCGTTTCATCAAAAAAAATCTGTTTGGTGAGTTTGAAGGTTAGGACCAAAAAAATTTTTAATATTTTTTCTTAAAGTACAAATGTATCATTTAAAGAGGCCTATATACTTAGGCGAAAAGTTTTATTTTAATTAATTAAAGAGAATAATATTTAGATAAAATTTAAAAATAGTAGTAAATTACAAACCAGTTTTCACGAATTCTTGAACTGCATCATTGGTTTCATTTGCAAACCATTTGTTGATGGAATTGGCAGTATTATTTAAATTTGAAAAATTAACATTCTCTACTTCCCTTAATGGTTTTATGAGATAATCATTATTTAATGAATTTCGAAATTCTGAATTAATACTATATTTATCACTGATGTATAATTTATTTAAAGATTTAATCGTAAGTGGGCCCCCTTCTCCCCAGGTATACTAAAAAATATATATGAATATTAAATTATATTATTTAATTAAAAAAAAATTTAGTATACAAACAAAGTATATATAAAAAATTAATATTCCCTTTATTAATCGTAATTTATCAGTAATGAACGGATTTTTTTTTTCATGAATTAGAACAAAAATTTAGCTTTTAATTAAAATTAAATTAGTAATTAAAATTCTTTATGTCCCAATTAATTATAAATATAGTAAAATTTGATTTAATGGCTTTTTATAGGACAAGTAAAAAATATTAAGAAACATCTTTAACGTTTCGAAATCGGTATACCGATTCCCTCATCAGAATTTATTTCATCAATTAATTCTGAGGAATTAAATTTTAAGAATAGTTGTGAAATAATTAAATTTTTTACACAAATTTTCTCAAATTATAAAAATTTCTTAATAATGCTAACAGAAATGATCCTTTATTTGATTCTCACAACTATTCTTAAAATTTAATTCCTCAGAATTAATTGATGAAATAAATTCTGATGAGGAAATCGGTATACCGATTCCGAAACGTTAAAGATGTTTCTTAATATCTTTTACTTGTCCTATAAAAAGCCATTAAATCATATTTTACTAAAGTTAATTAGTTTCGAACAGTATATTCGATATAAATTCGTTTTTCCGAATTCGCGAGGGATATTATTTAAAATTAACTATTTTGTTTGTACTTTTCTGATTGTGAATTGAAATTTTTTTTTTATATAATATATATTACATAGGGTAACTGCACCAGTGGTGGATCATGCACCAGTGGTGGATCAACTGCGAGAAAAATGGTCATTTGTGTTTATACGTTTGTAAGTAAATGAACCGCAAGTGTCGGTAATTGTTAAGAAAGTTATACAGATCAATATTACAATTTAAAAAAATTTTTAAATTCATCGCGAAGAAAGCAGGACAACAATTACTAAAATGGTGACAGAAAACAAGAGTTTTCCTTAACATGTAAGTTAAGAGTATATTTTGGAATAGAAAGCTTTGGAGTTATTTTAGGGCAATTTTTAATTCTTTTCACAATAGGAGGCATTTCGTTTCATCCCCATAGAGCCCTGAGAACAATATTTACGTCTTTAAGTAGCGCGTGTCCATTGTTTTCGGGTGATCCACGACTGGAACCAAAAAAGTAACAAAATCTAGTGGTGGATCAGTCCTACTTTTCGCCTGTTGACGCATTGTTTTATTGAAAATTTTATGAGTTAAATTTTAGTTAACACTAATTCAAATGTTTATTAATTGTTAACACCTGGGGGTCGATTACATAACTTTCCCACTTCCCACATCTCACTTCCCACATTTTACATCCCACTTCCCAAATCCCACTTCCTACATTTTACATCCCACTTCCCACATCCCATATTTCACATCTCACTTCTTACTTCCCATATTTCATATCCACTTCCCATATTTTACATACCACATCCCACTTCCCATATTTCACATTCCACATCACACTTCCCACATTTCACATCCCACTTCTCACATTTCACTTTTAACACTTCACATCTCACATTGTACATTACACTTTTCTTATCACGCTTCCCACCTTTTATATCCCACTTCTCACATCTCTCCCATTTCCCACAAGATGTTGGATGTGGAAAGTGGTATGTAAAATGTGGGAAGTGAGAAGTGGGATGTAAAATGTGGGAAGTGAGATGTGGGAAATGGAATGTGGGAATTGAGAAGTGGGGTGTAAAATGTAGGAAGTGAGATGTGGGATGTAAAATGTGGGAAGTGAGAAGTGGGATGTAAAATGTGGGAAGTGAGATGTGGGAAATGGGATGTGGGAATTGAGAAGTGGGGTGTAAAATGTAGGAAGTGAGATGTGGGATATAAAATGTGGGAAGTGAGAAGTGGGATGTAAAATGTGGGAATTGAGAAGTGGGATGTAAAATATAGGAAGTGAGATGTGGGATGTAAAATGTGGAAAGTGAGATGTAAAATGTGGGAAGTGAGATGTGGGAAATGGGATGTGGGAAGTGAGATGTGGGAAATGGGATGTGGGAATTGAGAAGTGGGATGTAAAATATAGGAAGTGAGATGTGGGATGTGGGATGTAAAATGTGGAAAGTGAGATGTGGGAAGTGGGATGTAAAATATAGGAAGTGAGATGTGGGAAATGGGATGTAAAATGTGGGAAGTAAGATGTAAAATGTGGGAAGTGAGATGTGGGAAGTTGGATGTAAAATGTGGGAAGTGAGAAGTGGGATGTAAAATGTGGGATGTGGGAAGTGGGAAAGTTACGTAATCGACCCCCTGATTTCAAATTGTTAAATTTTTGTTGAATTAAAATACCCAGAATTAATAAATGTTATTTATCATTGAAACTGAAGCTTTAAGAGTTTCTATTTATTTATTACCAAAAATTCTAATAAAAAGATGATTAATTAATATTTAGTCACATTATACCTATAGAAATGAAAGAGGAGGGGATATGGATAGGAAAATGAATTTGAAAATCTGTCCGTAAAGCCTTATAAAAGTTGCAAAGCGTCTCAGTCTCGTAATTTTAAAATGCAATGTTTTTTAGTATGATTTTTTAAGTGATCCACCACTGGAGCAATTATAACCATGACTGGTGCAAACAGTGATCCAGAATAGGATCATTGACAAATTATCTTTGATGGAGCATTAAAGTAAACGTAGGTGTCAAAATTAAGTCTAACCTTGAAGGAAATGTCTATTGGAACTATCTGATCCATAATACTATAAAGAATAACCTCGAATTTGTCTAAAAACAACCTATACAGAACTTCAAAGTCAAAATAAGAAAGTTAAGGGGCTTAACTGATCCACCACTGGTGCAGTTACCCTATATCTAAGTAAAATATTTATTATATATCATTCACTTACTTCTAGAAAATACAGTAGTCGTGAATATGAGTTCTTGCAATGAGTATGATTTGATAATTTTAAAGAATCTCTCAATTCTTTAGCAGTATTTTTACGTGCACCAAAAGTAAGTGCATTTAAAGCAAAATATATATTCAGTGGAGAAGTGACGATATTTTCTGCTTTGTTTTCTGATGCAATCTAAAAACATGAAACAAAAAAAACATTTTTTTTTTAAATTAATAATATTTTACAGAAGTAATGTCATCTAAAGTTAATGCATTGAAATTTGGTATGAAAAAAATTGAAAACATCATTTGGAAATTTAAACTTTTCGGATTTTATAAATTTGTAGCCAATAGCTCAACTGATAATAATAATATTAGTAATTATTTAATTTATTTCAAATTTAATGAATTATATTAAATGTACATTTTTATTTAATAAGTCTACATTGAATTAAAATTAAAATTTAAATTATTTCAAAATAATCGTTTTAAATTTTATAAAAATAATTTCTGTTTTTTTTTGAATTAAAAAAAAATTCAACGACGTCAATAGAAAAGAAAAAAAACTTTTAATATCAAAAAAAGCTATAATTTGATATATTATTATCAAAAAAATTTAATAATTAATTACCTCATATAATTGATTAGAGAATTCCTTTAAAAACGGTTGAATACATTCAATTTCACTAGGCATTCCAATCACTGCTGGTGGGTTAAAGCTATAAGACTGACATGTTGTAAAAAGTATTACAACACAAAGGAGAAAAGCTGAAATTATTTAAGATTAAAGATTAATTAATTTAATTTTTATTTAATGAAATCAATTAAATTTAAAAAATATAAATAAATAAAAACGTTATGTTTTTATAAATTTTCATATGTATAGAACATCTATTAATATTTCTAATTGAATATAATAAATAATAATATAAATAATAATAAATATAGTAAATAATTTATAAAATAAATTAATTGTAAGACAATTAATAAATAATTAAAAATGGAATTGTAAAAATATTTGAATAAATTAAGGTTAACTATATATTATAAATAATAAATAAATTGAAATAAGTAAAAAATAATAAATTAAGTACACTGAAAAAAAATTTATTTTGTTCAAATACTCGATTACTTGACTATTATTTGAGACAATTAAATGGTATATTTGTTTCAAATATAGAAAATATTGGTTCAAATACAATTTATTTAATTCAAATAAAAATTATTTGGTTCAAGTAAATATTTATTTCATAATAGTCAAATAATCGAGTATTTGAATCAAATAATTTTTTTTTTCAGTGTAAAATTATATTAAAAATAAAAATTTAAGAGTAATATTTAATATTATAATTATAATATTTTTGGTTAAAAAATTGAAAAGTTCAAATATTTAAAAAATTAGAAAAAAAATTATTCCTACTTACTGAAATTCATGTTAATTAACCCCATTTGCCTGTCTTGTTATTTTTTTTAAATATTACACAAAAAATAGAAAATTGTGTAAACTAACTCAAATTCAGTTGACAATGTTGTGAACTTATATACCTATCGAGACGGTTTTTATAACTGATCTTACTGATCCCTATGTTGTCTTATTTGAAAGAGGTGGGGGACAATTTTTATTTAAATATAAGATTCATTATATATGCATACATAATAAAAGACTATTGTATAGGTCATTCGATGGGAAATTTTCATTCAAATTTTTTTTTCTTGTCAAACATTTTTTTTTTTTAAATCTTTATGAAAAATAAAAAATACTTTGTTTTTTAAATAAAAAATTTGTTTAAAAATAAAATAAATAAAAATTATGGAGGTTATAATTTTTTTTAAATTTAACAGTAGAGAAATTCTAAAAATTGACTATTCTTAAAATCGATTGATTTAAAAATTTAAAGTTAAAAAATTATAACTTTAAATAAATAAATTAAAATATATACGTATTTTCTTATTTTTCATAAAGATTTAGAAAAAAAAGTTTTTTTTAATTAAAAATCTCACATGGAATGTCCCCATATAATATAGAGTTTTTATTGTTAGATATAGTAAAAATTACAAAAATTGCAAATTTTAGTAACTGTTGAATATAAAATTATATTTTTAAAATTTTTAATAAATTTAATATACCTATTAAAAATTTTTTTTAATAAATTTAAGAAATTTGGAATATTATCCTTTATTGGTAATATTTTAGAATCTTTTAATGAAAATTATTCTTAACTTAAGTATATTTAAAAAAAAACCTATTTTATTAAAATAAAAATAAATTTTTAAATTTAGGTATTCTCATTTTAAAAATAAGAAAGAAAGAAGATAAGTTGCATCGAAATATTTTAAAGAAATAATATATTCAAATATATATATATATATATATATATATATATATATATATATATTGTTAAGGGTTATTGTAATTTAATTTATGTTTAGACAGTATAATATAACTGAAAAATTACATCAGCCTTGATTATCAAGTGTTTATGAAAATTTAGAGTTTATTTACACGTTCTATTTAATGAATAAAAAAACATAGAGATGAAAATGAAGAATATTGTTCTTAAAAATAAGATTATAAATTTAATGATGAAAAATATAAAAGTTTATTAATACCCGTGTGGAAAAAGCCACGATCTTGCCCTCAAGAGTTCGGGGCCCCCGGCGGGGGCCCATGAGGGCTGATCCATATGGCGAATCCATGAGGGGCACCGTAGGGGCCCCGCATGGATCGCCCTCATGATCGATTAGCAAAATTTTCTAAGTCCAAAAATCAAATATTTTTTTATCACCAAAAAATTAATGTTTATAATGATTCACAACAATGAAAAACGCGTTTTTAATTAAAATATATTTTCACTTTTTTTGAAAATAACACTCACACTTATGGCGAATCCATGAGGGGCACCGTAGGGGCCCCGCATGGATCGCCCTCATGATCGATTAGCAAAATTTTCTAAGTCCAAAATTCAAATATTTTTTTATCACCAAAAAATTAATGTTTATAATGATTCAGAACCACGAAAAACGCGTTTTTAATAAAAATATATTTACACTTTTTTGAAAATAACACTCACACTTATGGCAAAATAGATGAGGGCCACCGTAGGGGCCCGCATGGATCGCCCTCATGATCGATTAGCAAAATTTTCTAAGTCCAAAAATCAAATATTTTTTTATCAACAAAAAATGAATGTTTCCAATGATTCAAAACAACGAAAAACGCGTTTTTAATAAAAATATATTTACACTTTTTTGAAAATTCGCCTGAGATGATTCATGATAATAATCATAAAGCATATAATTAATTATATTTTATAAATTGCATTTGATTGGAAAATATAATTTAATATCTTAACTTTAACTAAATGATGTTAAGCACTTTTCTTTGTTAGGTATTTTTCAAGTTTAAATAGCATCAAGAAGTTAGCATTCGTTTTGAAGTAGCGTGCGTAGCGTAGTTGGTAAAGCGTTAGACTCATAGTCCGTAGGTCGTAGGTTCGATTCCCCCCATGCGTTAGATTTATTTATTTCTCAGGTTTGCGTTTAATCATTAATTCTATGTATGAATTAATTGAAAAATGAAAATATCGGTTAATAGTATGCATAAATTACATATTTTTTAATTTTTTAATTAATTAATTTATTATTACTTTTAATTATATCCGACAGTTAATTAATTAGAACGTTAATTAATAAATTCAATTTGAGTAAGAATTTAATTTAAAATTGAATAATTATTAAATAAATATGTTATTTATTCATAACTTAAGCTTATTTATTATCAATTAACTTTTATTATTAATATTATTGATTAAAAAACATTATGGCAAACTTGAGGGCAAGATGAGGGCAAACGTGAGGGCCCATAAGGGCGCCCGTAGGGGCACCCTCATGGATCGCCCATGCGGGCGCCCTCATCGATGAGCATGTCGTTTCCATGAGGGGCCCCTATGGATCATCCATATGCGCCCCTCATGGCATGAGGGCGATCCATAAGGGCCCCCGCTGGGGGCCCACATCACTTTTCCACACGGGTAACTACAAAAAAATAACTTTACTGTAGTCAAGTAATAAATTAATTGTAACATATCATGAAAACATTACATTAATTGTTGTCTAAAAAATTATCTTTTGATAATTGACTTTTATATATTATTTATTGCACATTAGTTTATGGGTAATTAATTTTTCAAAAATGATATCTTAAAATTTAAAAAACAATATTTTTGTCTATTTTTATAAAAATGTTGAAAACAAATTTACTTGTCCTTTATATAGATAATATAGGTATATTTATGTCGCTAAATTTAAATAAATAATATTCTGTGAAATTAATTGTTAAAAATACCTACATATTTTATTTTTTAATTTTTTCTATTTATAATTCTAAAATATATTCTAATCTATTTACTTTTCTAAACAAAACTCTTAATTTTTTGTATCGTTGAATTTATTTTTAAAATGTGACCAAAACGATTCAAATTCAAATTTCTGAATAATAAAACAGAGTTAATAAATTCGTGTTTCAAAATATACACCCAGTGAAATGATATATTTATTTTAACTAAAAATGTATAATTATTTACAATTTTTTTATTTGTTACAAATAAATTTTTTATTTAAAAGAAATAAACTGATATTTAATCGAAATATTTGTGGTTTATTCTCAGAAATATATAAAATTATTTGCATTTAATACAAAATGTTTATTTGTAAGAAATAAATGAATATTTGATTCAAATATAAGTATATTTGGTGCAAAAATGCACGCCTGCGCAACTCTCGCTTCACTGTATATCGTCTGCAGATCGCCGCGATGGTTGTGAATTTATCGTGCAAAAAAATTTGTCGAATCTTAATTAAAGGTAAGATCAAAACATATTTCTATTTAACAAGCAATTAAATTAATTTAATCTAATATGTTTTATTTATTTCGTTGGGTATTTTCGGCGTCCCAACGAATAATATGCAGTCGTCTGTTCAAACACGATTTTAACGATTTTAATTTATTTGGATCAAATAAAAAGTATTTTATCCAAATACATCATTTACTTGACTATTATCTAATAAATATGTATTTGAACCAAATACACATTTACTAAACCCAAGTATTTTATTTTATCGTATCAAATAAATAGTTATTTGAATCAAATACAAAATATTCAAATCAAATAAATGAAGTATTCAAAGCTAATAAATAATTATTTAAATCAATTATGAAAATTATTTCATTCAATACTGCATGTTTTTTGATTCAAATAAATATTTATTTGCATTAATAAAATAGTTTACTTGAAACAATTAAAAATTTTCTTGAATCAAATATTCGATTATTTGTCATAAGTAATTGTTTTAATTGAAACTAAAACCTCTTTAATTGAGGCAATTATTATTTTATTTGATCCAAATACATAATTTATTTGCATAATCGATTGAAATATTTTTTTATTTGTCTTGATGAAATAGTGTATTAGGATTAAATAATGAATTATTTGTATTAAATAATTCAGTTTATTCCCTGGCGGATTCGATTTGCGTAATGTCTACTTAACTAAGTGGACTTTAGGTAGACATTAGGTAAACATGTAAAAAAACGTAAAGAAAAGCTATTAATCGACTTATTATGATAAAAAAAAGTTGATAAAAGGGTAAATGAATGTTTATAGAGTAAATTCGTACAAAATTTGTAATTAATAAAGCATTAAATAATTAATAATGAATGGAAATGTGCGCGAGGTACCTGATCAGTTCAGCTGTACAATTATTTTCGTGCTATTTTCATGAAAAGAATATAAATTAACGGCAAAAACAATTGATATTTATAAAAAAGTGTAAAATTGATTTAATTTGAGTGTTTGCAATACGAATTATTAAATAATAATTAAGTTTTTATCAAATGTTAATAGTGTTGTGAAAACCTGTGAAAACTAATGAGTTAGGGGAGACCGAGGAGGAAAGTAACAAAAATCAGTTTTTTTATGCTAGCATTAAAAATATTTGTCGGATAAATTTGTCCAATATATTAAATGAAAGCTTGGACATTCACCTTTTAAATAAAATTTGAATTAAACATTTATAATAAATTGACAGTTCACAGTATAACTTTTACGCAAGCTCTTCATCTGTTACTTTCCTCCTGACCCCCGAGGAGGAAAGTAACAAGCTCCTAGGAGGAAAGTAACAGTATAAAATTATGTAAAATTCTTTAGACTAATGACTATTATTAATTAGAAATATTTTTATTAGGAACACATAAAAGTTTAAGTACACTTTATACTTATTTGGCACATATTTGGGACATATTTAGCACATATTTCGAACATTTTATGAATTTAGCTCATTTTTTTTCTTAAAGATATTTTATGCTTACCTAGATCACAGGTTTTTCTTAAATAAATCTCTGTTATTCGTAAAATTAAATACGATTTGCTTCAATCATTAGTTAAAACATGGACAATATCGACAACAGGAGAAAAGTAGCGTGTTACTTTCCTCCTCGGTCGCTTTTTTCTTGTATGTCAACAAAAAAGTTAAAACTACACAAATGTTAAATTGTTTGTTTAAGCACAACTTAAAGACAGATAATAAGGCTACAAAATAACGAAAGGCACATTTTGAAAAACAATAAAATTAAAGAAATACGAGACTTTGAAAATTTGAACGAAAACTTACTTTTGACGTTTTTTCTGCACGTCACACCGGAATCAGACCTAACCTTTCCTGTCAGGCTCGGACACACTATGGAGGAGGAAGGGGGAACAGTGCCGACTAAAAATATGTTTGAACCATGTCTATCCGATAATTTGTTTAAAAGTTATAAGCTTTGTTACTTTCCTCCTCTGTTACTTTCCTCCTCGGTCTCCCCTACTACATTACCGATCGCATATGATAATAAAAAGTTCTCGATGAGTGTAACAAAAAAGCTGCAATCATGTCCGTAATTTTGGACGAGAAACAATTATGAAATCAATAATTATTTGTATAACTTTATTCTGCATTTTAAAATTCACTTTTTATTTTCTTTCAAAGCAAAAGCTTGGAAGAAAGCATGCTCGCACTGTATTGTAAAAACTGGTGGCGCCATCTCTGTCAATCTCGGAGATTATGTACTTGGTTAAATTGGAGTTTTTTTGTTACACTCATCGAGAACTTTTTATTATCATATGCGATCGGTAATGTAGTAACTCATTAGTTTTCACAGGTTTTCACAACACTATTAACATTTGATAAAAACTTAATTATTATTTAATAATTCGTATTGCAAACACTCAAATTAAATCAATTTTACACTTTTTTATAAATATCAATTGTTTTTGCCGTTAATTTATATTCTTTTCATGAAAATAGCACGAAAATAATTGTACAGCTGAACTGATCAGGTACCTCGCGCACATTTCCATTCATTATTAATTATTTAATGCTTTATTAATTACAAATTTTGTACGAATTTACTCTATAAACATTCATTTACCCTTTTATCAACTTTTTTTTATCATAATAAGTCGATTAATAGCTTTTCTATACGTTTTTTTACATGTTTACCTAATGTCTACCTAAAGTCCACTTAGTTAAGTAGACATTACGCAAATCGAATCCACCAGGGTTTGAATCAATAAATTTATTGTGTCAAATACTTTTTATTTGTATCAAATAAACGAAATATTTAAGTTAAATAAATGAATGAATGAGTTTCAAGTAATATCATTATTTGTATTAAATAAATTCATTTATTTAATTCAATTAATTATTTAATTGAACCAAATACGATTTATTTATTTCAAATAAATATTTTTTTGATCCAAATAAAAAGTATTTGAACCAATTAAATATTTTTCAAATAATTTGAAGTATTTGAATCAAATAAATTTTTTTTCATATTATTTTTAGTTTTTTTTTTAAATTAATTTTTTTTTTCAAATTTAAAATTAGTTTCCTGTGTTAATTTATTCACATATGCATACATAATAAAAGAATTGTGTTTTCATTGTAGAGTAGACGTAAAATGACAATATCACAGCTACTTATTGCATCACGTCGTAGATATGTTTTACTAAAAAATAGTGTTATCTTTTAGTTAAATTTATTTTAAAAAAATTTTCAATTCAAAATTGAATCAATTTTGAGAATTTATCCGCCATATTGGATCCGCCATTTTTAATTTTGTAAAACTAACATTGGATTCGTAATCAGCGACCCCAAAAACCCCCCGAGTAACAATTTATAAGTAAATTGATTAAAAAATAACAATTTATCCGCCACATTAGATCTGCCATTTTGAATTTTGAAAATCTGATGTCATATTCGTAATTAGCGACCAAAATAACCCCCGATTAATATATTTTATTGCTATTATTTTATTTTCTTTTATATAATTGTATTAATGTTAAATATACATAATAAATTTAGTCATTCTAAATAAACTATTCAATTCATATTTTAGAAATAAATATACAAAAATTTAAAAAAAAATTTCTTTGTTAATTTAGAAAATTAAAAAAAAGTACGAAATGTACAAATCGATTACAGCGCTCAACATATGAGAGAATTGACTGAACTAAATTCATTCAATTGAGGCGAGTCACTCCTTTTCATACATCACATTACTACTAGTTTCACATTTATTGTGTGTGACAGTATTATCACATGATGATGAAATTATAAAACAACGCATTATAAAATCCATTTGAATCTAATCTGTTTTACAATGTAAATGTGATTAAAAGTGCTTGACAAGAATTTAAAAAATGTATAAAATAACTATTACTAAATAGTTTTGTAAATTAACATAAATTTTAATATTATTTTACAATTTTGCAAATTTGCAAATAAAACTCATCAATATTCAATTTTTACAGGTTTGGTTATTTATTTATAATTTTAATATTTTATGTATATATATATATTAGATTATTTTATAAATATTTCATTAATTTTATTTAAACAATTTTAAATGAAATTTTGTTTGAAAGAAAAACTAAAATAGAAAACACCGGTGAATTTTGGAAATTAATATATAGATTTAGCCGGTTCTTTTCAGAAAATCAGATTGATGAAATTTTTTCAACAATTTTGAAATTAGAATATTACCGGGTAAAATATGCAAAAATGTTGGTAAAATTGGAAGAAAAAAAACTTTTAGAAAAATATTCTCCACGTGTTTTTGAAAGTTTAAAAAAATTTCACTTATATTTTTAAATATTAAAATTATTTTTCAAACTTTATTTGGTTATAAATAACTAATAATAGCAAAAAATTGAGTCACTAATATAATTATAAGCTGCAAATTATTTTTTATTCTGAAAATTTCTTTTATTTATTTTATTAAATATTATTTTTAAAACAAATAATAATCAAAAGAACTAAAAAAATTTAGAGGTTATGTTTTACGATGTAATTCCCGCCATTTCTAACAAATAGCCCCAGCAAACGCATGCGCTGTGATACACTGTATTTTTGTATACGGAATAAATGATGTTAACAAAATCATTTATCAAATAATTTTTTTTAAAATATTGTTAAAGATATTATTTTAAAAAATAATTTAATTTTATTTAATTAATTAATTTTAAAATATTTTAATTAAATTTTATTAATTTTTAAATTTAATTTTAAATGTTAAATAATTCTTTTTTACACATAGTGTAATTAAAATAAGTTTCTAAAATTATTGGATAAAAAAATTTTTTGTTCAAATTATTAACAATTTAAATTTTTAGAAATAAAAAAAAATTTAAGATTCAATTTAAAAACAAAAAAAATTTGTTTCAATAAAATTCAATATATTTATTTTGTGATCGATGATTACAAATTGAAATATACTAATTCTATTATTTTAAATTGTCAAAATTAGCGACTTTAAAAATCACTAAAAGCTGAGTTTTATTAGTTTAAAAAAAAAAAAATGGATTTCGTCCACCATATTAGGTCGGACATTTTGAATTTTTTAAATTTGAATTCAGATTATTTTTTAAAATTCCTTTTTCTTACAAGACAAAAATTGAATTATTAATTCTATTCCTAATTTAAAATTCTATTCTATTTCCTGTAAATTTAATGTTTGAAATAATTTTATTTTCCTAAAGTAATACAAAAAATTTCTTTTTTTGTTTCAGAAGGTGTTACTAAAAAAAAATTATTTCAAGAATAATATTTGGTATTGAAATTCTAAATTTTTTTACATTAAATTAATGTATAATGTTATTTTTCAAGACAACACAATTTCTCTCTACGAGAATAAGAACAAAAATTTTAACCCCTCCTCTAAAGAATGAAATTCGATTTTATTTCACACAGAACAAACAAACGAGAAAGTCATTTAAATATCCGGGTTTTTTATTTTGTACCATAGTTTTCAGTTCAGCTATTGGCTACAAATTTATAAAATCCGAAAAATTTAAATTTCCATCATTAAATGATGTTTTTAATATTTTCATACCAAGCGTCAATGCATTAACATTAGATGAAAATAATAATAATAATAATAATAATAATAATAATAATAATCGAAGTAAATATAATTTTATTGCTGATGTTGTTGAAATTTGTGCACCAGCTGTTGTCTTAATACAAGTTAAGGAATCAATAATAAGTAGTCGCTATCCAATGAAACCTTTAATTCGTAATAATGGATCTGGATTTATAGTCGCTGAAGATGGTTTAATTTTAACAAATGCTCACGTTGTCATGAATGCGAGAAGAAGATCCAATTTAAAAGTTACAGTACAACTAATGGATGGATCAATGTACGATGCAATTGTCGAAGATGTTAATATGGAAGCTGATCTTGCAATAATAAGAATTCAAAAGAAAAATTTACCAGTAATAAAATTAGGGAATTCAAAAGATTTAAGACCTGGTGAATTTGTTGTTGCAATTGGTGCACCATTATCATTAAGTAATTCTATCACTAGTGGTATTGTTAGTAGTCCAAATAGACGTAGTGAAGAATTGGGAATATCTCACAATCAGATGAGTTATATTCAAACTGATGCTGCAATTACATTTGGAAATTCTGGTGGACCATTAGTGAATCTTGCCGGTGAAGTTATTGGAATAAATGCAATGAAAGTGAGTCAAGGTATTTCATTTGCAATTCCTGTGGATTATGCAAAAGAATTTCTAGAAAAGTTTGCCGAAAAGAAAAAAGGACATTTTAAGAATGACGAATTAGGAAGAAAACGATATTTGGGAATTACAATGATAACTCTAACACCGGAAATAATTTCCGATATGCAACATGTTATTGGAAATGCTTTAGAATATGTTAAAAATGGAGTTTTAATATGGAGAATTGTACGAGGTTCACCGGCGGATTTAAGCGGTTTGAAGAATGGAGATATTATCACTGAGGTTAATGGTAAAGCACTAATGTCTGCTGCAGATATTTATGAAGCACTAGATCAAAAGGGACCTTTGATTTTAAGGGTAGTACGAAATGGTCAACAGTGGGAATTTAAAATCGAGCCGGAAATTTTGCAATAAAATTATTAATGTTCATTTCTTCACTGTTCCATTATTGGAAAATGAAACAACTCTTAAGAGGTAAAGATGTAAAATAAAAATTATGTTTAAAATTATCTCTCTTTTATTGAAATAAAAGGAGATTTTAAAGCTGAATTTCCAAATAACAAAAACTCATTGAAATCTAATTGAAAATATTCTAGTCAATTCATTGTTATTTCACATCATTTGAAATTGTCATAAGGGTTTCAAACGGTTTTTCATGGCAAAAAATTAATGTCTTATTGAAAACATGCTAAAATAATAATGTTAAATGTTTACCTTCATAAAACATGGTTAATTAATTTTATAATTTCAAGTTAAATCTTTATCGTTGTTATTCGATTTTATGAAATAATTAACATAGTCATCTAGATCATTAAATTTTAGAGCAATACTCGCAATGAGTACCTATAATCCTCCTTCCTAATGTTGACCAAGAATTTTATACTAGACGAAATTCAAAACATCAAGGCTGTTTCCATTAATTATCGGAACCTAATTCTAATAAGCTTAGAACTTTTTTTGGTTTATTAAAACAGGCCGACATTTGTAAAACTGTCCAGCCTTCAAAGCTCACAGCATGGAGGTCGGCTCCATGAGTTTTTCGATTACTTTTAACGATGGCTGTTTTTCCATCCACACAGCCGACATTAAGGGTGTGTGTTGCAAGGAATTTTTCATTTTTATGCTATGCCCCTTTGTAATTAATATGTCGATCATATCAAGGTCTTTGTTCATGACAGCAATATGCAAGGCTGTGTTACCCCTATATTCAGGAATTTTAGAAATTGGCATTAATAAATAAATAATTTATTTATTAATTAATAATTAAATTAATGAATTTCATATCAAAGTCAATAGACTTTGATTTACTTACCAGCGACATAATTATATTTATTTTCTAAAAAATTTTATGACAATTATTATTATTAACATAATTGATATTTAATATTAATTAAATATTTTCATATATAAATAATTTGAAATTGGCAATTTAAAAGTCTCATATCGAAATTTTAATGTACATGATGTTGTAATATAGAAATATTTATAATTTAAAAGTGCACAGTTTGATAATTTTAAGTATTAAGGGGTAAAGCCACTATAGGTCAAGAAAATTTAAACCAATAAAATAAATTATTTATATTTTTATAAATTATGTTTTGAAGTACAAAATTTGTTTTACATGTGAAAAATGTTTGCCTTTTCATTAAAATTTTTTTTTTTTTAATTTTTCTGCAATGCTTATAGTGACTTAACTCTTTAATAAGTGTATGAAAAAATTTTATAATGTTTGAAGGAATAAAAAGTTGTTAAATTCAAAATATTCACTTTGCATTGGTAATTAATGCAAATTATTAAATAATGTTTAATATTTATAATTAACAAATTTTAATAAAACATTGTAATTATTATAAAATATAGTACGATCATGGTATGTTTATTTAATTTTGAACTATTTATTGTAATTAATATTTTAAATTCAAAAATAATTTGATATTAAAATTGAAATTATATCAGTATTAAAATTCATTAAAGTATATTTATTTAAAATACGTGATATTTCCCGCACAATTTTAAATTCATATAGTTAGGATTTAATAATGAATATATTTTTTATTAATTTATAAAATTGTAATAATGAAGAAATTGGAAAATTGTAAATTTTGATTCTATTTTTATTGGATTTAAAAATGCGGGGAGATATCATGTCCTCTTGATAAATTATCAATTTCATGTTATACGAATTATATTTTTGTATAAAATCCTTTAATGTTGTATTGTAATGTAACATTGTTGAAATTAAATTATATCTGAAAATTGAGTTAGAAATTAAATATTCAATATAATGTATTTGAAAGAGCCGAGAGTGAGAGGCAACAGACGATAGTTACTAAACAAAAAAATTAAATTTTAACTACCTGAAATAAATTAATAAATAAAATGTAATTTTGCAACTACAATCATGGATTATCTTTTGAACACTTATATCCTTATAACTGTAATCTAATTAGCAATATTATTTCTTAAACCATAACCAATTTCATAGACTTTTAGATCTATAAAACAATTATTTAGTTAATTAATAACAAACTAAATTTTGGTGAATTCATATCATTTCTACAAGAAATTGTAATTTATAAAATATTTTCCAAAATTAAATCTTTTTTTCAATATAAAAACTAGGACAAGTTATACTATTGATTTTTCAAATGTAAATTTTCAATTCAATATATACAATATTCAGTATTTTTACCATCTATTTGAAAATTGTGTCAATTTTGGAAGGAAAAGAAACTACTGAACTTTGTGTGAACAATTTAAATTGCTACATAAAGGAACATTTGAAGCCCTATCAACATATTTCAGGAACTAGAAAACATTTTTTCAGTTTCTCCTTACTTCGCTTCTCATTAACTTATTGAAAGTGTAGATAACAAAGTGTTTTGATTAAATAATAAATTGCTTCAATTATAATAATAAAAAAATTCCAAATATCAAATAAATCTCTAAATTAATGATTAAAAAATAATAAAAACATAAAAAACACGTAGGTATTTTTAATTCACATATTATATATTTTACAAAGAATAAATAACATCGATGACAATCAACGTTACTTTTCGTTCTAAAGTAATGTAATTTCCTAAAGCATCTATGGTGATTTTGTTGCTGATAAATATAATTGTGAAACCTTGTAAATCTGAAACATTAAAAATATTGATTTTCATAACATTTATTTATTAAAAAAAAAATTTTTTTTTCAAACTACTGGTTTCAGTATTTGTTTAAAAGATTATTTGTACACTTGTACCTGAAGTTATAAGTTTCACTGCTGATATAATTTAGTTTAAAAAATATTTAAAGAAACTTTTCTGATATCTGTTCGGTTATAAATGTTTTAACTGTTTTAATAAATATATTTAATCTAATCTCTAAGACATACAAGCATTACGTTTTTTGAATTTTTTCTGAATCGTTATATAATTGAGAATAAAAATGACTATAAATATATTCAGTATTTTTGGCATATATTTAATAGTTACACGTATTCTTGGAGAAAAATCAAGTACTGAACGTTGTGTGAAACATTTAAATTGGTACATAAAGGAACATTTGAAGTCCTATCAAGTAGTGTTGTTTGGAAACCCTAAATCTGATTTAATTGTCGAAGATGACATTGCGCTAATTTTACAAAACATTCCTCGTATTCAAATGGATGTTGAGAAAATGTCACCGAAAGATTTGTTGAAATCAATGAAGACACCTGGTTTCGCAATTCCAAATGAAATGTCATTGTTCATACTCGTCGATAATTCTCATAGTGATACATCTTTCTCAAAAATTTCATCAGCTTTAAACTATGTGACAGAATTGTCGCCAGCAAAAGTGCGTCCAAAAGTTCTGCTCATTGCCTTTACCAATCAGAAATCTTATTTTAAGACATTTCTTAATAAAATGTGGTTAAATAAATTTCTTGATTTCACGGTATTTGAAAAAAGAAGTAAAAAAGAGGAGCATCATTTTAAAAATGATGAATCATTTAAAACATTTATTCATTATTACAATCCGTTTGCCGATAGATATTTTAGAAAGCAGTGTCCAACAGTTTTGTTTCCGAACAAATTAATTAATCTTTATGGTTATCAAATTAAGGCTGGATTTCTTTTTATACCACCGTTCAGTTTAGGGAAATATGATAAAGATGGTAATTTACAAAGTAGTTTTGGTGCTGATATGGACATGTTCAATGCTTTATCACAAGCAATGAATTTTTCCATGTCTATAGAAGGTCATGTTAATTCTACTGTTGGTATTTTTCACGGAAGTAAAGCAACTGGAATGCTGGAACGACTTATAACTAATAAAATCAATTTTCTTATTACAAGTGTTCCCAATTTTCGTCCAACTACAGAAGGCGGATTGTATGGATTTTCAACTACCATTTATGAGGATTCACTTGTTGCATTTGTACCTATAGTGCACAAAAATATTGAAGAGCAGTATTTAAATTTAAAAGTACTGTATTTTAGTATACTGTTATTTATTGGGTTTGTCTTTATAATGTGGACACTGATTGGTAATTTTGAGAATGAAGAAAATTCTTGGAAACCAGAGTACATTGCAGCTATTTTACTAGGAGTAGCAATTCCAAGACATCCTATTCCTCTAAGTCATCGAGTTATCTTTTTATATTTGATAGTGATTGCTTTCTTCTATTCAAGTAATTTCCTCGGAGGTCTAACTGTCAATAAAGTGAAGAATTCGAATGAGGTGAAATTAGAAACATTTCATGATCTAGCTGAATCAAATTTGACACCATTCATTTATGATAACACTGACAGATATCTTAATGATGATTCAAAAGACTTACAGATTCTAAAGAAAAAAGTTATTCCCACACCTGACGTGAATACTAAATGTATTGCGATGCTTGTTGAGTTTAAAAATGCTAGCTGTTTTATTTTTAATTTATATGCAGAAGGTTTAGTTGAAATGTTCAAAGATTCATCGAATCAGCCAATTACTAAAATTCTTAAAGAAAAAATTTTTAACACAAGAAGAGTATTTGTTTTGGAAAAAAGTTCACCGTATAAGGAGAGATTTGATCAATTAATTATTATTTTCGTTGAAGCTGGACTGCGAAAGAAATGGGAATACAATGTTTCAAATGACATGTTTCTACTTGATTTGTTTGGTTTCAGCAGGTATCATAACAATATGGTAGTACATATCAGTGATTTAGGTCAGGTTTCTAATTTAGGAAGAATACTTATCTTTGTCGCTGTATCTGGATATTTATTATCGCTTTTCGTTTTTGTTGTCGAATTATTGCATTGTAGATTTTTTGAAACATTCATGTAAAAAATTAGTCTGCAACACCTTAAGGTTTCGAAGGAAGTGATGTGATAAGCAAAATTAAATTTTTTAAATTAATTTATATTAAATAGAAATTAATATCCAGAATAAGTATATAATTTTACTGTTTACTGTAAAATTAGTATAAATTTTGCCTTTACCTTGAACTTGGAAATGTATTTTTAAAAGAAGGTACACACAGTAAGCTTATTGTATTGCCGATGTGCAGAACAATTTTATATTTACCTTTGTTATACAAGTTCTACTATTAACAATAAAAATGTTTTAGTTTGCCACAATTGTTTCACCTTCTGCGCCGTGAGAAACACTTAACTTTTTTGTTTGTATTTCGTAAAATTAAAGAATGATTATTCAAAGCTCTAGTATTTTTTGCTTATTACTCATTAAATTTATCATTTGTGAAAAAATTAAAAGTAAGGAATGTACAAATATGTTAAACAATTACATAGAGAAGAATTTAAAACCGTATCAAGTGGTGTTAATGACCAATTTGGATTTCTATCCAATTTCAGATAAAATAATTGCATCAGTACTACGAAATTTGCCTTACATTCAAATAGACGTTCAGAAAATGTCATCAGAGGATTTAAGGAAAACAATGAAATTACCATCCTTTGGAATTCTAAGAAAGACATCCTTGTTTCTACTTGTCAATTCTTTGGATAATTCCCCTAATAGTTCAATGTCTTTGAAGTATTTAAAAATACTTTCACCTGGAAAAACTCATCCGAAAATATTGCTTATTTTCCAAACCAATGAAAAATCTTCTTTTAATTCATTCCTCAATGAAATGTGGTTGAATAATAAATTTCTCGATTTTACAATTTTAGAAATAAGAACTCAAGAACGGAGGCCATATTTTAAAAAATTGGAACCAATTGTTCATTATTACAATCCTTTTATAAATAGGTATTTCAGAAAAAAATGTTCAGGAACAACCGTTTGGTTTCCAAAGAAACTATTAAATCTTCATGGTTATCAGATTAAAAGTGGATTGTATTTAAAACCACCGTACAGTTTATCGAAATACGATAAATCTGGTCAGTTACAAAGTTTTAGTGGTGCAGATCCAGATTTGTTCATAACTCTATCAGAAGCAATGAATTTTTCCACATACTTCGAATCCAATGTCAATGCAACCATTGGAAGTTTTAGTGGAAATAAAGCATCGGGAATGTTGGCACGACTTGTAACTAATAAAATTAATATTCTTATTACTAGTGTACCAAATTTTCGTCCTACTAATGAAGGTGGATTGTACGAATTTTCAACTAGCATCGATGTTGATTCAATTGTTGCATTATTACCTATTACAAACCAGAATAATGATGAACATTTTCTAAATTTAAAAGTCATGACATTTAGCATATTATTGTTCGTTGGTCTTGTCATCGTAACGTGGGCAATGATATATTGTATTGAGGATAGAGAAAATTTTTGGAGACCAGAATACACTGCAGCTATTGTATTAGGAATCGTAATTCACAATCAACCATTTAGTGTAAGACATCGATTTATTTTTCTCTACTTAATAGCAATTGGTTTCTACTGCTCTAGTGGTTTTTTAGGTGGCTTAACAGCCAGTAAAGTAAAGAATTCAAATGAAGTGAAAATTGAAACATTTCGTAATCTGGCTGAATCAAATTTGGTACCATTCATTCTTGCAAATTTTGAAAGGTATCTTAATGATGATTCAGATGACATAAAGCTTTTCAAGAAAAAACTTATTCCCAGTCCTTACGTGGACACTAAATGCATTACAATGCTTATCAAATACAGAAATGTTAGTTGTTTGACGTACAATTCATATGCAACACGATTAGTTAAAATATTTAAAGATTCGTCTGGACTGCCAATTACAAGAATTCTTCCGAAGGAAAAAATTTTCAACGCAAGAAGAGTTCTTGTTTTAGAAAGAAATTCACCGTATAAAGAGAGATTGGATGAATTAATTACTATTTTTGTTGAATCGGGACTGCGAAGAAAATGGGAAAATAAAATTTCAAATGATATGTTTATATTTAATTTGTTTGGTGTTGAAAAATATAATCATAGAATGGTAGTACAGATAAATGATTTAGGT